AATTACAGTCCTCTTGATACAAATCTATACGTGAAAATGTCACAATTCACAGCATAGACGTCTAGCCAAAATTTAGGCGTGTCACCGGGGAACAAGAGCTGCGGACTAGTTTTCCGATTCCTCTTCAACAACCTCAATGGTTGCTTTGGGGGTTTCTTCAACCTCGGCAGCACGGCCCTTCGACTCTCGGGCCTTTCGCTTATTGCAGTCAGCAATTTGATGCTTACCACCGCAGAAGAGACAAAGATTGTTCTTCATCCTTCTTTCCCGTTCGGAGGGAAGTACCTTACCATCTGCTCCTAGATGGTTGAACGCGGGGCGCTGACCGCCGGATTGGCCGGAATTCGAAGAGTTCTGGGGCTTACCACCAGAGAAGGGTTTAGGTTTTGGCGTGAACGGCGCCGAAGAGCCAGATGGCTGAGAGTTGTTTTTTGCTGGTTAGTAGAACCAGTCTTAAAGTCCGAGGAACCCTTTTTCGGGTTCCGAGCAATAAAAGGCTTACCAGCCTCACGCTTCCAATAACGGTTGTCAATGCGAAGAACCTCTTGACGATAATCGGCGAGCGTCGCCAGCTCGGGCAAACGCGCCATTTTGTCCTTGATACGTTCAGCTAAACCTCGTCCATAGGCCCATTTCAGGGCAGCAGAATCCCAGTTGGTACTAGCAGCCAGGGTATTGAACCGGATGTTGTATTTCCGGATGTTCTCGGTTTCCTTCATCTTCAGATTACCGAGAGAATCCTCGGCCTTGCCTTGGGCGTCGTAAACGCCGAAATTGTCCTGTAGCTCCTTAACCAGAGCTTTGAAGGAGGACGTCCATGCTGGCAGCGAGTCGAGAATATCAGGGACAAACCATTCTTTGGCTGACCCACTGAGATAGGAAAGAGTATAATTCACCTTCCGTTGGTCGGTGAAGTACTTTGGACAGTCATTGAAGACCAGGGCGAGATTGATGAAGAACGTCTTGAGTTTTCGGGGGTCCAAACCGTCGAATACCTCTGGCTCCTTGACCTTGCTCTTAGATTCAGAGCTGTCAGAGGGACGGCTGAGTGCGGCGAGAACGGTACCGAGGGTTTCAATGGAACCCTTGAATCCCGAGAGAAGTTCCAACATAGCACGTTGCTCGTTGGGGATGTCAGGAGAGATAGGAGAACGGGGTCCACCAGGTCCACCAGGTCCACTGGGGTCACCAGGCTCACCACGCGGTAAACCGCCGGAATCGTCATCCAGATCGTCGTTGTTATTGTCGGCACCCGGATCGTCGGGGTCGAGTCTTGATCATCGTGATCGCCAGTTTCCAGATCGAAATGAGGAGGTGGGTCACGAGGAGATTCTGAAGCAGCTCTACGTTGGGGTTGTTTCCCCGTACAGTGGGCTATGGCTTGGAGAATTGGAGAATCAATTTGAGTAGTTGAACGGCCCCGAGCCGGAGCGACCACGGGGGGTTGTCCGCGGCGAGGGGTCAAGACTTGGACAGGTTGTCCGTCACCGGTGTACAAAGTGCTGTACTCAAATTGCTGTTCTTCTTCCATGGCTTCAGGAAGAGTCGACGTAGTAGGAACTGTAGCTGGACCGAAACCGCGATTACAGCGACGTGGTTGACCGATAGCAGAAATAGATTCGGAGAAAGGGGCAAATGATTGGGCTGTAGTGAAGAAAGTATTTTCTTCGGAGTTAGCTCTAGATTGAGCTTGGGTTTTCGGAGGCATAAAAAATGATATGTCAGTACAACGTTAACGGATTGAGTTTAATTATACTGTTAAGATCATGTACACCATGTAACCGTGCCAGGGCCACAAGGTGTCTAAGTGCGGAAGATGAGTGGGACAGTAGTGAAGTTATTAACAACACCGCCGTTACGCCGTTAGTCCCCGGAGATCGAGAGTATAGAGAGAGGAGCTAAGTAGCAGCCAAGTCGGAGCGGCGGTAACGCTGGTGATGAGGAGCGGACCAAAGAATGTCTAAGTCCTAAGGTCGAGTAGAACGTACTTCGAGGCGTTGAGCCTGAAGACTTAGAGAAGAGCTAGGTTGAGAAGGGAGATCTAAGTTGATAATTAAACTGAGGAACTACAGTAGCGTACAGGCAGTATTTATATCTACGGAGCGGCGCATCAGTGTGGAACGCCAGACTAACTACTAGGAGCTATACGAGTAGTACCTGCAGGGTAAAGTAAAAGACAATAAGGAGGGACTAGAACGAAAGGGTATGTGTAGCGAGAAAGAACAATAAGGAGAGATTACAATAAAGGTAGATCTTCGGAATACCGAGCGGCGGAATGGAGGCCCGAGGCATGGACTTGACAATATGACAACTAAAGGCTTTGTTCAGTTCACCATCCAGATTGGGACTGTCAAGGAGACAACCTTAGCCTATGTTCTTGACAAGAACTCAGGGTTTCAATATGACCTTCTTCTCGGACATTCCTTCTTAGCACAACATGAGGTCCTCTTTGACTGGGCTAACAATACGTTCGAAATGATCTGCCCTAAAATTCAGCAAGTGGTACGAGTTCAAGCTATGCAGGACTTACCCCAGTTCTCGAACATTTAGGAGGCATATCCATCAAACATTAGTAAAGGGTACGCTGAACTTCCAGATGAAGAATACACTTACTCATCAGACATTGACATGACATCTCTCAGTAAACTATACCACCATACTGACCTTGACATGGCAGATACTGACAATACTACTAGTTCTTATCCTGACCCTCGACCTGATTATCCAACTCCTACCCCTCCGTTGACTCCTATTTTTGATGACAACTGGCCTAAAGGAACTTCATTTGGTCAGAAATTGAAAGAAAAGGCAATGAAAATATTTCTGAAATGTTTTCAGAACAAGGTAGGATACCCACCTCTTTGTTGTTGGGTAGATTCCATTGATACCGGGAATGCACAGCCTGTTTGTATCCAAGGACGCCCTCATTCCCCCCATGAAAACCTCGAAATCAAAGTTTATTAACAAAGCTTTGGCTGAAGGTGTTATTGAGCCCTCGACTTCTCCCTGATCTGCTCCAATCTTGCTTATCCCAAAGAAAAATGGTACACTTCGTCCCTGTGTTGATCTTCAAGCCCTAAACAATCTAATGAAAATGAATACATATCCGCTGCTTTGTATAAATGAATGTTATGTAAATCTTTATGACGCTACTGTCTTTACGACTTTTGACCTCAAATTGGGATATTGGCAAGTCCGTTTGGCTGAGGAAGATAAGGCCAAGACTGCTTTCACCTGCAGATATAGCCATTTTCAATTCCATGTCATGCCTTTTGGATTAACAAATGCACTGGCTACATTCCAGAATATGATGAACGACATTCTTGCCCCTTATATTGATGACTTCATTATGGTTTACCTTGATGATATTGTCATCTACTCAAGGTCTATTGATGACCACGACACTCACATTGAACTCGTTCTCGCTGCTCTAGCAAGAGAGGATCTCATCCTCAATCTTGAGAAATGTACTTGGGCTGAGGACGGACTTCTGTACCTTGGTCATTATGTTTCTGGAAAAGGTATTCAGGTTAATTCAGACAAAGTAAAAGCGGTCACGGAATGGCCTATACCTTCAACGATTACAGAACTCTGTGGTTTTTTGAACCTCACTGGTTACTACCGCTATTTTGTATACGGATTTGCAAAGATCGCGCTACTGTTGACAAATCTCCTCTCAGGGGCTCCTAAAAAGGGTTCAGCAATTGAGTGGTCTTCAGATTGTGAGACCGCTTTCAACACACTCAAGAAACACCTCACCGACACTCAAGTCCTTATCCATCCCACCCCTTGGCATGTCTTTGTTATTGATGATGACACTTCTGGTACTTGCCTTGGTGCAGTTCTTCAACAGTCAATCACTGCATTCAAAGATCTTAACAATGGGAGGGATAATAGTGAGTCAGACAAATGGTTTGAGTTCAAGGAAAGAGATTTACAGCCAATAGCATATGAGTCCCAAAAAATGACACCAACCAAACAACGATACTCTGCACAGGAATGCAAAATGTTAGCCATTGTTCATGCACTGAAGAAATGGCAAGCCTACATTGAAGGATCACCCATTGTTGTTCGCACTGACCACAAATCTCTCAAGTATTTCCTTACTCAAAAACATCTTGGTCGTTGTCTCATTCACTTTCATAATGATGTTGCTCATTTTGATGTGAAAATCATCTACCGCCCCAGATCTGCTCAGGTTGCTGCAGATGCTTTGTCTCGTCGAGATGGTCTTCCCAATAATCCCGACATTAACTATCAACCCCTCTTTGCACTGGAATTCAATCCTGAAGAATGATCAGCCATCTTCAAAACCCTGGAATGATATTGAACCAACTTACTCTCAGATATTCACCCCCAAACTGATGGTAGATACTTGGTAAGTGGACAACACCTGTTCAAGGATATTAGTCCTGAAGACTCAACTGCATCACAGGTTGTCATAGTACTAACTTCAGTCAGTGAAGCCCTAGAGCTTGTCAAAACTCTCCATATTGATTTTAGTCACCTTGGCATCAATGCCATGTCGGAAAGCCTTTGAATATGTGCTTGGGTTCCTTACTCAACAGAAATGATGGAATACACAGTACGCACTTGCAATCATTGCCAATTTGTGAAATGTAACAATATTCCTCTCCAGCCAATATTTCCTCTACCTTGAGTGCACACTGGTGATGTTTGGTCTTTCAATTTTATTGGTCCACTACCAAAAACCAAGCATGGAAATCAGTATTTGCTTACCTCAATGGATATGGGTACCGACTATACCTTTGCAGAAGTTCTCATAGCTCGTTCTGCCAATGCTGTGATTTCACTCCTACGTCGCCTTATTTCACTCTTTGGGAAATCTAGGGCTGTTATAACAGATAATGGTGAGGAATTCATGTCATATGCCTTTCAGAATCTGCTGCAAAGACTTACCATTGAACATCTCCATACTTCTCCATACCATCCTCAAACAAATGGTCATTATTGTGTTTTATAAGCCAGGGATAACGTACTTACTCGTTGGAGCCAACGAAGACATCCAAGCTACTATCGCCAGAAGGGGAAGATGGAGACGCAGTGATTAGGTAGTCCGTAACCCATGTCCTCGGTCCACTATGTAAGCATGGTCCACGAATATCGTGCGATTGGAGTAAATCGAGCTACGAAAATTTAGTCTGTTTATCAAGTTACAATTCAAAAGTCGTTGCTCGTACCTCTTCCGACCAGGTACTAAAGGTTTCCATATCGCTTGCACACCATATCCGCGACCCATCAGGTAGCCATCCAGCCTGACTGACGCTACATCCCCAGTTACCAACATTGACCACTGCCTCATCCTCATCAGTCTCTTCAGAATTGGAAAGTGAGATCAGACCATCAGATGAGGCAGTGAGGAGCACACCAGGCGTGCTCGGAGAGAAATGTACAACGGTGATATCATCGGAGTGGGTCGAGCTATGTGTTCGAAGCGGAGCAGCTGGTTGACGGGGGTCCCTACCCTCCGTTTAAGCGAGTGATAATCAGGAGTTGAACGAAGATACATACCAGTACAACACCGAGACGTCATCACCGTGTAGTTCTGTACCAGCAGCCACTGTATACCCATCCAGAGAGACATCGAACGATAAGAATGCACGCGATTTACTCAAGTCGGTCACTGAAGCGATGAATATATCTCAAACCAGCATCCATCCCAAGCGGTCGACTCTACACACTTTGAATCCCATATCCACCACTTCGTTCATCCCAAACTCTCACAGATCCGTCCTTCCCAGAGCTAACGAGGACAGGCCGACCCGAACCTGCTACAGAAACAACCGAACGCATGAACGTTGAAGAAATTTCGTGTCCTGGTAGTGTCTGTTCTCTCTGGAGTGTTTGTTTAGAGTATAGATAGATTGGGCACGTAGTGTTTTTGTTGTTTGCCGCATTCTTTGTAGGATTAGATGTTGAGCCAGAACTCATTGCAGCATATTTTCCATCAAAGTTTGCGAGACTGAGAACGTATGTTTCTCCGGAGGCGATAGTGCTGATGATATTACTTCGGAGAACTGAAGAAGCCGTAGCCAGGTTCGGAGAGGCGAGAAGGACCGAACCATTAGATATTTCCATCGATGCTTGCGCAGCAGATCAAGCTAATGATGATCAAGAGAAAAAATCGATGGCTCATCCTGCCCAACTTGGTCACCTGCCAGATTAATTACTCATCCTTCGTCCGCTATGTACGATCCTGCGCAGTCCTGCGCACACCTCGCATTCAGCACCGACGACTCTATACCGGGTAGCGATGTATGGCATTCATCTATGTCCTAGAAGGACTAAGGCTACATGATGTCTATACATGTTTATGCTGGGACTGCGGGTTTGTTGTCTCGTAGTGGGTTCCGCCTCCTCATCTTGATGGCTAAATAGTACTGTGGATACATATAGTTGGGCGTATATACTGATCGTATTAGATGAGAACTGTTACCACTCTTCTTCGCTTTAAGTTTCTTCTGATCATCACATTTCACCATTAAAAGTCCTCTTTGTATCCATATATTCCGAATTATGGCCGCATTGCTGTTCATTATACAGTTCATTCAACATTCAACCATTCAACTGCCCTCTGCACTGAGCTTCATCAGTATACTTACCGGGTTCATTCCACCGATCACTGTATAATGGAACTCGAAACTACATAGTGCAGTATGGCGGTACAATGATGGCTTTCACCGGATTTGTAGGTACCTTGTCCTACTCCTCAATTCATATCTGCAATCGCTCCAGGCTTTCCGAATTTCGATAAACTTCGGATAGAATTTTGGTTTCTAGACGGAACTGCATTTGCAAATTTGCTGTTTGCCAAGATCCAGAGAATATCGAGGCCCGAGTAAGCATCTTATTTCACCTTCACATAATGGTGATTGGCATGTTATCATAGGTGAGAACAGCTCCAGTCTGAGCCTCCTGATCTGCTCTTGATCATATGTATCACATTTCATCTTCGAAAGACCTCCTTGTACCCATAATCATATAATTATTTCCGCACTGCTGTTCATTACACAGTTCATTCACGATTTACAGCTTCATCAATACCGGAATAATATTTGGAATTCGAAGCTATTTGTAGTGTGGTGCAGGCAGTGAAACCTGATCAGATTTGTAGGTACCTTGGCCTACTAAGATTACAAGCAGCGCTCGATTTTCACAATTGCGAATATTGCTCTGGGCTTTTCTCCATGTTTCTTGCTTGTGATAGGTGGTTTTTGATGTCTAGACCGAACTGCGCTCGTAAATTTGTTGTCTGACGATATCGAGGCCCGAGTAAGCATGTTATTTCTCCTTCACATTCACATAATGGTGATTGGTATGTTAAATGTTAACGTTGCTTTGACATACCTGAGTCATGAGGACGGCAACGTTCACCAGAAACACAGAATGTAGAAGGAGTTTACCTGACAAGATGCCTTTCATGACATGATGTTTCGTTAGTCGAAAAGTTGGAACGGCTATAGTCGGCGGAACCCACTTCCGCTTCACGGTACTCTTGGGTGCGGGTGCAGCTGCGCCTTATGCCCCGACGCCCCGACGCAGGCGACATTTGAATTTGAGTAATACATACATAATAAAAATTAGAACGTGCTTCACGGAGACAGACGTCGCCCTCAGGCACCGACGGTGACTGTTTCCAGAACGACGGATGTTTGATCCGGCATAGATAGCGACGGTTACGTTTGATTACGTACTTTTAGTTGCTCCTTTGTCCTATAAACGAACAATAACCAGCCACCTTTGTTCTCTCACCTAACCACGGCCACGCTCTTATTGTTATCCTGGGCAACATATAATCAAAGCCTTTGTCTTCTACTTTCACTCCGTCTCTTTTCTCCTCTTTTCTGACGGCTGTGATACCTCCCCAATTTCTATCAACCTTTCACTACTCTGTATTTCTCCGTTGTTCATCAGAAAATGATGTCCACATCCTCATATCCAGTTCTTCCTCCTACCACAAATGAACTTACACCATCTCAGCGTTTACGCCTGATGCGCTCGACGCGGAAACTGGGTAAAATGCTAGGCACCACACCCGTAATAAATTCTTCATCCGAGTTTGGCCAGCATCTTTCGGCAAATCATAGGGATACTCCCAGTATCTCTTTGCACCATTCTTCATCGCCTCGATTTACACACGCGCCGAAGAAGTCCAAAGCTCTTCCTCGCCCACTCGTGTTATCTTTACAGTCTCTCCCTGCTTCTTTCTCATCTCCCAGGTCATCCGCGGGTCCTACATCACCGCTTTCGCCGACATCTATATCTACCAACATCGCTTCATCTAGCTCATATCGTGACGATCATGACTCTTTGGATGATTCACTACAGACTCGCCGGAAGCGCATGGCAAAACTTACTCGGACCCTTGGAGAGAATATACCTCCCGAGTTGGTCTTTAACTCTCAACTGCATCATTCCCACTCTCGAAGCACCTCTGTTGAAGCAGCTTCTGCTCTTGCAAACTTAACGGTCACCGCTAATGGCTCCACAGAGCCTTCTCGCCATACCCAAGAGACTCTCGTTCCCTTGCGAATGAAGAGACTTCCGCAGACACCTACCACGATGTCCCGTAGCGCGTCGCTACGAGCTCCGTCACCTTCGTTCGTTGCTCGGCGAATGATGCGAAAGCGTCACGGCCAACCTCACACGACGAGTCACGTCGAGCTCACTCCTTCCGGCGGTCGCAAATCCTCCGACACCATCCGCTCTGCTGTTTCTTCGTGCTCTACTGCCTCCGAGCCGGGCCATTTGAATGAATCAAAACGGACTTATCGGAAACAGGCAGGGTGGAGCGGGGAATGGAATCGCCAGGATATGGATGAGGTTATGAATCGACTACGGGGGCTGAAGGCTGCATAAGCTTGAAGCATTGTGCCCTTTTTCTATCATAACAGGGCTGGTCCTTTTCCAAAAACAAAATTTTTGATTTCGTCACTGGGTTGCCCTCATCTGGACATTGGCGAACCACAAACTCAATCGCAACTTTTTTTCTTCATCAACTTCCATGCATTAGACCAATTGTACTATCCTTCATTCTTGCCTTTGTAAGTTGTATGAACTGTATCTTTTTGTTCATGTCTTCTCCTTTTTCCTCTATCTTCATTTTGTACTTGATGGGCTTTGTAACCTTTATATCCTTGTTGCTGTTTACTATTGATTGATAGCAGGCGGCACCAGCAGGCTTCGCTGTTCCTGCTCTGCGGCGCAGGTAATGTACAGATGATAAACTTTTCTCTTTCTTTCACGAACATATAATATTTACTTCTAGTATCTCATACCACGCTCGTTTTTGTCCTCCTTTTACTTTAATTCAACCTCTCAGCCAAATAATATTATAATATCTATTCACTCTGCACACGGCCTTCGAATACCTTCAAGCTTACGCGTATGGTCACGACTGGCACCTAGGACTACACAGGATATTGGACACTAACACACGGCAATCCGATTCCTAGATGACGCCTCTTCTAATTATAAGTTCTCAATTCCTCACATTGATGTTCACGTGCTCACGAGGCAGCGTTGTACGATTTCAACCAGCTTATCGGAAGTTATCGCTCCTCACTTGCTATTCCTTTTCAATTCTCCCAATCAGAGTATTCGATTGACGGCAAGGCGAATTTCAAGCTCCATGCTCGTCTCCGAGCGCTAGCTTGACATACCTAGTACACATCGGGCGCACTGGAACTTGAAGAAATGAGAAGATTGATTAATCTGCGCTGCGTCACCTGTGTCGGTAAACTTTCATGCTCAGAAATCTACCCGTCGCCCGCTGCGGTCTCTGTACGTTGACCATGATTGTTCTTATCTTGGACAACTTCTTCCTTCCTTGATCTATCGTGTTTTCGCTGACATTGTTCTCAAAATAATCACATTCGTGAACTTGATGAATCTCTATTAATGCATAGCTAATTCAATACCTTCTGCCAGTGGAGGTTGGATATTGAATATCCTACATCGACACCGTGTTAATGGCAGTTTTGTATGAGATCATTGGGATCACATCTCGGACGGTAGGAGGAGCATATAAAGGTTCCCTCCCTCATCAACTGAATCAGTAAACTCACGGTATACATGGCTTCGCTATTAAGACTTCAGCCCCTCAAAGGCCTCTATTTGATCTACCAGCTCATCAGCACAGTGTTAATACGACTTCCAATATGGGTTCTCACTTCAATCCCCAGGTATGCACTTCTACTACCCTACTATTGCTGTGCTCTGTGCGGCTCAATAACCACTTGCTTCGCAGGTCATGGCGTCCTAGACCGCATTGGACGATGAGAAAATCTGTCAAGCTTAAGGTGGTGCGCCATATGATAGATTTAACGACTATGTGAGTTTTCATATAAAATCCGGGACTCGTATCAAAATCTAATGATTTTTCCCTTAGAATCGGACCCTTGAGGAAAACACCAAATCATCTGGCTATCACCCCCGGCACAGGAGTTAATGGCGTCTGGATCCCCCCCATCCCAGGACTCGTCAAAGAAGAGCTGGAGAGGTGGGCCAACGTATCCCAAGTCATTTCCACTGAAATTCCTGGTTACTGGCAACACAAAAAAGGATCAACAATCGACATCGCCGCTCCCCCTATGCCTGGAGAAAAAGTTATCTACAGTCTCCATGGAGGTGGTTATATCACCTTTTCTGCTCATCCTTCGGATATGACTGCAGCTATCGCTCGAGGTCTCCTCCAGCACGTTGACTCTGTCCATCGTGTCTTTTCTTGCGAATATCGACTTTCTTCCGGGGAAGGGGTGAGAGCACAGAACCCATTTCCTGCGGCTTTGATCGATGCTTTGGCGGGATATGTTTATCTCGTCGACATTGTCAAATTCGATCCTGCAGATATAATTCTTGAAGGTGAATATTCCATCACCATCTGTAACAATTGTCTCATCAACCAATAGGGGACAGTGCTGGAGGAAATCTAGCTCTTGCATTGACTAGATACCTAATCGAGCACCAAAACTCAGGCCTTCCTTCTCCACCTGGCGCTCTGCTCTTGCTCTCAGCCTGGGCAGACCTCAAACCCCCAAATGCCTGGCTTGACAATGCTAAATCCGACTTTATTGACCTCGCGGATGGAGGGACTTTAGCACGCGCCGTCATTTCCTTCGTCGGTCCGCACGGTCTCAAAGCCGCAGAAACCAACCCAATGATATCACCCGGGTCACGGAACCCTGAAATGAAGATCCATTTTCACGGTTTTCCAAGGACATTCATCGCGGCGGGAGGTGCTGAGGTGCTTTATGATATGCTTTGTTCTTTGAAAGAAAGAATGGTTAGTGATTTAGGTGAAGGTGATGGGGTTCGGCCAGGAGAGGGGAAAGTGCGCTGGTATTGTCCTCCTGATGCTTCGCATGATTGGGTCGCTTTTCCGCAAGATGAAACAGAGCGTATCGATACGCTAAAAGCGATAGCTACTTGGGTCGCTGCTTCGTAGTTTCATATTCAAGGTTTCTGTCAGGTATTTTGATCACAATTCATAAATATTAGCGAGAAAGAGTTTTTTTCTTGTTCTTGCGTTCTTGACTGTTTATTGCTGCTTCTGCTGCTTCTGAATCGGAATTTGGGCAATGAGACTTCACAGAGCAAGGTATATTTGAATTGGGCCTTATAAGGCCTTATATATATACGTACAGCTTTGACCTTTGCCTCTTGCTTCACTTGATAATTCATGCTGAATTGTGTGAACCTGCTCATAAGGAATTTGAAACGCTCGACCTTTCGAAATATGTCCACGGTTACTAAATCTTCTCCATCCGACGCCAACTCGAATAGTAGGACTTATATCTTCATGCTCTGCTCAAACAACGATACATTCATTACGACACAGACAGTCGAAGACCTCGAAACCCATGGAATGACCATGTCCCACGACCACGAAAAGGATTTGGAAAGAATATCAATGATACAGGAAGGAGCAGGCCAACCCATTGTGAGTTTGCGTTATAGCTTACTTGTGATCATAACGCAGCTCAACCACATACTTAGTTCTTTGCCTTCCCTTAGTAAAGTGATGTTGCCTTCCGCCATTAATTTCAGGTTCTCAATCCATAGATAGGGACATCATCCAGACTTGCAAGATAAAATGACAAAATTTCAATCATCCTTGCTTGAAGGTTCAGTCGATGGACTGGATCCATCCATATTGATCAAACCTCGGAGACTACACTTTACTCTAGGTGTAATGAGCCTTTCGCCTCAATCCTCCATTTCTAGTCAAAGTTCAACAACCGTTGAATCCGCGTTGACGCTCCTACGATCCCTGCAACCTCAATTGACCGAATTATGTGCAGTCGGCAAAAGCGGAACTCTCCAGGCTTCTTTGGAAAGATTGGGTGCATTTGAATCAAAGGACGGGGCTAGAGTGATGTGGGTCAGTCCAAGAGAGAATGAAGGATGGCCAGAATCTGAAGAGGAGTTGGAGGAACGGGTGAAGCTTGTGCGTGTTGCCGGTGCGTTTCATTGAAGTTCATGTGAAAATGTATTCTTGAGCTTGATGATAATGTATTCTACAGACATGGTTCATCGGGCGTTCAAGGACGCAGAATATATCACTGAAACCAGGCCACTCAAAGTATGCGCTGTATCATCCTTTGCCCATGTCCAAATTTAAACCACCGTCTTATTTAGCTTCACTGTACGCTCATCAACACCAGTTACCGAAAACCGTTCAGCAGAAAGCCACAGCTCTTCTCCTTCACCGATGTACTCGCTTCCAATACCTTATCAGAATTTCGCCCGAATGGATATTCCACACAGGCCACTTCCGTATCATCACCTTCAGAGTCATCCCCTGATAGAACGACTCGAGTCGCCCTTGGAACGTATACTATTCCCGAAATACAGTTGTGCGCAATGGGAAGCCATGGGCCTGAGGATGAATATGTTAGCTTGGGAAGTGTTAAGTTCAATGCCGATGTCGCTCGTGGTGAATGAGTAGTATGTTCTGATAGTGCTATTTCGATCAATTGTTCATTAATCTCATTGGCCAAGGTCGAAAATGAATCCACAATAAACACTGTGACAACCAGAATTGGTTTTTTGCTTAACTGAACCGTTTTGGCTGTTCACAGAGGCAGTTTTGCATCCACCATGCGCTAATCCAAAGTCGAAGTCAAGCTATTCACCTTACTAACAGTCTGTATTAATCAAATTGAGGCCCAGACATAGGCTTGAAATCCATTGGTAGTAATGTGAACTGTACAACTTGAACTGTCACGAAGCGGCAGAGGCAGAGTGACTAAGCAAGGCAGTGAGGCGGAGCGACTAAGCGGAGCGGAGGCAAACTGGTCCCAGATAATGACAGATATTGTACAAGTAAAGGCGTCAAGATGGTGAGAAAAGGAAAATGATAGGGGCTGCGTACTATATGACATTACCCCCCTCCTTATGACCATTGCCCTTGATGGTCAAGGTTTTGCTGCTGATGGATGTTTTTTGTGAAAGGCTCGAACAATTTTTGGTGCCTGACTGAGGTTGGGTGTGGGTTCCCAAGAGTTGTGCCCTGCGTCGTAACCTTTCCACTTAACTAAATATTCCAACTTCTTCTATTGAACCTAACTGTCTAAGATCTCCTCTACTTCGTATCCCGGTTCATCTTCATCCTCTAAGTATACCAGCTCTGGTGGTGTTGGTATTTCACCGTTAATAGGGTTACCTTTCCAAAGATATAGTTTGTCAACATGAAAGACAGGATGAAGGTGATCTAGGGACAGGAGGATGAAGGTGATCTAGGGACAGGGGGAGGTCAAGGCGATAGTCTAAGGGCCCAATTTTTTCCAGAATACGATAAGGTCCAAGTTGCCGGTCTCCTAGCTTTTTGCTGGATAGCTGAAGGTTAATGTCCTCTGCACTGAGCCAGACTAGGTCCCCAACTTTGAATTGATGAGCTTTTTGCTTCCCACGTTCATATCCCTCCTTCTGTTGCTTCTTTCCTAGATGTAAAGCGGCTCCAGCATCCTGTCATGCTTCTCGGAGAATCCGTATGCAGTCGTCCACCGCTGGAATGCCGCTGCGTTGACCAACTGGGATATTGAATAGGGGGAGGTTGTCATGCCTTGCCTGATTTTGCTTCCTTACCTATCATATTCCTCCTTACTACCTTCCTATATCTCCCCACTGTATACCCAGAGCTCCCCTTGTCCGCTTTTACCATTATGTAATATGCCACATGGCTGTCACATGTATAGTATATAGGCTGGGGACTCCCCTCAGAGCTCCCCAGCGTGTTATTGTCAAATCTTATCTGGAAACTCTTCCAACCTGGCTTGGTCCCTGTTAGTACAGTCTACTTGTACTTGCTAACAGGGCCTGACACGTCTCACCTGTCATACATTTCCTCTTTATCTGTTTCCCTCAACTCTGTTTCCTTCACCTCTGTTTCACTCAACTCTGTTTCTCTTCTCTGTCTCACCTCTCTGAACACCTCTCTCAACTTCCTGAGCCTCTCCTACGACTTACAGTCTACGTCGAGGCTCCACACCCCCAACCACCTCCATTCTCACCAACTACACCTCCTTTCCCCACTCCAGGACCTTTGGCTAGGTCCACCCAAGCTCCGCAACCACCACTGGTCAGGCTCCCTACACCAGTAGCGGCACTTATCCCACCTCCCCTTGTACGGCCTAGGCAGCTGTCCTGCTTGCTTAGGCCCAGTCCAGATAGGACGAGAGCAGGCCTTTTGTGCCAGGCCTCACAGAGGTATCCGTAGGTTAACTCGAATGGGGACATGCCTAGGGCCAAATGAGTCCGCGAATTAATCACAAACTCCGCCATAGGGAGATGTTCTGCCCAGTCATCTTGTTGTCGTCCCATGGAGAGGCAGATGTATTTCTCCACTTCTTGATTTGCATGTTCAGTTTGGCCATTGGACTGAGGACGGTATCTGGAGGTTAGATCTGATTTGATTCCCAGTCTAGCGAGGAGGGATTGCATGAGTTTAGCTGCAAACTGAGGTCCGCGGTCGGATTTAAAGTGGAGGGGAAGACCATGGAGATGGAAGATCTCTCGGTAGTAGATATCAGCGACACCTTCAGCTGTGATGGAGCTGGTGCAAGGAATAGCATGGATTTGTTTTCCATACAGGTCTGTACAGACCAAGACCGCGTTGTATCCTTGGGAGTTAGGCAGTTGCGTTATCAGGTCAACCCCTACCTCTTCCCATAGACCAGATGGTACGTCCAGTGGTTGAGTTACAGCTCGTGGGTGTCATTGGATCTTCTCGCGGGCACAGATCTCACATCCCTCAACATATTTCTCCACAAAAGAACGCAGTGTTGGCCACCAGAAGTGGGTGCTAACTAGATCGAGTGTTCCGTGGAGCCCAGGGTGTCCAGCAGTGGGATGGTCATGACATTGATGTAGTACTTCAGTGCACAGGTCATCGTCTGCTGGCACATACACTCGTCCTTGGTAGTAGACCAGACTGTTGTCCTCCTCCCATTCAGCGATTCCATTGGCCAAGCGCTGTAGTCTGTGCTCTTTGACTGTTTTGAGACCTTCCAATACCTGTGCTTCCTGCTGTGAGGCTTTCCGGATGCAATCCTCTAAGGGGTTCTGTAGGATAGAAGCTGCAATTTTGGTGAAATTGTTGGGCTTAAGGACTGTCTGCTGTCAATTATCCTCATTGTCCAGTACCTGGTGGGCTGCCATGCGGGAAAGAGCATCAGCCTAAGTGTTTATTCTACTAGGGCGGTGGATCATGTGGAAGTCAAACCGTGAAAGGTATAGAGCCCAGCGAGCTTGGCGGCGGATGAGGTCTTGAGCTGTGCGCCAAAATTCAAGGTTAGAGTGGTCAGTGATAATGTCGAATAGCTGGGGTAGTCCCTCTAGGAAGTTTCTCCAGTCCTTCAACACTTCTATGATGGCTAGCATTTCCCGGTCATAGATCTTGTAGTTTCGTTCTGCTGGTTGCATAGAGGCTGATCTAAAGGTGACAGAATGCCATTGGCCATCATCTTGCTTCTGCATGAGGGCACCGCCAGTAGCAAAGCCTGAAGCATCTACCTCGATTCGGGTTGGTCTGTCTGGTGTCCATAGGGCTAGGATGGGTGCAGAGATGAAGGCCTCTCGGAGGGTATCAAATGCTTGTTGCTGGGTGTCCATCCAGGTGAAGGATATGTCTTTCCGAGTAAGGTCGTTCAGGGGCCTGGCTATCCTTGCAAAGTTCCGGATAAAGTGCCGGTAGAAGTTAGCAAATCCAAGGAATCCTCGTAGCTCTCTAAGATTAGTGGGGGCTGGCCAGTTGCAAACTGCAGCTACCTTTACTGGGTCCATCCTCACCTCCCCTTCCGATATAATAAGGCCTAGATATTCAATCTGTTGTTGTTTGAATTCACACTTCTCCGGTCGTAGGTATAGATCATGCTTCTCCAACCGGGTTAGTACTTCCCGTACTACTCATCGATGCTCCTGAAGATCACTGCTAAAGATGAGGATGTCGTCTAGGTAAACCGCTACTTTTCCAGCTGCAATGAGGTCTGCAAATATAGCATTCATAAGTGCTTGAAACGTTGCAGGGGAGTTGGTGAGACCAAAGAACATAACCTTAGGCTCAAACAGCCCTCGTGTGATTGCAAAGGCCCCTTTCCATTCGTGACCTTCCTTGATTCTGACGTTGTTATAGCCCCAGCGTACATCAAACTTGGTGAAATATCGAGCCCCTTGAAGCCGACTAATTATATCAGCCACCAATGGGAGGGGGTAGCAGTTCTTCACAGTATACTCATTCAGTTTCCGGCAATCCTGTACAAAACGGAGTTTCCCATCCTTCTTCTTCACAAAGAAGACTGGGGACGAGATGGGTGATTTGGAGGGAACAATGTAGCCTTTCTGCAGATTCTCTTCCAGAAAGCGATCCAACTCCTTCTGCTTGTTTAGGGACATGGGGTTAATCTTGGTGCGCATGGTCGCTGGTGCTTCAGGTATGAGATCAATTGCATGGTCCCAAGGTTGGTGGGCAGGTAATTGTTTGGAGGCGGATTCTGAGAAAACCTTCTTGAAATTGCGGTACTGCTCAGGGACCATTTCTTCAAAGGTTTTAACAGGTTTGTCTCGGTTGGCTTCCTCTGCTAGCTGCTGGGAGTAAGTAAATCCTGCGGCGCACCAGACTTCCTCAGTCTGTTCCTCTAGGATTCCTGCTTTTACCCATGCCCGGCGAGTTTTATGATTGGCTCAGATTCGGTGTATTGGTGGTTCCTCCACCACTGCTGATTCGCTCTCTTCAAGGGTCGCTTCTAGTGGCACCTCAATGTGAGGGGGTTCAGCGGGAGGTTCCAGGTTCGGGAGTTCAGAGATTGGGCTTTCTGTGTTAGCGGCGACTAGATGAGAGTATGAGATCTCCTCATCTGGGACTTCTTCTATAGCTACTCGAGGGGGCTTTACTGAAAGTCGTCCTTTCTCCCAATCGATCTCCGGATTTACCTTCCGTAGCCAGGGGAGTCCAAGGATGACGTCTTCACCTCCTAGGTTGGTGATCAGAAAGTCCATCCATCACTCTTGATTATCCACTGTGAGTGCTAGGCATGCAAAATGGGTTATCCGTCCAGCTCGGTTAGGTGTTCCATCGATATTAAAAACGTTGATTGGTTTATGAAGGAGTGCACATCTTACATGGTTCCGGGTGGCAAAGTCTTGGTTTAAAAACAGGGCGGTAGCTCCACAGTCTACCATGGCTGCAGTTGTTATACTATGATTCCTTCCTCTTAGTCTCACATGAATTCGGAAATGTGGGGAAATGGAGTTTAATTCCCGGATCGACGATATTGTACATGATGGGTGCGAGTCATACGAAGAAGCAGCGAACATAACAAACTGATTACGGGGTACTCTCGGTGCAGCCGAAGCGGGTACCCTCTTTAAAAACCCTGTTGAAAGCCAGCGGACAAGGAGGACATAGCGTTAGCACGATCGGGTAATTCCCTTATTTGACCAATCTGGTTGGAAAAGTCCTGGTTAGGGGGGGCTCGGAGTAGCAGGTACGGTTGCGGGAGCAGATGTTGGGGTCGAGGAAGCGATCTGGACGGATTCATTTGGGAACAGGGAGAATGGCGCAGGTCCCGTAGCGGATATCTGCTGGCGTCGGCCTCGGTCTCGTCCGAGTCCCATGAACTTGTCTTGGCAGACTGCTTCCAGATGTCCTCGGCGTCCACAGTAACGGCAGGTGGTTTCTCGGTGTGGGCAGTTTTGCTTGACATGACCTTGGGCACCACAGCCGAAGCATCGTCCTCGCATGCGAGCTAGGAATGCCTCCCTAGTATTCCCATTACTAGTGTGGGTTGCATCAATGTCCATAGCGTGGGGGTCAGCAGGAGTAGTGTGAGCGGTATGCATGGGAGCGTGTCCAGAATTTTGGCCAGTCATGGTGGGATCATGCAGGTAGACATCCACCGATATGGCCCATTTGATTGCCTCCTTCAGAGTCAGAGCAATTCCTTGGGCAATGTCTACGGTGATGAGATGTTGTCGGATCTCTGGAAGTAAGGCAGTGAAGAAACGTTCCCGCAAATCAATATCAGACATTTCAGTCCGATCTCCGATATCCTTGAACTTCTGAGCGAATTCTGCAACTGTCTGCCCTTTACTTTGCCTGAGATTCTTGATCTCGCTACGGGCTTCCATACCTGGGTCCATTGATTTAAACCGTTGGGCAAATTCCTTCAGGAACGTATCCCAATTTCCTCCGAAAGGGGGATTTTCCGTGCTGAAATGTAGCAGATGGGGAGTTGCCCAATCTCCGGCACTTTCTGTGAAGAAGCCCAGGGCAGACTTGATAAGTTTCACTTGGCTTTTGGCGAGATCAGGTTGTTCTGATGCCCAATTTTGGAACTGAGCCATGAAGCAGCGAGCTTCAGAGCCGTCTTTACCCTTGAAAACCTCAGGTTTGTTCATGCTTGACTTGGAGGACGAGCATTCCTCCATAGCTGTAGCAAGGTTGGCTACTTGTCTGATGAGCTGAGCCATGAGATCCTCAGCAGAGGTAGGTGGGGCAGGCGGGGCAGGTGGGGCAGGAGTCGACATAGTTGGAGTAGGCGGTCGGGGATAGGGAATTGGCAAGAAGGTGGTATCTTCTACGGTGATTGGGTTCTGGACTGAATTGGAGAGCGCGTGGGGGCAAGGCTGAGAGTCACAGTCGTACCAGCTATCACCAATATGGTGGACGTGATGCTGATCTCTGGGGTTAAGTGCGTGTTGGAGAGTGGAGCAATTGGTTGTAGCAGTATGATCAGAGAGATCTACGGGTGTAGAAGATGTGATGTATGCGGATCCTGCAAGGACAACCTTATCGGTAGGCTGTCAGTGCAGTAATGGATCTTGACCTAATGTCATGAAGCGGCAGAGGCAGAGTGACTAACGGAGCAGGAAAGCGGAGTGACTAAGCAAGGCGATGAGGCGGAGCAACTAAGCAGGTCAGTGAGATGGAGCGACTAAGCGGAGCAGAGGCAAACTGGTCCCAGATAATGACAGAGTTATATTGAGTATCATAATCACAGGTAATAGTAAGTAAACACATACCTGGTCCCAGATAATGACAGAGAGGTCAAGATAAGGGACCAGGCTGTGGAGGGTCGGCTATATATACATAATCCGATCTGCGAGAAACAACGATGTAATACTGTACAGTTCAGGGGCAAGGAAGGTGGCGGAAGCCGATAGAAAGAGAAGGTGGGTCAGGTGGATCAGTAATCAATGGGGGTTGACAGCGATGGGATGATGTATCGTACAAGTAAAGGCATCGAGACAGTGAGAAAGGGAAAATGATAGGGGCTGCGTACTTTATGACAAGGTGGATCAGTAATTGATGGGAGTTGACAGTGATGGGGTGATGTATCGTACAAGTAAAGGCATCAAGACGGTGAGAAAAGGAAAATGATAGGGGCTGCGTACTTTATGACAGCCTCGCAGTACTTCGATTGTTCTTCTAGTCATTTTTCTCAACCATGCAACCTGATTGGTCTATTAGACTAAATTGCAGTCTTTTAGATTAATGCATGATCTTGTTCTAGAAAGAGTATTTGACAATTCCTGAGTTCTAGAAAGTCATTTCGAGTCAATCCTTGGCTCATGGTCACTTGAGTAAGTTCTTCCAAACTCCTGCCAGTGTAAGGTCCAATAAGAATACCCTTGGTATGTTATACATGAATGGTCATCCTTCAGATGTAGTCCAAGTCTGGTATAATCCTGCTTGACAAACAGGTAGACTTTTTATCTGAAGGTAGTATTGGGGATGGGTAAACTAGCCAACTTGTGGTAGTATGGGTTTATAGTCCCTTTAACTATTAGAGTGATTCAGTATTGACTTTGACTGTCAATCTGGGTCTCAATTACAGTCCTCTTGATACAAATCTACACATGAAAGTGTCACAATTCACTGCATAGATGTCTAGCCAAAATTTAGGCGTGTCACCGGGAGGTCAGAACTGAAATAGGAAAGGTGTCAGGATGGGCTAGATGCCGAGAATAGGATCATACAACACAACCCCCTGGTTAACTCTTTTGCTCCTGCAAAAGCAGATGTGTATAAACTACAAGGGTTGATAATCTGTAACAAAGATATAATATAAAATGGAACTAAAAAGGAATTTGAGATATCAGTACACAGTATCATTGAAAATGAAAAAAAACCTCGGAGATATAATTACAAGGGATCAAAAATGAGAAAGATCAGAAAAGAACATCAGACCATTTGTCGTTCAATCAGACCGGCTGTAGGTCAAATATTTACTTCTTGCTGTTGCCAGCGCTTTGACCTGTTTTCATTCTTTCATGAGCATCTTGTCATTGAAGGTCAGCAGAGGCATACCACAGAAAAGGGTCTGGCAATTGGGAAGGAACTTTGGAGTAATAGGGTCAAAGTCGGGTGCCGTTATAAAGGTGTCGAAGGATGTATCCATTTCTAGTCATCAGCTAGTAAGTATTTTTGCCAGAAACATCTTGAATAATGAAAGGTCCATCCCAGTGAGGATGAATCTTGGACTGACGTTCACTCTTCCTCAGGACCAAATCTCCAATACCCAAACCTCTTTCTTTGTATTCATCTTCTTGCTTTGCTGCCTCCACTTCCAACTATTCCAAAGCTTTTGCATTAGCCTCTTCACAATATTGTTCCAAGTTTTTAATATGCTTGAGGCGTCGCTCTTGAAGGACTGAAATTTCGACGTCGGAAGGAGGGATGTGGAGGGTGTCATATACAGTATCACCAGGAAGACAAGGTTCAAAACTGAACATCATCATTCTGGGGGAATATCCAGTGCTGGGATTTTTGTGAGCGCGATGAGCAAGGAGTGCATCTGGTATGTACTCATCCCATTCTGTCTGTTTGTCTGGAGCACAGAATCGAGCTAAAATTTGGACTAGTGTATCATTAAATTTTCCAAGATGAATCCTCCTGTTGTAGGGGCGATATTGCACTGTTGTCTAACCGCGATCTATCAACCCCTCAGAGCTCAGCGCAGTGGTCTCTGCACAAGCTGTGGTCAACCGGGCACGAGGGAGTCGTCAGAAGCCTTCTGTGGGACGAAAAGGTGAGTGATCATCTTTTATCTTACCTACTTTACGTAGAATGGCTAATTTTACATCTTTGCTTAAATAGGATCAAGTCCTAGTCACGGGCGGAGAAGATGGAAAAATCTGCGTCTGGCCTGGACTATCCCAGGGCGGCCTTGGTGGGCGGGGTGTCGTTGTCGAAGATGAATCTGCCATGGACGTCGATTCTGATTTGGGCAATAAAAGAAGTCGTTCAAGGGATATGGATTGGGATGCGGAAGACGTTGACCCAAACGGAAAAAATGGGAAACGTTTGAAGAGATAACATTTACTACAAGGACTACCATATTGAGCATGTTAATTTTTTTCTGGCTATGTTTGACTTTTTCCTCTCGAACTTCAGTTCCGTCTCCCCCATCACCACAACCACCATCGTTATTCCCTATCATCGAATCGGGATTGCCGCCACAGCTTCGCATTTACAACATTGACTCTCAGCCAGCAAAGTTGAGTTAGAAAGATTTTACAAGTACTCTGAGGCCAATGCTCAAGGAGAGTCAGGGCGGGCATAGCCACCGAGCGGATGTAACCTGTGTTGTCGCTTCGAATTTTGAAACAACGCGTCCGCACAAGCCTTGTCAGGTCCTGGGTCGGTCTCTTCCTACAGCCGTTGTATTTCAACAGTGGCTCGCTGACATATGTTGGCGTATAATCTAAAACTGTACCTTCTTAAAGACATTCCAGTGTCATTTCAAGCGTTCAAGCGACGACAAGCTTCAATTCTTGAGACTGCGCTGCCTGGCGCTATGCCAAAGGAGGGACTGAGCGGTGCCTACCAAGGTCGACCGCTCGCAAAACGCTTATGGTTGATTGACAGCCACAATGCACTACTAATTCCAGACCTCCACGAATGTTCAACGTTCAACGGAGGTAACGATTCTGACTGAAGTTCGCTTAAAAGGTGGTCTTCACTAAGGAATCGAACATTCACCTCGCTTTCGTCTTCGTGGACCTGCTTATGTCTCAACCCAGGTATTTTCTCGCTTGATTTTAAGCTCATTCATCTACGACTTGGACATTTCTCTTCCTTGCTAACCCGACCCTAATTAGCGCCCCAGTCGCCCCGATTGCACCTCTTGCCAGTGCTGCCGCTGAAGTACCAACTAGGCAAGTCGACGTCTTTTGAATCCCTAGTCTGATTCGAAAAATTCATTGACCACACAGGCAAATGATCATCGAGCCTTGGGCCAAGCGTGAAATCAATATTGTTCTTCTCGGCGAAATCGCTACCGGAAAGACCGCTCTGGTGAACCTCATCGCGAACATGTGTCCTGGTTCCACACTGGAAGACCTCGAGGAGAAGATCGAACTCAGTAATGAGGCAGGGAACAACGGAGGCAGTCAAACGATCCAACCTCATCTCTACAGTATCACGTGTGTCAATGGGCAGAAAGTCAATATCCTCGATACTCCTGGTCTTGCTGATGGCCGTGGGATGGCTAAAGACATCGAGCATATGAAAGCGATCGTTGACGCCATTAAGAAGAATTTTCATACCCTCGACGGGATTGTCATTGTCGAATCGGGTTACTCGTACCATTTAAGTCCACCGTTATATTCCACGCTGGACAATCTATCCCACTTGTTCCCTGATTCTATCGCCAATAATATCGCCTTCGTCTTCACCGTGGTAGGACCACCCCCTGAAAAGCCTCATTTCGTCACCACTTCGCTTCGAGAAGAGCTGCAAAAAGCACCCCAATGGTCGATTAACAATCCTCTTGCGCTGTGGTTTAAATATCAGAAGAAACTCGCAGAGGGTTGGTCCGACGAAGAGCATCCCCTAGAGGAATTGCATGAAATGACTCAGCATGAATACAAACGGGCAATAGAGATGCTTTCGCAATTGTTCCAGTACTTGGACAAATGCAAGGCCCAACCTGTGAAAAGTCGAAGGGAAGATGGGGTGTAGGAAGGTGAAGGGGAGCGAGATTAGAGGAAGTGAAGTGATTCATTCGATGGGGCCTTCTGTAAAAATAATGCAATTTTCGTGTAAGAGATAAATTGAAGTACTGTGTCAAGTCATTGAACATGCTTATGCTTCCTCTTGCCCGTCCAGTTGAACGACCAAGTAGTGTATGTTACAGACAGATAATTCCATGCGCATGAACTTGCAGTTGTATTTCTGTCTATTCTATCCAACTACCGTCGCGCCCATGCCTAGATTCTATGCCCCACTGGGACAAGCGTCGCGGAGAGACGAGGAGGCGGAGTTCTGATTTCCAGTTCGGCATGGCGGTCCGCGCCGACGTACGCAATTACTAATCAACAAATGAATTCTTCCTGCTTCAGTTTCCAAATTCTTCCACACAATGTCGCGATGGACCCAATACGACGAAGTATATCTCTCTTTAATACTTATGAGTATTTCTAAACCTGTTAAAGGACAGCTACCGCCTACCTGAAGGGATGGAACGTATAGGCTACGATTCAGATAGTGGCAAGTATATATTTCGGGACAGAGATGGCTCAGTCTGGCAAGGTCCTGAGGGTGCTGAATACGGAGAGATGACCAGAGGTATGCTCTACTCTCCGCATACTAACACATGCTGATTGCAACCATTGTAACAAACACTAGTATCAGGTTCAAGTGACCAAGAGGCTCAAGCAGTCATGGAAGAACCTAGTGTGCGCGCTGACGGTTACCAGCCACTTGCAACTGATGTAAGTGTACATGCATGTAGATATACTCCTGATGCTTACCCCAGTCCCCAGATTCACTCGGACGCCCCCTTAGCTTTCCGTCGCCCAGTGAACGCAAATGCTTATCGAACTCTCGCACCCTTCTTTCTCCTCATCGGCGTAGTCCTACTACTTGTTTGGAAGCTTACACACTCCGGATGGTCCACTTCACCAAGCCCATGCCCTGCGAATGCGACTACCCCGTATATGATCCAACCAGGCGATTATTGCTGGGACATTGCACGGTCTCATAATTGCACACTTGAAGAGCTAGAATCTTTGAACCCTGCTGTTGATTGTGGCACTTTGCGACCAGGGGCGATCGTATGTCTCCCAAAAGCCATGCTGTCTTCGTCTTAGAATCATAGTTGCTTCTGCATTTCGTTTTCGATATCTATACATCTACTTCAGGGACTTTAAATTTATTTATTGCGGATGTTGTACGTGTACATATTCTCATTGTCGTACTAATATTGGAACTTGCTATCTTGTCTAATTAATTTCTTCTGGCATCCGATTTTCCGTCTGTCGCAGCTGAAAGCTCGAGGCTTTTGTTTTTGACACAAAAAAGAATGGGTGAGTTTGCCATATGTACCTCGGACTGACCTGAAAACGCTGATGACCTGGATTCATCCGATTGCAGTATATGTAATTTGATACTTCGACTCTCGAAGCATGCACTAAAAGACCCGAACGCCTGCAGACGCCGTGCTTTGAACAGCAATAACCAGGCAATAAATGACATGTTGCATATGTCCCAGAACAGGCGTTCCTGTCTCTTCCTGTCTATGGAAAATATTTCTCCCTCGCATTCCCTGGCAAAAGGCTGGAATTCACAACCCATTCAACAATATCATCTGACTCTGACATGATTCTGGGCTCGAGATTGTCAACCGCAAGGCCTTTCTCGAAGCCTGAACTTGATGTGAATTATCCTTTCATATAAAACGGTGACGAACAGATTGGGGTCCCTTCATTCAGGCAACATTATGTTCGTAAGCGTCCGTGCTCTTGTGTGCACCATTCTAAGCTTGTTGCTTCTCAACGTCGCTGGAGCACCTTCAACAACGTCGGAAGCTACTGTAGATCTAGAGGGCTTGGTTATCAGCGACCTAGTGAAGAACTTTTCTGCCTCAATTGACGTGCGTTCTTTCCAGAGTGGGTCGTTTTCAGGATGTTCACAAGTCTTCAAATTTGTAGCTTGAATCTTTCCTCGATAACCTCATTACGCGAGTGCTTTTTTTCTTCGATTATCACCCAGTCTATCCTCCACTAACAGCGAGGTATCAGTCTTGATTTCACTGGTATCTTCCATTATCCCAATCTTCCTGCAATCGTACTCACAAGTAAATTTTACCCGCGAACAGCAGGAAACATTTTGATTCTTGAAATGACCCTTGAAACAGTATCGGCCCTCACTGGAGTCAATGGCACGGCTTTCATGAGTTTTAACCACACCTTCGATCCTCCTGTAGTGGTACCCGTTCTCGGTACAGCGGATTCTGGAACAATCGACAATGTACTCATGGTGCAAGGCACTATCAACTCCCTTAATATCATTCCTCTTGGAGAACTTGATATCCTGGATATGAATATCACTGCCCGGTGAGTTCTTCTTTCGGCATTTCCATCCACCCGCTTGACGTTTCTGCCCAGTATCGGGTCGCTCGGTGGTATCGGGGGTATACCTCTGCCATTCAACGGGCTGACGCAAAGTGATGTTCCCACTACGTGAGCTTGTTTCCAAATCGCTTCATATTCTCTGACGCCTCTTGTAGGTACAGCCTACAAACTCTTAGTGTTTGAAAGTGGGTACGCTGAGAACATGGCATTCAACGTCAAGTATGATTCTAGCAGTCGCAGGATCTATGTAGTCAATTTCTTGTCCCAATCTCATCAATGTTTCAAACTCGAACATCACTAAGTACATACTCCTCAGCGTGGTAGAACGACGTGTTTGTTTTTGTGTCACAACCCATGACTAAATATTGAACAATCTCAGTCTTCATTAAGTACTAGGCTTCACTGTCGTGGACCACAACTTGCTTGGTACATTTTTGTGCGCGCCGTGAGGGGGTACAGGGCCTCCATAGTGGAACCTTCCGAACAAAACAAGTTCAAAGTGTACCTGCACATCAAAAATGTCCTGTTTTGGGGTAGAATAGGCCCTGCAAGCAAGGTGAAGTTCAGATCAAGTTCATACGTAGGAAAATAACCTGTTACTTCTGCGCAGTGGCCCGCCTCCCAGATCGACCACCTAGACTTTCATCATCAGTCTATTTGTCCCCTTCAAAATTTTGCCTAAGGATTTGCATTAGTTCCTCTGATTCTCGTGTCCAGTCAATCCGTCCTATGAGCTGCACACTTGCGGGCCCTATATTCACTGTTTGACTTATGGGGGGGCTTTTGAGGGGGTTTGGGCTTGAGCATAATTCACATGATTGGACATTAAAATAGACTGCAATGCGCTTCGATTCTTGTAAAAATCCTCAAGTTAGTTGTCACGGTATTGGCTACATATGCTCTTAGAACCGGTGATCTTTTCTAGGAACCTTTCTTCCTTAGGTAGCGTTAAGAGCGCGACCCACCTATCACAAGGATCTCCTGAAGAAGAAGCACGCACCTCAATATAATCAACATCAACATCTGACTCTCACTCGCATGTCCAAGCTCGGGGCTTTCCCGACCGTAAGTAGTACAAAATAGCGTTGGCAATGAGGAGATCATCGTCCTGTGCCACCCTGATCCATCATGTTCGTAAGTGTCCATGCTCTCGTTTTCACTCTCTTGAGCCTGCTACTCATCCATGTCGCTGGAATACCTGCACCCGCGACGGATGCCACTGCTGATCTCGGAGGACTATCCATCGGCGATATCATCAATGCACTAGGCATCGGACTGGTACAGAACATCTCTGCTATAATCACCGTGCGTACTTTCCTTTTTATCAACAACTGCTTTTCAACCAAATTGAAGGCTCGTATATTCACTACAGCTCGAATCTCTCACCACTAACCTCATTGAGCAAGTTTCCGCCATATTCTCGCTGCCTGTCCTCCACTAATACTGAAATATTAGGATCGACTTCACCGGTATTTTTCTTTTCCCTAGGCTCTGTGTTTTTCCGAAAGCTTAACTGGGAACAGTAAAAAACCCTTTGATCATTGAGTTAACCCTCGATAGGGTGTCAAGTCTTGCTGGAATCAATAACACGGTCTACGCCAGTTTTGACCACACGTTCGATCCCCCTGTAGTTGTTCGCCCTCTCGGCACAGCAGATTCGGGCACCATCGACAATGTACTCTTGGTGCAAGGAGCTATCAACTCTCTGAACATAATTCCGCTTGGGGAGCTTGATCTCCTGGATGTTAATGTTAGTGTTCGGTGAGTTTCAATTCATTACTTCACATTGTAGGTAACTTGACTATCAATATTTGTAAGTGCCGCCTCGATTGATGGCTTCGGAGGTATACCCATTCCCATCGATGGACTGAAGCAAAGCGATGTTCCTACTACGTAAGCTTGAGCGGCATTGATTTTGAATCATCTCTTTGACAATCTCTTTAGTTACAATTTGGACTTGGACTAATTGAGGAAATAAAAATATGCCACATGGGGAGACTCAGATGCATCCTGCATCATACTGTCTTGAAATTTGTGTCTTATGTAGTAGTACAATGAGATGATGGTTTACCAACATACACCAGGTTAGAGATATCATAAACAGTGTTTCGCATACGAAGATGGAGACCATCAATGTTTTATGCCGCCGTGCCACAAATCTACATGGTCAAAACATTGATGGTTTTCAATTTTTGTCCTCTGCCTCTCTTCGATATCCAGAACAAGATCAGCAACGCCAGCCCAAAACAAAACTGGTAGACGAACCTTAATAAGAAGTAACCTGCAATCATCCATCATGATCTCATTCACATTGAAAGTATCTTTGCTGATGACCTCCACATAAGGAAGACACGAGACGATATTCTCCCTGAACACTCCTCGAACATTGACTTTCGTGGGTCCATTAACGACGCGTCTGTATCCGCCGCGATCTCGGATCATATCTGGCGAGCATCCACCAATCTCCTGAACATCATACGACGGGGAACAAGGTGTTCGGGGCAAGGGTGGATCCTGAGTACCCGGAATTTCCTCCTCTTCTTCCAAAGCCTTGGAAATCGAATACGGGTTGAAGTCCCGTACCCGAAGAAATTTTGGTAACGTGCTCGTGCATCCCAATTGGCTTTCAATGTCACCTACGGCTTCGTCGAAAATAAAAGCATCTTCATCTTCGTCTGATTCGTCTCCGCCATTGTCTTCGTTATCAGAGTCACTGTCACCATGTCTGTATTCTGAATTTCCACTCAAATCGCGACTGCCATCACAATGGAGTAAGTCCTCTAAAGCGGCTCTATCGACCACGCAGTCTGCTGTGCGAAGACCGTATATTGAACGTTGCCAATCTTTGCTTAAGTGCTCTAGGAACCATCGTGTATTCTGAGGACCCCATGCTTCCCAGGGAATAGGGATGCGCGATTGTGTGCTAGATGGAGTTGCTCGACCGGAGGTCGAGGGAGAGGTATCGAAGAGCATGGATGAAGACCCCGCGTGAATAGCTCGAGGAGTGGGAAAGTTAAGGAGATTGTGTGAAGTATCATCCGATGAGACAGATGATGCGGAGGAGCCTGATTGAGGGGAAGAGGGTGCGGATGATGCGGAGGAGGAAACCAAGTCGGAGAGAACCGGACTATTATAGTCCAGAGTGGAAGGCGAGGACGCTTCAATTGCGTTAGGACCCTGCCATGTAGAAAATAGATCTATCCCTGCGTTTCCGGAAGAGGGTTTCCGAGGCAAAGGTGGATTTAATAACGTGTCAGGATGGAAGAAGAATACGAAGGGATATACGGTGTCTCTATTAGGCAAGGCAGATTGATACACGTATATGCAACACGCATGAAGTCGATCAGCTGGAGAGCAATGATATGTCTTTTCCTCCCCGGTAGGTCCTGGAAAACGTGGTGATGGATTACTGCTGAGACTGATGTACCAGAAGCTGTACGCAGGAGATAGCATAGGTAACTCGTAACAGGCGCGGAGAATCGGATTTGTTGGATCTGATATGGAATCCGAAAAACTATAAACGTCGAACAATCCATTTGGTTCCACAAGAAGAAAATGATCTTCAGACAAGAAGGTGAAATCGTCAATACCAAACAACGACTTAACCATGCACTGTTTAAGCAGTCAGTAAAAGAAGAAACATTGACGGGTATCGTACTGAGTTTGGAGAGACGGCTTGCCATTTGAACACTAATATTAACATTGAGACACAGGTTGATTTTCATACAATTATTGGCACACCTTCGAAATGGGCTCGTAGAGACAACAATGCCTCCTTGACGAGGAAGCCGATCACATCTCCCGAAATCTGAATTTGAACAGCACCTTCTGTCAAATTCAAACCTGGGAGCTTCCGATAGCACGGTAGTATTGGGGATGGTGCAAGCGGGTGCGGCTCGTTCAAAGAAAGCGTTCGCAGATGTAAATCATACAAGTACGGAGAACTAGTAGCCGCATCTTTAGCTATAGTTCAAAAGAAATTACGGATAGGGACCAACTCTTCATTCATTGAAACTAGAACAAGCAGATCCTGCGCGGGATCCATAGTAAAGTCGATAACGTTGACGTCGGTGAAAGTATGGGTGATACTGCGCTGTGCACCGGACATGACGCTATGAAGATCATAGAATGTAATGTAAGCTGTACGCCGGTCGATCTCCTTCCCAATTCCATAGACTCCTCCAGCAAATTCATATACTGTACCAGAATGATTTAATTTGAGTTTGTGTTGGGATTTGGGACTAAATGTTCTCCATGAATTTTCACGATCCCGAAGTATGCGAAGACGAGAAGAAATGGGAAGTTTAGAGGTAGGCGCAGGTTTCATACGACATCTTGCAAGCTCGATAGTAAATTGCAGAGCCGACGACTCGTTTATGATTCTCCGTAGACGTTTACAGACCTGAGAGCAGATGTGGCATTATATGAGGACACGATGAATGCGCTTCGAGCTCACCAAGTTGCACTGGAGAAGATCCTTGACAGAGAGGACCTGGAGGACGTCACATAAAATTTCAACAGGTAATTGCAGAAAGGATATTGCTCCAACGTCCATGGTGGTTCAATGCAGGTTCAGTGAAATGTATTTACTAAGTACGTACGGTCCGGTCGATTCGCGCAATCAGTCACATGAAATTCATGCGCAATCTACCTTTCCACGTCGAACATCTAGCTATCTAGTCCGGTCCAGCTTCAGCTCACCAGTAAATGTCAAATATTGGCGCGAGTCCTCCTATGTTATCATCTCCTCCTACTCGCACAATGAATGGACTTTCTCTGGGTGAAACGAGGTCCTCTTTGGATAGCGAACGGAGCAACCCTGCATCCCCGATACACGTCAATGGTAATGGTAGTGCACAGGCTGAACCGGATGAATCTCCGGACTCAATAGAGAGGCTGCAGAGGGAACTTCAACGGACTAGAGAAGAAAAGGAGGCTTTGGCAACACAGTATCGCAATCTACTTGCTAAATTGACGCAGATGCGTACAACGTTAGGCAATAAGCTAAAACAGGACGCTGTATGTACATTCGTTTCTTCAGTGTCACCCCAGCTCATTATTTGCTTGGTCCAGGAAGAGCTTGACCGCAGAGAACAACTGGTGCAACAGCTCACTGCGCAGAACGATGATTTGAATTCTACGTTGGAGACTTTAAAAGAGGAGCTCATTTCCGCTTCTGAGGAATCAGCACGTACCGCGGCCGAGCTAGATAATATGCGCAATCGTGCCTTTCAAGAAACTACTCATGAGAGTTTACTGCGAGAACGGGAACTACGGGAAACTCAAACCGAACTAGAACAATGTAGACTGGAACGCGATGAGTTGGAGAGGGTTGCATTGCAAGAAAGAGCATTTTCCGAAGATGCCAGATCAGCAGCTGAATCAATCACTAGGGATCTGGAGCTGGAAAAAGAAAGGCGGGCAAGGGAGTTAGTTGAACTTGCGCTACAGCGAGAAAGGGGTGACAATCTACAATCCGTTTTGCAAGATTTCCAAGCAGGTACTTCCTCGTCTCATTTTGAACGAATCAATCATCTCAGTGTTACTTTGAAGCAAAGGAACACGAGCTGCGGCAAGCTGTCAAAGACTATGAATCGCAATTAATTCAGGTCACTCAATCGTTGGCAGAGTACAAACATCGAGCATTGACAGCAGAGGCATGTTGAATACACTTGGTCTTGAACTAGATCTCAACCTTTCTGTAGACAAGTCTGGAAGAATCGCAAACAAATAATTCACGGGCGCAAGAGCTGGAAAAGGAGGTAAAGGAAAAGACGGTCCTTGTCAATAAGCTACGGCATGAAGGTGCGTTGCCCATGGACCACATTCCGAAGTAAGCTGTGACGCGGACATTACTAGCTGTCATAATTAACGAGCATCTAATGGAGGCACTGCGCCGACTACGCAAGAATTCTTCGGACACAAATGTGGACAGACGACTAGTCACTAATGTTCTTCTCTCTTTTCTGACTACCCCTCGGGCTGACGCTAAACGCTTCGAGATGCTATCATTACTCTCCTCTATCTTATCTTGGTCGGATATTGAACGCGAAAAAGCTGGGCTACAACGATCCCATCAACCAAGTGTCATATCTCCTTCTTCATCGTTCTGGCGCCGGACGTCCACATCAGATGGCCCAGGTAAAAGTGCAGATTTACAAAAGACAGATGAGACGGAGGTGTGCTTTCAAAATGCTGTAAAAATATTTCCCGATCCCCTCATCATTTTTGTAGTCATTTTCTCGTCTTTGGGTAGAATTTCTACTGACAGAGGCGGCGGCTGGAGAGTCACATTCTGCTGCCACTAGTCCGTCACGGGTGAACACTTCTCTACCCGGAAGTCCCACACTAAACGGGTTCCCAAGTTCAACTACCCTTAGCCCCCCATCTCATGGCTCACAACGGCGGTTATCCTCTTTTGGTTCTGCTGCAATGGCTAGCTCACCAAATCTATCCCTAGCTAATATGTCTCCGTCATGGAAAGGGAAGGAAAAGGCGATATCGGAGAGTCATACTTGAGCTCAAGAAGGCGATGATGGACGGATGGTTGCGCAGAACAATTTCTTATCCTTTACTTATTCCCATACAGCATCTGTTTTCAACTGCATGTTTCGGATCACTTGCAAGCGACAATGTACTATCATATCGTATTCACAGCAAGAATAGCGCGCAACTGAACATACATCCACTGCATGCATGGTTACTTCAAGCTACCTCAGGAGTACGAACACTCAATATGTGTGTTAGGTTTGTATTCCCCGGCTTTTCCATTTTATCATAGCTTCAAAATGCTGATTGAGACCCAAGTAAAAGAATGAAGCAAGGCACATATTCCTCCAGCTTTGCGGGAAATCCAACGGCTGATCCGAATTCGACCTACTAGTACATAGTTATTTTATGTTTGTGAATGCAGCAGAAATATTCGAGCTACATGGTTCGAGTGAATCGAGATTGGTATACAGCACTTATTTCGAAACTACCTGCATTTCAAGTCGTGTGCCTGGATATACTCCGCACAGTAGCATAGATATATATAAGTCTCCTAATCGTTGCTTTCAAGGTTCAAATTTTCAGAGTTTCTCCAGTATCCCACATTCCGCGTTGCGCCGCAAATTTTGACGTAATTCAAACAATTTCGGTCAATCGGACGATAATCCCGAATAATTTTCTCTTTCCTAGTCTGACTCTGATTCACCGACGTCCATGGGAGCAACCATCGCAGAAACTATTGGTGCTGCACCAGTTGCTCTTGGGCTACCTGTCCCGCCTTTCACTCCACATGCAATCTCAGTGTCTCTTCCTACCTGGCGCGACAATGTAGCTTATGAAGCAGGCGACAAAAGGGTAATGGATGTCATGACATGTGGGTACCCTCGATTCTTTATCGGCCTCGGCATACGAAAGGTAATGCTTAGAATATTTTTAAAAGGCCTACTTCTGATATCCGTTTTAGCTTGCTGAAATATGTGCCCACAAGTTTGGCGTTGATGGCGAAAGCGCCATGTTATTCCCAACTCAAAAAACTGCTGATGCTTGCCGTTCCTTTATACTGAGTCGCTCTGCTCTGGAAGGAGTGCCGGCACAAGCTCGACTCATTCAACTCTTGATCTGTCCCGAAGACAAGGCAAATAAAACCATACTAGTTAATTCCGAGGATTGTGACTGTAACGGTTCAGCCTCTCTTTTAGATCTCCACATCGTACTTTTTCCTTCGGAGGCATCTAAAGTAGCGATGCAATTCTGGCAACATTCTGGCGCCGGAATATCATCGCGTTTAGCAGAACAATGCCTCTCCCTCCTTCCAGAAGGTTCACCTACCTCTTCACCTGCGCCTCCACCCGCTCGCGGCATCTCTTTCAAATCCTCCAACAAACACTATGGTGTCAAAGGAGCTCGGCGATCCTCGCCTCCTACGATCGCAGAAGACTTGAATGCTGACCACAGTGTCTATCTAGAAGAAAGATACGGTCGAAATCTTCCAATAGCAGCTGCAGCTGCAGCCAAACGGGCTCTTCATCGCAGAATAGCGGGTGTGCTATTGCGCGATGACCCCACTGGCGCTCAAAGCCCCTTGCTTGGTCCTAGCACTCGAGGTGTGAGCGATGTGTCCGAAGGCGACGTTTTTCTTTACCCAGGAGGCATGAACGCGATCTGGAACGCACATCAACTTGCATTAGCTACTCGACCGGTGGGAAAGAGTGTATGCTTTGGGTTAGACACGTTTCAATATTTTCGAAGCCGTCCACTAATCCATGTCATCTCATAGGTTTCCCTATACGGATACTCTGAAGATCCTTCAAAAATGGGGTCCCGGATGTCATTTCCTGGGTCACGGTCTTGACAGCGACATCAATCAATTGGAAAAGATCTTGGAAGAAGAATCTAAGCTGGATCCATCCAAACCACCAATTCTCGCGCTATTCACAGAGTTTCCCTCCAATCCTTTATTGCGCTCTGCAGATCTCCCTCGTTTGCGAGCGCTTGCAGACCAGTACGACTTTTTGATCGTTATCGATGAAACCATTGGGAACTTCATCAACGTAGAGGTTTTACCGTTTGCCGACATTGTCGTGAGTAGCTTGACCAAAGTGTTCAGTGGGTCTTCGAATGTTATGGGCGGAAGGTCTGTTGTAATTTCTTTTACCTGTAAACAAAGATTTTAACAAAGTAAATACTTTCTTTTAGTCTTGTTCTCAATCCTAAAGGACGTCATTATACGATCTTGAGATCTCACCTTGATTCGAACTACGAAGACACGTATTTCGATCAGGATGCGATCTTCATGGAGCGAAACTCACGCGACTTCCAAAGGCGCATTAAAGTTATCGATATTAACACAGAAGCGATCTGTGATTTCCTGTACTCTCGTTCACAAGCTGCAGGGGTTCCCAATGCTGTGATCAAAGATGTGGCTTATCCAAAGTATACTACTCCTGCACATTATGCAGCTCGACGTATCAAAGCCAATGCACAAACCGACGCTGAACAAGGTGGCTACGGTGGCCTGTTCTCTGTCACGTTCACTTCGTCTTCAGCATCTCATGCGTTCTTTGACGCTCTTCCGTGTTATAAAGGCCCCAGCCTGGGTACCAATTTCACTCTCGCGTGTCCTTTTACCATCTTGGCTCACTACAATGAGCTAGACTGGGCGGCACAGTATGGTGTCGACGCGGATTTGATCAGGGTCAGTGTTGGGCTGGAGGATACTAGCGAACTGTTGGTAGGATTTGATCTGGCTATGAAAGCGGCAGAAGCTGCTGTTACCCAAAACGAAACGCTTTGAGGCTCATGGATAATTTTGCTCTCATGAGCCATCAAATGCCTCGTCATTCCCCTCCTTAACTTATGGCTCGAGTGCCTTCTCGGGTCCTCCAACAGGACTTGTAATAATCGATCCGGGTATATCCACAACACTATCATTTGTATCCAACTACAAGCACGCTGGGACGATTTCATGATTTTACTTTCTATTTTCTCTCTATTATTGCTCCAGTTCCTCCAACAGGACTTTTGATTCATGTATACCAGCAGCATTGTCATTTGTATCCAACTACAAGCATTTATCTATTAGTTATGTATCATTTTGAATATCTACTAGGATGTCTGTAAATAAATATGCACTTCAAACTTGACTTAAGACTCAGGATTCCAATTCCGATGCAGGTCGTCGGTCCAATTTCACTGGAACTTTGCTCATTTTGGTCAAATATTGATCAGAGGGAACGATATATCCTAAAAGAGATGACACCAGACGCGTTCGATCCACTGGACCGTCATTGGGGGGAGGAGGAATCACTTGAACAAGATTCTGCGAGTCAATGTTGTGGATTTCGATGGTGCCATCAGGGAGAATAGCAGTGGCATGAGGTAAATCCAAACCTGCGAGTAAAATGAGGAACGGGCGCGTAGAAAGAAAACGGCCTGCATACATATAGAGGTAGGATGTTGGGTCCATGTCAACGTCCCACGAACCGGATCACCAGAGCCGGTAAGGAATATGCCCATTGAACTTTGGCCAGTCCAAGAAACGACGAGAAAGTCACCTTCTCCGGTAGGGATGATGAATGGTTCCACAGGTAAGTTGGGAGCATCGAAGTCTTGATTTAGCGGAAGGATAGGTAATATCTCAGCGGTTTCTAAGTTGAGCATATTGTAGTTGATTTTGTCTGCGATACATAGGGAGGAGCCAATGCGACGTGCAAGAGTTCCACCTTGTGGGAGAGGAATTTCCTATCTCGACGATGAGAACCAGAAATGTTTTGGATAGCTAATACACACCTTTTGGTAGAACAAGCGTTGCCCTAACGAGTACATTGCAAGAGAACTTCTTTTGATCACGCAGAAGTCAACAGGTTCGAGACGATGAGGTCCAGAGGTTGGTGGCATGGGTTTCAAGAGATGGAGTTGGTCCACTGCAAAAGCAATGACATGTCGAATGGGTTTGATGAGTTGGTAAGACACGACATCTAGAGATGGTAGTGTGTAGAAGTGGATCTGGTTATCTGAAAAGACGAGGGCACGCGAGATACTGGGTAAAAGAACTATGTCTTCCACTGCTTTGTCGTTTGGCACGCTCTGACGCGATAAAATGGTATATGATTCAGCCTAAGTATTTGTATCAGGTATGAGCTTCTGGTAAATGTGTTTCGTTGCACCTTGTTGGAATCTCCTCCTTGAAGAGAAAAGCGCATAAGCTCCCCATTTGAGCATCCGATATAAAGTTCTGTTCCTGTCCTTCAAGTAAGCATGGATCTGGCGTTTCTCGCTCATTGCCCGAGGAATGACCTAGAGCTTGCCCACATCGTATCTGGATACCTTGTAAAACAGAGTCTGATAGTTCTATTCAAGTCGAAAGATTGAATCAGCTTTTCGGACGAGTAAATATCACTCACGACTGAACACATTGGTGATGAGCTCTTGAATTTGGTACGGTGGCACGGTCATGGTGGTGGAGGACCGGAAATTGACCTTGAACGGCCGGGCCGGGAGTATTCTAGATAGGCGCTGGAATGCCTCCACTGTTTTTCTTTTATGTAACCTCAATCTCAATGATCTAAGTGTTTGCATGCCATGGCTCACGGTCGAAGACCGTCACAATCCCTCATACACTCTCCAGAATTGGCGTCCAACTTCACAGCGACTGCTCCTCCTAGTGACGCTGAGGATTGGTTGACGCTGTGGCAAGCCTCATTCGCCAGAGGTGCCAGTTTCTTATCTTTAATTGAAATCAAAAAATCCTCACATTGTCATCGCAATAGACATCATTGACTCTCGTATTGTCGCTGTAGATGGACAGATAAGCGTAGAAGAGGCTTGCGACGTGAGCCTCAGTATTTCCCTTACTAGCTTGGTTGATATACATCTCCCTCTAGATTTTGCTCTCCGAAGACATACCATGTCTGGCTATCAAGTCAATCGATCATTCAGTATCTGGTCTCTTTGATGTGAGATAAACGCTTTCATTCTCGCCCTCGAGTAAACTGTTGCACATCTAGTTTTCCGATGTCAATGCGTTTTTGACTCTAGCCGCCACGAAACACACATTCTCTGCGGAAGCATTCCAAGAGAAGCCGCGAGTAGACGACATCTTCACTGCTGCTCGTTCTGGCCACGTTCCTGTATCCATTGTCAGCAGTGAGATACGCTGTTGGTATTTCTCTTCGCGGAAGACTCATCTTACAATTAGATCTTTCTGAGAAGAATCCGCTTCACACTCTACCATATGATGCCACGGTTGTTTCCCTTCTTGAAGTGTTTGCACGGGGTGCTCATCGAGGTGAGTTGATCATGCTTTATTCAAGACGCATAATGTCATTGTTATCTTTTTTCCTAGTTCTGATCAAATCGAACTCGTCCGAGACCAGTGAGGAAGAGTTTATTGGCATCGTTTCGGACCGTCGTCTTTTAACTTGGTTTTTATCTTTTGCTCAACAATCCGAGTCTGAATCTCTGCGGACATATCTTTCCAATCCACTGAGCTCCTTCTCCGACTCCCTACCTTCGCTTAATCTATTTGCATCCGTTGTGGCCACGGTATCGACGGAACCAGTGTTGGAAGCGATGAAACTCATGAGCGAAGAAGGTGTAAGTAGTATTGCCGTGCTGGAGGAGGAAGGTGGAACATTGCTGAGCGCTGTCAGTGTGACCGATATTGGGAAGATCGTGGTCCCTTCACAGAGCAACCAAATTCTGTCCCTATCCATACAACATTTTATATCCCTGATCAAGGTTTTTCCTTTTTTATCAGCACGCGCAGTTGGATTTTGATGACAGTAAATTTTCAGGGACCAGATGGTTCGATGGACGGGCAAGACCGATATCCAGGTATAGTGCTAACTTTCAAGGGCTACAACTTTTGTCCGATTCATTCCCCTTCTAAGTGTACTCTGTACTTCCGACAAGCACAATGCTGTATACAATACAGAAACTCCTCGCTAGTTCGTGATCTCAACCTGATGGGTAACACTCAAGTGACATTCCTCTAGCTAATGCGCACAGGGTATTCATAACCCAAGATTCCACAGTATCATCGCCCTTGCTTTCCCCAAAGTCCTCCGGAAACCTCGCTGGGCTCGTTTCCGTCGTCGACAGTGAGTAAATACTTTTATATGCAATAAAAGTCTTTCCTTCCTTTTATCTAGTCCTGTCACTCTTTGCACGCCTCGCGAAAGTCAAAGACGTCGATCCAACGCGTATGCAACGCCATCGTCGAGCGTCATCCGTCTCGTCCCAAGCTTCGTCTAAGGAGTCAGATCGCTCTAGGTCAAGCAGTCGGACTAGTGTGCGGAGGGCGTCGAGTACGAAGACCTCTCAAATAATGAGTAGTAATCAGAAGCGTAGATCAAGTTCTTCAACGACCACATCCACTACTGGTGCAGCTGGAGATACAACCAGTGCGAGTAAATTACCGTCCTAAGCAGGATCGTATGCTATGGATGTTGGTATCCTCAGTATTCAGGTTGTTGTGTTGGAATTGCCTTTTTCCTGTGAAAGTAAATATGTTCTTCCTTAACGTACTTGACTCAATAATTTTTCGTTCATCATTGGAGCATATGTATATCATTATCTAAAAGTTTATCGCCGTAGCCCACTTGGGGTGAGTTGGATCCGTCGGTAACGTAGGACTATGTGGTACTTAGAACGTTCAGCTTCCCATTGCTGCATATGTTTTTAAACTCTTCATTAACTGCAAGTAAGACTATAATAGTACTCAGTACTCAGGTGCAGGGAACTTGCTTGCATATAACTCGGGCTTTAAGTGCTCGGGTGGATGTTCACGCCCTTCACAGCCTGTTCGAGTACCTTTCTCTTTTTCTCCAAGTAATCGATACCTTTGGATATCCTATCCATTTCCTCGACACCTGCGCCCATGTTCATCTCGTGCTGCTCACGGAGCTTCAGGAGACCGATCGCAGAAAAAACGTACGGCATGAAGTTTCCAGAGAGCGAGTGCTTGTTATACTTTTCACAAGTATCCGTGACGCCGCTCATAGAATCCGTAATTTCTTGTTCGAGCTGCGCCATCTCCTTCTTTATCATCTCTGTTATGATGTCTATCTTTTGCAATTCGGTTTTCGCTGACTCATAGCGCCACTTCGACTCGTTGTCAATCATATTTTCCGTCGCGACCTTCTTTACCCACTTTGATCGATAGTGGTGATGATCTTCAGCTGGATGACTGCAGACTTTGCAGCGTCGCTGGAGGGGCGGAACGCCAGGTGCCTCCTCAAAAGCAGCGGATGACTTTGCAAGGGCCTCCGGGTCCAATGTAAAAGGGAAAGCGCAGCGTTCAACGCAATTGCTAAAACAGTTAACTGCAATGCAGAGAACATTATGTTCTGAACCAGTTTCTTCCATTTCGTGGTAAGGTCTATTGATGATCCTCTGGTAGTGTTGATTAGTTTGTTTTATGCGTTCCTAAGCATCGGCGAAAAAAAAATTCAGGGCTTGCATAATAAATCCTGAAAATAGCTTACCTGGTTCTCGAATTCCACCTGTAACTTTTGTAGTCTCATACGCTTATCCTCCGCTTGGCTTGCACGTGCAATTGTATTGGAGATGCGGGTTTCAATATCCACTGAAATGTTGTATAATTCGAGAACAGGTTGTGTAGGCTGAACCTTGCGCTTGTCCAAGTACTGGAAGAATTGTGAAAGCGTCTTCGTTGCCCGTTCGAATCGATGAGAAATTTCGTTCATTTCCTCCCTGAGATCCTCCTCAAGGGAGGGTTCCTCTCTGAGTCTCTTCTGATACTTGAACCACAGCTTAGAAGAATTGTCAATCGAACATGTATGAGTTGTTCGCAGCTCCTGTGGCAGCCAATTAGTGTCGAAAGAAAGCATCAAGGTGGAGGACACCATGGTAAAGATGAAGGCGACATTGTCAGACAAAGATTTAGGGAGCATGTTGGATAAAGCGTTCATCGTATAATGTGTTGAAAGGCCTAATCGGGGCACATGACCGCATGCGAGAATGACAATTGCGTCGATAGCGTCGAAATTCTCCGTGATAGCATGAACGATCGCTGCCATCTGCTCAGTGTCTTTATGAATCCCCCGGTCACCGGCTAAACCAGGAGTATCGAGTATGTTGACTTTGTGTCCATTGACACAGGTGATACTGTAAAGATGAGGTTGGATCGTTTGACTGCCTCCGTTGTGCCCCGCCTCATTACTGAGTTCAATTTTCTCGTCGAAGTTTTCCAGTGTAGCACCGGCACATACGTTCGCGATGAGGTTCACCAGTTCCGTCTTTCCGACGCCAGTTTCACCGAGAAGAACAATATTCATTTGTTGTTTGGTCCAAGGCTCGAGGATCATTTGCCTGTGTGGTCATGAAATTTTCGAATCAGACTATGAATTCAAAGGACATCGACTTACCTGGTGGGCACTTCGCCAGCAGTGCTGGCAAGAGGCGTGTTTGCATCTGGGGCGCTGATTAACGCACAGGTACAGGAGAGATTAGGTGTCCGACTACTTGAGTTCATAAATACAGAAATACCTGAGTTGAGACATGAGCAGGCGTTGCGAAAACGAAAGCGATGTAAATGTTCGATTTCTCTGTGAGAAGCAGCTTTTAAGCGAACTTCAATCAGAATCCAATCGCGACCTGTTGAACAAGGTTGAACTTTCATGGAGGTCTAGAATTATATTAGTGCATTGTGGCTGTCAATTAACCATCTGTGACGGTCGACCTGTAGGCACCGCTCAGTTCCTCCTTTGGCATAGCATCAGGCGGCGCGGTTCAAGATAGGAAAGAGAATTAAAACTTGCACGGGTATTATATGCAAGGGGTTATGTTTGCTTGGACGCTTGGAATGAATTCGAATGACTCTAGAAGATACGGATTTGAAAAATACGCCAAATACAACGGCTCTAGGAAGAGACCGACCAAGGTCCGACGACTTCGACACATGGGCCTGAGGAGGCCTGAGGTTTAAGATGGCCATTGAAGGAAACTATACAAGTCTAAGAATCGCTACAGATTCTACATGTGCGGTTTGCGGAAAGAGATCGAATCCTCGCAAACTTTCAAGGACATATTTTTTCCCCTCACCCTCTACGGAATCCTGAGTAGCCTTGAGTATCTTTCCCACATCCCGAGCCTGTGTATGGACGTTGCAGCTAACATATGCCACCACCTTTGGCCGAAATTCCAGAAGTTGTTCGATGAAAGGATCATCACAACCTTTCCTTGGCGGATCAATGACCATGACCGTCTTTTCAGGAGGAAAGTCAGAAACAGTTTTGAATATCTCTGCTGCGTCGCCCTTGCGGAACGTCATTTTCTCTGCTGCGATGCCGTTCAACTTTGCGTTGCGTTTCGCATACAAGATAGAATCGGCGGAGATCTCGATGCCTGCCACTGTAGAAAAATCAGGAGAGAGTGTGATTGCGAACAATCCTGAACCGCAGTACGTGTCAATGAGGTGGGTAGGACGAGAAGAATCATTGGGATCGGGGTAGAGCGAGGCAATGGCTTCACGGACGTAGGAAGTCAAAGCAGGAAGAATTGCATTGTTGTTCTGGAAGAACGAGCTCGCAACGTATTCAAACAAAAAGCCTCCTACGCGTTCTCGAATGGATGCATGGTTGTTAGTTATGCATAATTTTGTGTCCTTGCTGGTGTCGTTTGGATCGGGGTCGACCGAGGTGTCCAGGGACTCTCGAAGTAAAAGTGTCGCTCCTTTTTTGTAAGTGTGTATAGTTCTGTAATGCGATCAGCGAAGACACGGGTAGAGAAAGAGGACCACCGACTTAACCACGTTCTGAAATATTTCGGGTAGTGCGCGATTGAGTACTGGCGTCGCAATAGGACATTCCTAAGTAGAGGCTTAAGAACACAGGAAGTGGCGCAAATACTCGCATTATTACCTCAATATCAAACACCTTATTTTGACTCTGGATGTTGAATCCGATCTGCAACCAGTCTGGTTTGTCACCGCTCTCGACCTGAGCTTGAAGTGCAATTCGATCTACTTTGGGCGGTGGAGCTTGGAAATGTGGTGTTATCTTTGTACGGTAGCCATATTGCAACGGCGAACCGATGGTGGACTGAATTTCAGGTATAACGGATTGAGGAAGACCTGAAATGACTTTAATCTCCGGATATTTAGCCATGTTGAAAGGACGCACCGGAATAATTTTTGTAAGCTTTTACCACCACATTTCGTTTGAAAGCAAGTTGTGTTTCGTAGGAAAGCATCTAGACGATTATAGTATGAATCAGATATCGCAAAAATCATCTAATTAGCCCTCAGACTGCTCTCACCTGATATTGACATCCTCCGCACTTGGAAAAGTACTTGCAATTCACCCTCTCGTCATCTCTGAGCACAGAATTAGGTCGTATGATTTGCATGAAGTCCGCTAACGAATGCATTCGGTCGTTCTTGAATACCCTGCATTTAACGCGTTCACCAGGAAGGCAGAAAGGGACAACAACCACCCAGGGTTTCGAATCCTTTTCGTCTGATTGGGCCAGGCCCTCACCTGCAGATCTAAATAATTTCGTCTGTCCTGAATTTCGGTTTCGAGCAAAGCTACGCACCATTGGAAGATATAGCCTTTACTTCCAGCTCCACCTCGGATTTGAATAGAAATGGGGAGTTGAATTCGCTCCCGTCTTCGGCAGCCTTGTCAACGACGTCCTGTCCCAGGAGGCTAACGATGTCTGTCCATCGGACGTCTTCTGGAGAGCAAACTTCTGGAATATGTCCACGTTGTTTCTTCAGTCTTTTGGCAGTTGCTCTGGCAACTGCTTTAGCTCTTTTAGCTTGTTTTTCTTCTTGAGAAAGTGGCGAAGGTGCGCGAGGACGTTTTCCTGGTCCTTTTTCAGAAAACTTCGTTTCAACTTCGGTTGCTTTAGATGAGGACATGGGCAACCACTGGAAGGCACCTCGGATTGGATAAGTCCGTTTGCTATATGTTCTGCAAATGACACGCGGGATGAAGAATCGGATCCGCGCAAGCATCCGACAAGTTGAGAAATATTTACTAGCGCTCATTGTATGTAAGCCAATCAAAAAGCTCTCATATGATCATTTTTCAAGTAAGGCTTGGGCCAGGATACAAATGCAACCACATACTAAGCTGGCCTTCAACAAAAGTTTTCATCTCGAGATTTCCTGCTGTATTGAAAGTGTTTATGATATACTCGCTATTAGTAGCGAAGGCTCATGTAAAATATCCAGGTTCATCTCCTGCTGCCTCCGCAACCTCTTTCCGAGCCTCTGCCTCCTCATGCCCTGAATCCCCATGACGCACAGCAAAATTATGATGCCAGCGCCAGTCAAGGTCGCAAGGACAAAAGTGATGATTGTCATTAATTTGCCCAGGTCCATGACTGTTTGAATTTTTGAGATTTTGAACAGCACGAAAGGACCGTAGGGATACAGACTCAATAGGATGTACAAAGGTAAGAGCAGTAATCCCGTAACGACAAGCTTCAGGTCATGTCCAACGAAAATTCCAATCCTGGCAGTACCAAGCGCAGCGGGAGAGACAGAAGAACGTGTGGTCCGGGTGGGATAACGCAACAATGGACTTTGTGAGCCATGATAGACGACATAAACTCCTGGGATGACAGTGAAGACCACCAGTGTCAGAGGTACAGTTCTGACAAAAATTTCGGCGCCTCCTTCCAAGGGCCTCGTAGACCACGGACGCGATGCAGTGGCAGTCAAAAAGGCGCCGCTGAGGCAGAATGGGATGTATAATATTCCGAAGAAGAGATCCTTGACATCCGCTCGACATCCTTTATCGCCCTTGGATTTTGCCTGATGAGTGCAGAAACCAAAAATACCCCAGGTAACAAGGAGCAGTTGGACGACTACAACGACCTGAAGAAAAAGTGTAACCAGCACCGTTTGGATGAATCCAGCGATGAGGAGTTCTGGAGGGATAAAGAAATGGTCTTTCATCCACAGCAAATAAACCAGGACGATTTGAACAACGAGTAAGAACGTGATGGCGACAGTGTCAGCGACCAGCTGAGTCCGGCAGCTGCGTATAAAAGTGTTCATGTCGAGCGGAAAGACGTAGCAATCATAAACATATTGCCCCCCGCGAGAGCAATTCACGAGCTTTATAAGTTCATAAACTTGGCTTGGCAATTCCTCATCGTGATCGTCATGCAATACATATGTACTATATACTTGCTAAAAGATTTTGCCGCATGATTGTTGATACGACAGAGATATGTAGCCTCAGGACAGTTGCACATTGAGGATCGGGATCCGGGAGAAGAATGAATTCGACTTTCACGCTCTGTAACACTATGTTGGAACATTGGTGGGAAGAAGAAAGAAGAATGGTTGTCCTGACGGCGAGAATTCTGGGTTTCTTCATCGCCAGCCAATGACGAGCCAGTAAGTACAATGCGGGTACAACCATTCGTCAACAAATAATGACTGACAAGTATGTCCTCTCGGTCAATCGTAATCACCGCCTGACGGATAAGTAGGTCAGTCCGACAGATAAAGCAGCTCGGATTCTTACCGATGCCTCCATCATCACCTCCACCGCCGTCTCCAAGATCATCAAAGTTCTCTCCTTCGCCATTGTCAAAGTAGTTGTCAGCGTAATCATTATCGTATTCTTCCTCGGTATCATAGTCCGGTTCGCCTTGAGAGCCGCCCGCATCTGATCCTTCCTGTGCTGATTCATTCTACGAGTATTTGTCAGGGACAGTGTCATGTCAGGAGCACCGAACCTACCGCTTCATCGTCATCGAGCATTTCGTCAAGATTGAGCTTCCGCTTCTGACCAGCTTGTTTTCGTGCTGAGGTTCAATAAGGATCGTGTTGTATTCGAAGTATAGAGGACCACTTCAAACCTTTTGATTTTTTCTTGGGATTGAAATATGCCTCGAAAATCTCGGACGGGAAGAAGGGAGCGTGCAAGTCGCTACGTTTCAGTGCCGGCTGGGATGTAGTCGAAGGTCGATATTTATCCGAATATCGAGGCAGCTCTTGAAGCTTTCTGTTAATGCGCGCATACAAATGACCACTTTCCATAAATGCATACCGGTAGACTTAGTCGATTCTACAAGATAATATTCAGATTTCCGTAATCTCGACGCGAATTCAATCTGCAGCTGGGTAATTCGTTTTTCTTTTTCAGTAGGTTCATTCATGACCGGGGCTCTCAACGGCTATTGCATTTGACACTTAAGAGAAATTGTAAAGATGAAGGATCAGAGTGCGTACAGGATATAGAGCGGTTGCTTCCCTGGACATAGCCTGAATATCTGCAAAGGAAAGCCCCATTGGAGGCAGCGCACCAGCCCCAAATCCTCTTCCCCTGCCTCTGCCGCCACCTCTTCCTCCACGTCCAGCCATGATATGTTGACGAAGTCAAGGTTTGATCCAAACAGTTCAAAGCAAGATGACATAATAAAACCGCTTTCGCAAAGCTGTTGCTTTTTGACTTTCACCCACCACCAGCCCACCACCACTTCAATAAGTCGTTGTTTTTCTGGTCCTCTTTCCTCTCAAATTCGGTCGCTCAAATTTCTCTCTGCACGCAATGGACAACATGAACAAATCTCTCGACGATGTAGGTTGAATTTGACTCGGTACCCAACGCCACAGACATTCAACATCACCTATAAAATTCCTTCAGATCATTAAATCTCGTCCGAGGACCCACCGCCGCTCTAGTGGCCGTAATGCTCGTGCACAGGTGCTTGGAAAGACTCCTGCTGCGGCTGCTCCTGCCGCTCGTCAGCGTATCAAAGTTGCGAAAGCGCCACCTGCACTGCCTGCAACTGCTCAGCAGCCCGCAGATAAAATTATTGTCTCGAATTTGCCTCAGGATGTCAATGAGCAACAGGTTAAGGTATGTTACATCCGGATTCCGTCCTCTCAGCAATTTTCATAAACATTTTCCTTTTTTTTTGTAGGAACTATTCCACACCACTGTTGGTCCTCTGCGTGAGGTTACTCTTCATTACGACAGTGCGGGTCGCTCTAAAGGCGTTGCCGCCGTCCTGTTTCAACGCAAAGGAGATGGTACAAAGGCGTTCCAGCAGTACAACAACCGACTCATTGATGGCAGTTAGTATCGCCTCCTATACCTTCGTCTCGTCTTCTTTGGTGGCGCTGCATTCGAGCAATTGAGTGCGGCTGGCTTCTTCCTTATCTTGCTTTGCTTTGCGTTGCAGAAGGTTCACGGCTCCCTGTCTCTGTCTCGTCGGCACACTTAACCCTGAAAGCGCTTCGGAGTCGTGAAGTGGATTGCAACTGATTCGAAGGTGCCATTCCTGACCTCAAGTGGGAATTGCGCCTTGGTGTTAGTCTGTTACCAGTGCTTGACTGACAAGCTACAGGAGTGTGAGAGGTTACCTCAGTTTTTAGCACACGGTTGCGGATATTTGTCGGTCTGGTTTCAGTTCCAGTGGTTTTGGACAACGACTAATGATACCCTGATGCACTCAACGTCGGGGTTTCTCATCCGACCATGAGACAGAGACATAGCTGGTGGTACTTCGAAGACGTGCAGACAAAGTAACCGTTGGGCGTATTCATTCAAATTTACTTGCTTCTTGCTGCTGCTTCCGTTCAGCCGACTAACAAAAGCTCGCTTCTCCCTTTCTATTACACGCATATCAATACATCGGTATCTTCGTCTTCTCCGCCCCCTCGTAGAACGACCCATGAAGATTGAGATTGTTGTCGACCCAACGCGCGCTGCTCCCGGGCCATCTCTAGCTGCTCGAGTCGCCCCTGCTACTGTCGCTGCTCAGCCTAATGGGGCCCATAATGCTAATGGCACGAGGTCAGCCCTAGATCTGAAGAATTCTGATTCTATTTTGCTCATTGGATTTTGAAGAGGCGGAGCTCGCAGAGGAAGAGGTCGTGGCGGCAGAACTCGCAAGAATGAACGTCCCAACAAATCCGCTGCCGATTTGGACGCTGAAATGGAGGTAGGGGTGTACACCGAACTATGCAATGCTTCAATCTTGACATCTCTTAGGACTACACCTCCACCACTGCACCTGCCGCCACCACAGCGGCAGCTTAGGTATATGTGTAATTGGAATGCTGAATTATTTCTTGCAGCGGTATTGACCTTTTTACGACTGACGATACGTACAATACTTCACTTTACTACCTCTCACCGTAAATGTGTATACTTTCACTCGATTCCTTCTGTTGTTATTGTTATCATTGATCAACGTGTTTGAGATGAAAGAAAAAATCAGTGATATCAGTCTCTCTTGTCTGAACTTTCACCATGTCGCAGCCTACTCTCTACGCTGACCGTGCAGAATGGAGCGACGTCGTACCCATTGAACAATACGAGAACACTACTCCTTTAGCGCCAATATTCTACAAAAACGAATGTGTGTAGTCCATCAGCCGATATGAACTGACACTGAGTAAATTGCAGACAAAGATGCAACAAATTACTTTCGTGGAATTGCCAAGACTGGGGAAAAGAGCCAGAGAGTCCTTGAGCTTACTGAGCACCTAATCCGCCTCAACCCTGCTCACTACACAGCTTGGTCCGTTGTAACGTCCAATGAACACGTTCAATCTCTTTATCTCCATTTCCAACAGGCAGTACCGCTACGAAACTCTTTTGGCTATCGGCTCCAATTTCGAAGATGAGCTCCGTCTTATGGACGAGCTAGCCATAACCCACTTGAAGACTTATCAAGTGTGGCATCATAGACGGTTGTTAATGCTCAAGATCTGCAAACCTGCTCGGGAATTGGATTTCATCGCTAGAACGTTCAAGGTGGACGCGAAGAACTATCATACGTGGTCGTATCGGCAATGGATTCTGGCATATTTTAACGACAACGAGCTGTGGAGCGGGGAATTGGACTTTGTTGAAGATTTGCTGTATGCTGATATTCGAAATAACTCTGCATGGCACCATCGGTTCTTCACTGTATTTCAATCCGGAGTTCATGATGGAGAGGAGGACAGAGAGAGGGTCCTCAAACGGGAATTAATGTACGCATTGCTCTCACCATTGAACAAGTGCAAACACTAATAATGATGCCTGGATAGATACGTGAAACAAAGCATATCTCTGGTTCCGAACAATGCCTCAGCGTGGAACTACCTCCGGGGTCTCTTGGAGCATAATTCCATACCCTACTCCAGAGTGATCTCTTTTATCCAACCATATACATTATCGATGGACGAGCAAACAGCGGATTTGGTCGATTTGGATAATCCACCACCATCTAAAGGCGCACACTTGCCTTGTGCTCTTGCGATTGAGTTCCTTGCGGATATATACGAAGCAGAGGGTGGAGATAGGATGTTGAACGCCACGGAGGCAAGTCAGTCAATGTTCCCAAATAATCATGATCTTAACACTTTGGTCAGCTATGGAAGTCTCTTGGAAATGAGTACGACGTTGCTCGGAAAAAGTGGGACTTCTATGATATCTATATCATAGGCCAGTGCTGATTGAATTTCTTCCAGGTATTGGGAATATCGCATCAGGGAAGGTCTACGAGCTATTCAGACATGAATGGGGAAATGGTCCATTGTTCAATTTGAACGGCCTAATATTGGGACTTGCAAGTTGTAGTTACAGACAATGTATCGTCTTCTGTGCATCGATCCCTATGTAAACGATTGTAATATATACATAACCGACGCTGCACAACATGGTCCAAGACCTGGACAGGTGAATCAATCATGATCTGTCATGCAGAACTTGGCTGAAGCGTAGCTCCATTCCCCAGGAACTCGTCGTAGGGACTCGCGGGATTGGCTAACTCATAATGCACGCTTTTGAGACACTATGTGGAAGAAACTACATCACACCAGAATGTACATATGTGATATCAATTTCGCACTTCAATGTTTCTTAAGGTGACAAGGCAATAATAAAGATCCGAGAACATCTTGAATACCCCGTCGAGGCAAAGATCTTGGACATTCAGCACTGTTTCTTCAAGTCTGTATGGGCCTCGAACACTGTTGCGTTTGAACCTGCTACTGTGCATTCAATATCATCCACCTTGCTCATTGTGATGTCACTCGCAGGCAATTCAGCGAACAATATACAATTCCAACTGCAAACCCTATACACTATGAATGTTAGAGGATGCACAACATCACTATGAAGACCAGTTAGAAACAGGCAATACACCAACAAGAAGCAACTCACTTTGATGAATTTGGACATGAATTTCCTTGAACGCGGTCAATGATTGAAACGACCACGCAGTATGAGTACTCACTTGTGGAACTCTGTCCGCAACAAATCATTTACGAACTGACCTTGAGGTTTATCTCGTGAACTCATGGCTTGATTTTTGAATATTAAGTCTACGGAAGAAGCGATATGTTAGGGCCAGAGTCGCGTATAAAGCCAAACTATGAAACGAACCGTCATCCCAGCGTCTCTTAACGGCAAACGTTCCAGGCGCTGTGGTGTTGATATTCGTCGGTTGTCCCAGAGCAGCAGCTAGATTCAACAACGGATTCGCTGTAGCAATATCTATTTCTCTTGACGCAGCCTCCGACGCAGATTGCTCTCGTTCCAATCTGGCCTTGTCTTCCGCTCGTTCTCGTTTTATTTTTTCCAGTTCGCGCAGAAGTGCTGCAGTGTCGTCTTCCTCATCTGACTCGTCGTCGTCACTGTGGTTTTGATCATTCACAAACCGAAGAATTCTTCTGCGCGGAACGCACCTATTATCGTCCTCATTATCGTCCTGCCCTTTTTTCCGTTCTGTCTCCTTCTCATTTTCCTCCTCCTCCTCCTCATCATCATCTTTGTCCAGCTCAATTGCGTCCTGTAGCAACTTCCGCCGCTTATTTGTTTCGTCGTCCGCTACTGGGGCGGGTGTATCCTCCACTTCTAGAGGTAAACCTTCCGCCTTTCGCTTTTTATTCCTCGCTTCCTGTTCCGCAGCAAGCAGCTCTGCACGTAAATCTCGTTTATCCACTTCTGAAGTGGATGTTTGGCCAATCTGTCTGCAAAGTTATGCAAACCATGATCAGAGTTGTGTTTATTGATTTTAAACACTTAGTAATACCGGAATTTGAGCTTGGTATGGGAAGGCATGTCCCTCACAGAGACTTGCCGCGAGCCTCCTTTGACATCTCGCGCTTGAGCTGGGTCCCATGTTGGTCTATGAGCTGTAGACATTGTGGAAGATGGTGATGTTGGTAGTTGCCGGAAAAGGAAAGCGGTTGTACAGCCACTTCCAAATCAAAGATGTCAAAGCGGTATTTATCAACCCCGATCAGCTGCAGAAGGCATTTGCGCGATTGTATGAGATAATTAAGCACAGATATGGACAATGAAATTCCGTTAGACGAAATTATGAAGATGAAAGTTTGTCGAAACAGAACTTCCTGGAATGTCAAGGCCGAAAACATTGAAATACGAGGATTTACATAGTTCATATATTAGCTAGAGGCTCGATCTTATAGTTATCGTATCTAATCAAAGGCGGAATTCCTACTTAACTTTTAAGAAGTACAGCGACTGAATCCGTATAATGGATGAGACTGCCGATCCATCTTCCAAGTCTGCTCTGCACAGCACGTCGATGCCTCGCCGACACCCTTGGATATATCAACTGGCTCTGGTAATGGATTCAAAAGCGCCGCAAGATTTGGTGGCCTGGTTTTTGGTGGCTCTGGCTGTAGTGCATTCAGCAATCCAGCAATACTCGGAGGTCTCGGCGGTCCTGTTGGAGGTATTATAGGTATCGGCATCTGTAGTGCACTTTCAAGCGCACTTGTCGTGTTCGAGGCATTCAATTTGGGATTTGAAGCCTTCTGATTCAAAGCCTTGGGTGCTTGGGGCACCTCCGACGCGCTCCGTCCCGGGTTGTGTCCTGGATATCGATTACCGGAATTTATAATAATGATGTCCGAAGTTCCTGAAGCCGAGGAAGTCGAGAGAGTCTGCTCAGCTCGAGGCTTTCTACGCTCTGGAACATATTCATGGCGCCGTTTCCGGTGCCTAGTAAGTGAACCTGGGTCCGCAGTGGCGAACTCGCAATCAGGACATTCTTGGTCTTTGATCCTTGTACTAAAGAAGGCGAATCGGAGTGATTAATCAGAAGATTTATTGTAGGCAAAGTATAACTTACTGCACGCTACGAATGTGCGTATCCATATTACCCTTCTGTAAGCTCTGAAAGTCGCAATTGGAGTAGGGGCATGAAAAGGATCTGGAAATCACGATTGGTGTATCGATGAGCAAGACAACTTCCGCAAAGTGAGGAGCGTAAACCGTACCTGGACGCTCGCTCTTCTCCTCTCAGATGTTTCTGCATGTGTCTATGAAGATCGCACGGTCGTGCCACTCTTGCACCACAAAATTCGCAGACGGTTGGATCTTTGAGAGTCCCATCGGGCTTGTATACCTATCAAGTTCGCAGATCCAACAAACCGAGGCCAGGTAGAAAACGAAAGAAGATACCAATGTCCTGGCCCTAGGCATCGATTCGAGGCTCAATGGGAAAGAGAATAGAAGGAAGAGAGGACAATCATCGATTAATGACAAGCGGACATTTATGGTCGAACATTCCGGGCAATGTGTTTTCTGTGGGCGTGTTCAAGGCATGCCACCGCAAGGCATCAGCGCGTTTTGATGCAGGGTAGGAATTCGAGATCGTACAAAGCGTATCGCGTAGCTCAAGAAGGCAGTATCCGAACATTGATCTTCAACATTAAAAACATTCATGAGTAGATTGCTGCCATTACAAACGTTGCTCATTATTGGTCGTGAACACTGTAATAGTTAGTACATGTACATGTTACACCGAAATAATATGTCATGAAAGAAAAACAAAACTATAGATAGAGACAGAAATTAGTATACTCGTCACGCTTTCTCGATTTCATGATGGTCGTGTGTTTTCACATCCACGCTATCTTTTTCACCACTAGCTTCAGCGTCTCTGGGAGTGGGCGCGACATCACCAATCTCAGCATCGTCGTCTCCTCCACCCTCCTCGAATGCAGCACGATGCTTCTCAAACTGTCTCCCATGTTTCTCTGGTCCAAAGAGTGTCACCACGAGTACAAACGCTGCGACACATCCAATTAGGATTCCTTGCACTTTAGCATAATCCGGCACTATCTTTCTTCCATCTGGATAATCGCTGCTGACTGGTACAGCGATAGTGGTCTTGAGATGGTCGCCTCCCGTTGATTCAATTTGGGCCGAAGCAGAGGAGACCATGTTGCCAAGTTGGTAAGCTACACCCGGGAATGTAGCACGGAAGGCGGGGGGACTCATCTCCGCCAATTGGATTGGAATAACTCCCCAAGCGCCCTGCACACCGAATTGGATGCAGAAGGCACCCGCGGCGAGTCCGCTGAAGGATGAGGGAATGATCCATAAAGGTATAAAACATGCGACAAGGAGGACAAATATGATGATGGTCAACCGACGACCGATATGTTGAGAGACGTAGCCAGCGATTCCTCCACCGGCAATAGCACCGCAATTACCAATGATGGTCATAACGGTGGCATCGTGTGAGGAGAATCCTTTGCTGGTTTGGATATAAGTAGGGAAAAGGTCCTATGTCAAGAATTACGGTCAGTATATGAGTTTAACAGGTAAACGACAGAGGGAAGCGAAGTATAGAAGATGCATAAAGGAGCGCGATCAAGAATGGCTAATTTCACGATCGGTCAATCATCAAAATCGGGATTGTGGATGGCCACATGGAACACAAAACGCGGGTCCACTCGGAGAAGAACGAAAAAGAGAACAAAAGGAATAGATATTCACCTGAGATCCGTGCGAGAGGAAATTGAAGCCTATGCCATATGTTAGCATGTCATTGTCAACGTCGACGTCTAGACTTACCCGTCATCAATAGCACTGCGTAAATACATAGCATCCAATGGGCCTTTAACATTTTCTTGGTCTCCTTCAGGAAAATCTTGGTTTTAGTTGCTCCTCCGTGTGACAAGCCTGTTTTCTCCTCGCGCAAGCGCGCGTCCTCCCTTGTTCTGAGGAAGACTGCACTCTCAGGGAGTAGTAGCCTCACTAACGCTGCGAAAGCACTGATTCCCGCTGCGCACCAAAACAACGCTCTCCATCCGTGAGTTTGCTCTGGCACAAGATAAAGATTGATCACAGCGGCGAGAAGATATCCCACAGCGTAGCCTTGCTGCAAAACTCCGCTTGCTAGACCACGAGTTTCGACAGGCAAATTCTCCAAAGCGGTAGAAGCAGCCAAACCCCAAATTCCACCCATGCCAATACCGAACACACTTCTCAAACCAAGGAACTGCGAGTATGTTTGTACAAAACCAGCTCCGAGTTCGAGGACACAGACGAGAAGCAAGTTGAAGACGAGAGGATATTTGCGCCCGTATCGATCGGATATAATACCAAAGATGACGGCGCCAACAGAGCGCAGAAGGAGAGTCAAAGTTATCGCACGTGTGATATCGGTCGTATTCTTGTTGAACTGTTTGGCCAAAGACGTTACTGAAAGCGAGACGGAGAAAAAGTCAATAGCGTCGCAGGACCATGCTAACCAACTGCAAACAGCGATTAACCTTGATTTTATTTGGAGCTACTATATTGTGTACTTACCCAGTCCAAAACTCGGCCCATTGTCTCGCGTTCAACTCGGTCAACGCGGTCAGAAGAGATTTTTCTGAGCTTGTCTTTTCCTTCCTAGGTACGAGGTTGTGTGTCGCGTTGGACCATAACTGCGACAGGGCGGAAACCATCTTTTTTGAACAGTGAATACCGGGACCGTCGTAGATAGAGGTAAGAACCAGAGACAAAAACGCGATTGCATATAATTTATAGTGATTTTTACCCGAGCTTTACAGGCACGGCTGTCGGATCGATTTTCATCCAAATCAGAAAAATCTGATCATGCGGGGGTGTTGTGGGGTCAATCTCCATTCGGACTGGTTTCGTCCTAATCAGGATGTTGATTTTGTTTGGTTTATGATCCTGCATTTTCCAGCTTTGCCCTTGGTGAATATCCCTTAGTTCCTTCTTGAAGGGAACCATAGAAATAGCCTGCAAAAATCTGCTAAAGTTTGTCCCCGGCACCTAGGCTTGACATGGCAGTGGCAATTGGCAATAGTGACACTGACATATCCATTCACTGCGGCCTTACGCTTGTTCCGTTCCGCCCAGACTCCCGTGTTCTTGTCTCGCTTACTTAGCCAAAATTTCCGGTATGGATCATATTAGGGTAGCGGCTGGTAGCGGGCTACACTAATAGCGGCCAGAGAAAAGGCTAGAGAAGGACGATATCCATAAGTCAGACGTCTGCCGTCGACAAGCCGAAAACGCTATAATTATCTTGCCGCCAACTTTGCCCGATGTATTGTGTTCCTTGGGCGTCCTCAACTCAAGGCTTTCCAAGTCCTTCGTTTGCAGGTCCGTCCGATTCCATTATCTGGATTCGCTGCTCGAAATCAACCAGAATGTAATGGGAAATTCATTCCCAATTCGTTTTCTCATGGTACGTGCAGTACTACCTTATATAACTGCTGTTAATCTAAGTAGTATGGTCATTTACTAGCATTTGCTCTGAGAGCCTGCGTCGCGAATCTCATCTACCCTACTTTTCTGGATATAGAATATAGCATGAAGTTCAGCAACTATCTTTCCGCAAAGATTACGCTACATCAGTTGCAGAACCATATCTGCCTTTCCTCGTCAGAGCTTTTGAGCGGTCAATATTCTTTCACTGACAGTGATCCATCGATGCCCCTCATCCATCCATATTTACAATCACCTTGATTGTACATTTGTCGGATGCTATATATTGTCCTCAGATGAGTCGGTAAATAAATGGTCTCTTTCGGATAGGCTTGGTGTGCATGTGTGTCCCAGCTTGTCTGCATTTTGAAAGAGAGTAGATCTCCGATAGAAAGAAACAAGAAGAAGCCAGCTCTTTCCAAACAAATCTCTAGACATGAAGGATGGTTGTTTGGTGCGTTCCACAGCTCAGTGCTATCGAATCTAGTCGGTCTTATATCTCGTGTTGGAAACCTGCTACGTTCGCAGGTAACACTAATCGACACTCACGAGCGGACCGGATACTATGAATCGGATATGATTGGAAAAGTGAGAGAGAAAAGGCAAGAGAGATATCGGATACAGGAGAATATTCTATGTGAGTAGATGGAGGGAAGCGATTAAGTATAGTCTTCAGCTAGTACTGTATATATAGGGTGATGTGTCACAAGTGTGACTATATGCAAGTCCGTAGTAAGCAGTATGTTTACACCCTCACCCAACTAAAACCAAGAGAGGGCTCTGAAAAAAAAAAAAAAAGGTTATGAATTAGTAGTGAAGTCAGATGCAATGAAAGCCAATTCAATCCAAATCCACCGAGTCAAGAAGCGCGGGGGGCCCGTCACCACCGTTGCGAACCCAATCATCCAACGCTTCACATTCATGTAAAGCACTATATGGGAGCCAACGATCCTCAGAAGGCGATTGGTCCACCCATCGAACCAGAAACTGCCAGCCACGTCCACGCCTTCGTGAGTCAAGGATGCGTTCGATATCGAACTCCTCGTGGCCGTCCACTATAGTGGGTGTGGGGATGCGTCGTTGACGGCCAGGAAAAAGGGCCGAGTCATTGGGAACGAAACGTTTCAGCTGATCCACATAAAAGGACGGGAATGCGTTCGGTTGATTAGGCATGTCTAAAGTGTAGTGAGAGGTAGCAGGGAAGGCCTGAATAACCTCATATGGCCCGTCGAAACGCGCAAAAAATTTAGCAGCACGTTTCTCGCCTGCCTTCTTGAAAACCTCACGGCGGTGGTAAGTTGAGAGCATGACTAAATCCCCTTCTTCAAACAACTCGCAAGGTCCCCGGTGTTTGTCCGCCTGGTATGATTGAACAACTTTTGCCAGTGTAAGATTGTCCCGAGCCTCACGAACAGTTAACTGGATTTGATCCAAGAATTCACGCGCAGCAAGAGCATCAGTGGAAGGATTTGGCACATCTAGAGAGGGATCCTCCAGCAGGGGAGGGAGAACTCGTGGGCAACGGCCATAGCGTAGTTGGAACATCGATAAACCAGTTGAAGAATTCACGGAGTTCATAATGTCGAACCGAATCTTAGGTAGCGCATTTACCCACCCCATTTGGTTACGCTCAACGTAAAAACGAATGCATTGATTCACGGTCTTGTTGGAGCGCTCACTAGAGCCATCGGTTTCAGGGTGGAACGAGGATGACATTTTAATCTTGACCCCGGTGAGCTTGTTCAAGGTGGACCAGAAATCAGAAACGAAAAGTTTATCCCGGTCAGAGACCCATTCCAAAGGCAGACCGTTATCACAATACCAATGATCAAAAACCAGTTTAGCCAATGCCGGAGCAGTAATGTCAACCGTAGTGGGGATAATTTTTAAATCCGAACCCAATCTATCAGTCATGGTGAGAATACAGTCAAAACCCTGGTCCCTTGGTAATGGCCCAATGAAGTCCATGGCCACACTGTCGCAGCGTCCTTCTGGGACAGGGAGAGGATGCAAAGGACCTTTCCGGTTTTTGGCGGTTCGACCCTTATTATGTTGACATTCTTCACATCCCGGGACATAATATTTGCAAAGGTCACGCCGCATATGAGGCCAGTAATACGAATCCGCCAACATAGCGTAAGATTTGTCTGCACCAAAGTGACCACAAGTATCATGAGCCAAATGGAAAAGGTCTTCACGTAGTGATGAATAGGCCGGAATAACCAAACGGCCAGCAACAAACCACAACCCATTTTGATGCGTGACATTAGGAACGAGAGAACCACCTTCAACCAATTTGAGAACGAAAGGATCAGAAACATAACCTTCCTTTATGCGGCGCAAGAAATCCTTGTCCGCAGTCAAGGAAAGGATGGATGCGCACATGAAAGGGTTAGCCTTCCAACTGTCAACATTAACGGAAGGTTCGGAGACACAATTCATTGGGTCTGAAGGTAGAGCTCCTGCCCGAATACGGCTCAAGGCATCGGCAGCAGGGTTGTCATCTCCACGGATGTATGCAATTTCAAGATCAAATTGACTGATTTCCTCCTGCCAACGGAGTTGACGGCGGCTCAAATCCTTTTGAGTTTCAAAATTCTCCAGAGTACGATGATCCGTTAAAACATGAACCCGCATCCCCAAACAATCCGCACGCCACTTACGCAGTGACCGGACAATAGCAAGTAATTCTTTTTCATGTACTGGATAATTAAGTTCAGCCTTCGAGAATTGGGCAGAGTCAAAGGCTACGGGACGAGCAGTATCAAGGGTCGGACCCCACATAAGAACTGCACCATGTCTCCAATCGCTCGCATCCGTTACAAGAAATATGTGGTTATCCTCGGGGTTATCATGGTCAATTGTAGTGAGAACTTGTCGACTCAAAACTAGTGTCTTAATGGAAATAAATGCATGTTCATGTTCACGCGTCCACAGAGGAAAATGTTTTTCGCACTCTTTCTTCGTCAATGGAGTCAGAATCCTGGTATGTTCAGCAAGGTTTTCGAGATAACCTGCCACAAAACGGACCATTCCAAGAAAACGGCGAACTTCAGATGCAGACGTAGGGCTAGGATAGTGTAGAATTGCTTCACACTTGGATGATTGAGCCTCGACACCGCGACGTGAGATGTGGTGTCCGAGGAAATCGAGTTCCAACTGAAAAAACTGACATTTTTTTGGATTACAATAAAGCTTTGCACTGCGTAAGGCCTCGAGAATGAGCTCAACATGGTGAGCATGCTCTTCAACGTCTTTTGACCAAATAATAATATCATCGAGATATACATGACAAAAACGCCCTATATATTCACGAAGGGCTTGTGTAACACGACGTTGCTGAACAGCGGGTGCATTTCGCAACCCTTGGGGCATTACCAGCCATTCATATTGACCGAGAGGTGTTTGTACAGATACCAGGGGTACAGACTCGGGTGACATGTGACTTTGAAAGAAGGAGTCTGTCATATCCATTTTTCCCCAAATCTGACCTTTTGCACAATCGGCAAGGATGGAATCAATACGAGGCAATGGGTGACGATCTGGGATGGTGTTTGCATTTAGCTTTCGGAAGTCATTTACCCAGCGGGGCAAGGCAGTGGGGTCCGACTTAGGAATGAGGAAAGCCGGTGAAGAGAATTGCGAAGAAGATGGACGAATACGGCCAGCCTGCAAGTGTTTTTCGATAAGCACAGACCAAGCCTCGCGATACTTTCGCGGGGAAGCGTACCCGCGGGACTGCATAGTCATGTTAGCATCCTTGAGGGAAATATTACAAGTAATGTCTGCAGGCAGCTCATCAATATGTGGAATGTCTCCAAAAACATCATTGAAGCGCGATTTCAGTTCAGTACTCCGTTTTTCTAAATCCTCAAGCGCAGATAAATGTTCAATTCGGGAACGAATCGCTGCTGCTACATTTATAGGTAATACAGGATCGGATCGATATAAACGAGGGTGGTCGCGAAAGTAGGCATGTAATTCAACAAGGACAATTTTTTTCTTTTCTAACGTATCTTCGTATGTATGAAAAATTTCTCGACGACGGTCACGGGGGCTCAGAGAAGGTAATGGCGGAACAGGAATATGAGGGTTCATTAAATCAAAACCAGAGGTCTTGTCCATAATAGTCCGGGCAGCGTAATCGGTAACGAGAAAATTGTGAGCGAGGAAGGGAATACCCAATACCATAGGATAACATAAGGAAGGAACCACGAGAGCACGTACGACACGGGAAGACCAGCCACCTGATGGGTCCTCGAGGGACAGTTTACAGAAATGGGTTGCCTCAAAAATCTGGGGTGTACCCTCAGACATTGCAACAGACATTTGTTGTGGTCGGTGAAGGGTACGTTGTTTCAATCCTAATTCCGAAACAACATCAGCACGAATCAGAACGAAAGGACAACCATCATCAATTAAAAGAGTACGTGAAATCTCTGTAGAAGAGGATTTCAAATGCGCTGTCCACACGAAATGAGGAAGCTCAAAAGGCATGGCAGGTACACGTACTTTGTTCGAGGTACGTAGTTCATCCTCTTCACTCCCCGACGACGATTCCTTTTCAATGTTTGCAATAGGTCTGGTACGTGAAGAAGGCGAAGGAGAGACAGAACCGTCGGACCAATCAACATCTTCTTCGGCATTATCGCGAGTCAAACGATATTGTCCAACGACAGGAGCAACAACACGTGAGGAAAACGAAGAAGAGGAGGCGCTGGAACGGCGCATGGAAGGACCAGCGTAATTACCATACACGTTATCATCTCGAGTGACGTGGGCTACAGCGCGAGTACCATAAATGGCAGCAGCGGGAGGAGCACGTACAGTTTCATTCGTAACATAAGCACTGATGTCCTCCAAGGGAGGACCTAGTACGGAAGCCACAGATGTGTTCGAATTAGCCTGTTTCAGGATTGCGTTGTATAAAATTGGACGACCAGTAGATTTATGAGCAGCAATAGCCCAGTCAACCATTTCCTTTGTCAGAGGACGCCACGGAACGGAAAGAGTAGCACCTGTGCACTTGTCGAGGTTAGATGCGCAAGTGCCCCACGCCGTGCGACATTTCACGCAGGCACTAATACGGGACAATAGTTCACGTTGTTCCTTCTGCATCGCCTCAGGCATTTTACTGAAGGCACGCATGTAAAAGGGGCCAGCTCCTGAGCCATCATTCGTCGAGCGTTTGTTTGGATGACCCGTGGGCTCGCTGGTAGCGGTACGTTTATGAGGTGGGACATTGTTAGGACCGCCGTTGGTAGGAAAATTTCCACGACGGTTAGTACGATCTGCAGACGCGAGGCGAGTTTTAAAACGGACTTCAAGATCACGACAGGAAGTGATCCAATCCTTGTATATAGTCGTTTCGTCAATGACAATGCCTTGTTCGGAAAGAATTGCGGTAAGGGTTGCAGAAATACCGCGAGCCAAAATCGTAAGCAGTTGGGCCGGTGTCAGATAATTTCCGACTCCCTTGAGGCGGTTGTTACATCCCTCCACTTGAGAGAGATATTCATCGAAACATCCGACGCCGCCAATTGACATGCGTAAGTCATCTCGGCGAGCAGCATGAACCTGGGCCCAGTCATGACCACAGAATTTACGATGAAGGGCATCAAGGAAGGGAAAGGTGGGAGGACTAGTCTGATCATTTGGGTCCTTTACCTCCAAGGCCAACGCAAGGTGCGTGTTCTTTTCCGCACGGAACCAATCTCGGTGAACGTGGGGAGAGAAAGCATCCGCGATTACCTCGCGCACGTTTTCGATGTTATCTTCGGAACGTAACTTCGCAAATCGACGCGCGTCTTCGTATAGATCATCGAGATCTTCTGGAGACAAAACAGCCGTTGGTTTTACGCGAGGACCGTACTTGCCATGGCATAACTCAACATTCCCAGATTCATTCAAACGAGCAGTCATGATGTCTTCGTCTGATGAAATTGGAGAGCAAGTACGAGTTGGAATGTCAGGGACAGGGATCGGTGTCGGAATCTGATCGGGAGGTGTGTGTGCAATATGGGATGGATCGAGTTCTTCTGAACTCGAAGATGAAGCTGAATGAGAAGAAGGTTTAGGGCCAGATGCTCTGACAGAGCTGCGTAATCCTTCACGGCGAGGTCGTAAATCAGCCAGGATAACAGAAGGAGAACTGTCAGATGTCTGGTTAGTGGGTTTTGTTAACAAAGAGGTCATCGAGAAGAGACGATACGGAATACAGGCAATCTTCTACAAATGTAAAGGCAAGGTATCAAAACCGTTAAGGCGAAGTACGAATGACGAGATACGAAAGACGAGAGTGCGTGAGACGAGAGTGCGAAAGACGAAGGTGCGAGAGACGAAGAAACGATGAGCGAGAATGCTCGCCGGACCCTTCGTATATGAAAGGCAACGACTATAAGTTTGATTTAAACAAAATATACAGAAATTTTCTTTAGGCGTGGCGATCCTTTGATCTCCAAACCTATTTTTTTCAAGCCCGAATCGTAGTAAAAAAAAAGTGGAAACCTGCTACGTTCGCAGGTAACACTAATCGACACTCACGAGCGGACCGGATACTATGAATCGGATATGATTGGAAAAGTGAGAGAGAAAAGGCAAGAGAGATATCGGATACAGGAGAATATTCTATGTGAGTAGATGGAGGGAAGCGATTAAGTATAGTCTTCAGCTAGTACTGTATATATAGGGTGATGTGTCACAAGTGTGACTATATGCAAGTCCGTAGTAAGCAGTATGTTTACACGTGTGCTTCAAATTGGCAACCTGCTAAAAGCATCAACTCTCTAGACACTTAGCAAGATTTTTGTGAAAGTTACGTTTTCAATGCAAGACTTGAACTCACCTGCAGCATAATTGTAAAGCTGTAGAACCATGATGGGAATTCCAAATACTGCCCTACCGTCAACGAAACACCACATGATGATGGGTCTGAGATAATCCTCACATACGTACATCACAAACTAACGATCCTTCGTGCAGTTGCATTTGTCTAAAGGCAAACTTACTTGAAAATCGTAATTGGTGTTGCGCTGAGGCGCCGAGGCTATCGAACACTTTCTTTGGAGTCCGAACCCGGGTGAACGACGCTGTCGCCCAATGAAGGTCCGTGATGCAAAATCACACACACAGGTATGAGTCCTCAATGATACAACGTGGTGACGCGAAACTAAACTAGGTTTCGAATGGATCTGATAACATATCATAATGGAGGGCGCGAATTTAAAAAAACTACCACTGTTTGCGATTACTCCACTGCAGTTCGAACCATTCCTCCTGTGTATCGCCGTGAATATCAATGACGAGCTGAGAATTTCAAACACTCACAATATCTGACTTGGTTGCAGATGTTCCCACTCTGAAGATTCCAGGAAAACCAAAATCAAGAACCCTACATGTCTTGACGGAGTCGTCTTTGTCGAAGGTGACATGTATATTGTAGGAAGTGAAGTCCCTGCAAATATTTTGACTATCAAAGAGACTATTCAAATTCCCCAAGAAATTTGAACTTACACATGAAGCAACCTTTTTTCGTCGGCCCAGGTGACAATCTCATTTTTGACCAAGAGCTTCATTTGGTTCAACAATTCTTCCCGTCTGGACTGATTGGCTTTTTTCCACACCCCGGTACTCTTGATCTGTGCCCCATCGATCTTCTTCATAAGGATAGCAGGTTTCCCGTATGGTGGGAGTAATCCAGAGGAGATGAAGTACCCAACGTCTTTGAGCGCCTTGACCTCACCCAAAATCTTTCCGTCAACAGGTCCATATAGAATTTTCACTACAACTTCCGAGGCCTCGTATTTCTTGTCCTTGGCATTGTAATCAGCCCCCAGCATGTACATTCCCTCATTGAAACTCCCTGTGACTGCCCCGGGTGATGACAACTTCTGTCCAAGTTTGACGCCGACCAGATGCTGTTCTGCATGGAAAACACTTTATTTTGAGGGACGAGCAACCATCAATCATTTTGGAACCCACTGAAAGCATTTTTGTCTTCATCACTCAGATATTTGTCGCTTCCATAGAAGTCTTCAATCCAAGGACGCTGTAAGAGGGGTAGGAGTGATGACTTTTACTTAGAATGCAAAACGCTTACATCGCGATCCTTCAGCAGGTTTCTTCTAAACTGTTCGGGTGAAAGAGGCGGCGGCACTGCCTGTGTCACAGTTTTGAACCAGAGAGGTGCAATAAGAAGAACGAATTGGAGAGCAAGATGCATTTGGAGCATGTAGCAAAATGAAAACTCGAAGGGGTGATTTACAAGTTGTTCTGACCAGCAGAAACAAAACTAGGGGGGAAGGAAGGAACCTAGGTCTGACTCTGAGTGCTCTTATATAGTCGAGTGAAAATTTTCACATCCTCGCTTGGTAAATTGACCCTGGCACCGTCGGCGTGTAGACTTGCACCTTCATGAATTCCGGTGTCCGGTGGCGACAGATGTATACTTATCTTTAGGCCGTGCAAGTGCATAGAGGTGCATAGAGGGTAAAGTTCCGAGTCACTGGCAATTATTGCAGGTTTTTTCAGTTTTTTTTCAGAGGCTTTTAGAGCTTTGTACAACTCCTCCCGATCCAAGTATCACTCTTGACTGATCCGGATAGGCCTTTGAACCCTAGTTCATATTTTTGGCTTCGCTCCTTATCTCGCATAACAAGCATGGATTCGTTGAGAGTAAATACGAACAGGCGCTTGTATACATAGATAGGCGCTTGACTCTTGAACTCGAACCTCCATTTTCTAAAACTCATCTTCAATTTTCTCCATCTCGCCCATGCGCTTATTCAGCTCTCTCGTCTTTCTTCCTACATTCATAGCTGTAGCATTCTTTTCCCTGTCTACGTCCGCCTGTGAAGGAGATTGTATTACGAACACGACCAACGAATTTATCAGACTATATGCGACTCCATTGAAGACGCTCCTGGACCATACGGTGGGCATCTATCTGTCTCCAGTCGTACGTTTACGCAATTCTGATTTTTCAACTCTCGATATCTACTAGGATATCGATCTCGCATCTCGCTTCAACCTCCCTTCCTCTTCAAAATGTGTCTCCTACCTTCAAGATGCCTACGCCAAGATCGCTTATGCTTACCTTGAGAATGCCATCTTTCCTTCATATTTTCATGGAAAATGCCAACAGCGCACCGCGAACGGCACGCTAGTCAACCCGCCCGGATGCCCTAATCCCGATTGCCCCGTTGTCTGCGGCACACCAGGATCTATGGTTCATCATTACGACGCCTTGCGCAACATCACGGTCAATTCTCATGAAGGAATGTTCGCTCTTCTGACGAAGCAAGACTCGGGATCATTCCAAGATGTGAAGACATGTGTGCTGGGCGCTACGACCCTCAAGAAATGTCCCCAAGAGCCCGCTCGTACTACAAGATCATTTTCGCGATCATTTGCAGCTCATTTTCCTCGCTCCTTGGTTGGTGGTTCTTCCAGCGGATTCTCGCCTCGCGGGAACTGCTATGATGACACGAATTTTGAGAAGAATCTCTACGACGTCCTTCAGGCCGGCATGGTACAGATGTGGGCTGATGTATGCGACGCAAAGAAGGACTATGCGAAATGTAGCTGGGAGAAGGAGATGAAGGCCTTTATTTTGCAATTTCCTTGATCGGAATGCCCTTGGAGATCTTACACTCCATACGACATATTTCTATCCCTCGTCAACAAGACTGTAATTGGATTTTTTAGAGTTTCTGTACGGCTAGTACTCGCTCATCGCTATGTATCTATAGATAGTTTTGTATCATGCATTTTCTGTCTCTCCTATTCACAGCATACCAGCTTGGTTTGAAAAGCAAAACTATCGAGGCATTTACTAATAGGGCGGTTTCTACATAGTCTAATACATACGTCTTCCGGTCGTTTCAAAGGCTTCCGGTACTCTTTCACACTCGCGTTCATTATCGGTATGACTATCGATGACTAGAATGCTACAAGCAAGGGGTGGAAGCAAGAAACAAAAAAGGGAACCTTCTCAATCCGCACGAATTCAAAAAAAAATTAACTAACGATATGTATACAAGTGAGAAAAGTAAGTATGAGGATAAGAATGAATCATGGAATTATGGCTAAATTTGCCAACGAAAACAGCGGTCAGCATTGACCGAGGAAACTGCTCTTTGGTATTGTCTGCTTGAAGTCATTGACCCATGTCGTAAGATTGGGGTTGGTATAGGCCTCCATATATCTATGAGAAATGTTATGAAATTCAACTGTTAGCAATTAAGAGAGATATATCTCACTCATTGATATATCTGCAGTCGTTCGAGAAAAAAACAATAACGGTAGTCAGAATTGCGTGCGTAATGAAGAAGGAAATCCAATCTTACGCAGCTGTTGGGAAATCTTCCGGGTCGCACCCAATGTTGATACTGTCCGAGCGTTGGTACACACGGATATAGTCAATTGACATAATGGCAGGGAATTTCAGATGGGTTAGGTCGACATATCCGAAATTTTCGGAAATACCAAGGTTAGCGAGGAGGTACTGTAAGTTCGGGACATGGTCAGTGAAGTAAAAGGCGGATTGAGCTCTGTAATCACCAAAGGCTCTTGGGGGACTGGACGACCAGATATCTCCACTTCACTATCCGCGCCGACTCCAGCGACGTTCAACGTCCAAGCCGCCTGGCCATTGTTTATCCAGGTGATGTACTGTGAATTTGATCAATTATTTCCAAATAGGGTGTTAAATTGACGAGAAAACTGACAGCATCGTCAAAACCTGGTTTGTACTCCAGACCATAGGTAGCAAAACACGTCCCATTGAGCTGGTAGCAACTCTGGGCTGGAACAGAAAATGTCAGCCTTGCGGGTTACAAAACAGACACCCAAGGACATACCCGTTTGAGATATGCAAGAAGTGGCCTGCTGATACGCCCCTCCAAGGTACGCGTTGAGGGCGGTGACGCTCGAGTTGTGAATGATCAGGTTATCTGAGGTGTTCAACCAGACATACTCGTGGTTGAAGGGCTATGGGTTGAATCCACACATGTGAATATATGTAGGATATGAGTGGTCATTTCAAACTACTTACCGCCCATTGTCCGGATTGTGATACAAATCCCTTGCTGTTGGATACCTGACATGGATATAAGCCTCAAACTAGGAGCGAAAATGCATTGAAGCGCATGCAGATACTCACCTGAGCTTCGAATATATCAATCTCAGGCGCTGCCCGTCCGACGTAACTACCATCAGAGTGAATCGGTCCAGGATGCGATTCGCCAGGGCAGGTACATCTAGAGAGACGCTGTCCTGGCAAATAGGATAAAGCATCACCGTTCGAAGGATCCCCATTCTCCGTGGCGGCAAGCGGAAGACCGTTGAGGGTTTGGTTGGGAGCAGTACCAACATCACACGCGTCGTATGTATAAGGCCACATGCCGTCCAAGCTAGCGCCGTAGCCGGCCCTTCCTATTCAAAGGTCAACGACGTTGCGGACATGATCCTGGACAACATACCAAGATTGCCCATAGTCCAAATCTAGATAACACATCCGATGTATTCGAGTGTCAATACATATAAATCTACCTGATGGATAATACATACCGCAGGCCTATAGCAAAACAATGTGAGTTGTAATCAAAGAGGTGAACGATCTCATTTACCATAATCCAAGCACATTGTTTGATCCAGGCAAGTTCACGCTGGCTAAGACCAATCCTCCAGTAAAACAAAATTTGTTCCATGTCGACATCATGCCACCCTGATAATTCAGATCATGGGTCACTTGCTTTGAAAGTGTGATTTGTAGAGAGCCATTCTTAGTTGTGATGGCTTCGGGACTATACCACTCCAGGTTGTTCGTCTGGAATTCAAGCGAGTGAAAAGGAGGTCAACATACTGAGGAATGGCTGAGGCGCAATTACAACAGTTCCGAGTATCAGGTTGTCTTAGGCACCCCAACCACACTTCGCAACTATCACACTCACCTGCCAATAATGGAGATCCACTGTTGAGGGAGGGCGCGCGGCATGAGCCAATGAAATCAAGCATTTTCATATAGACACACCAGCTTCCCAGTAGGGATCATCTCCTGGATAGAATGTACGGCCTTCGGTATTGAACTCGTCACTGAAGATGAGCTGCATCTCAGAATTGTCGTTAAAAGACGAATAAGTGTAAGCGTCTTGAGGTGTTTCGAGGTCTATCATCCCCCAGTTTCCTGGCATGCTAGGAACCTAGCAGAAAGCCAATTCATGAGCACCCAAATTTCGAAGAGTAGATGAACGTACCTGGCCGGTACCATTAGTACCTCCTAGGTTGAATCCGCCATTAGTCGATACTGTTTGCTTAAGAAAATGCGACGCGATTGGGTATCCAGCGCTGGAGTATTATGGTGTCAAATTATTGAAGACCTTCATCATCAACCGCACGCACAAGAGACCAATCAACACAACTAATAATATCGCAAGACAACCCAGGTTGGCAAATCCTCGAGCAGTAAGAAACGTCCCTCCTTTATCGTTCTTTCTGTCACGCTTGGGGTCCGGATTATGAAGATAGTCGTCCGGCTCGCGAACGTTCAACGCCACTGCGGCGCCCCAGTCTCGAGGGTCTGGAGATAGAGAGAACTATCGTCTAAGGTTAAAGCTAGCATATATAACAAAGGCAAAAGCAAACCTTGTCAGATACTGAGGGTTTGAGAGATGGAGGCCGGCGGTCTGTTGCAGCATCGTATGGAGAATTCTGTATAATCATTAGGGAATAGTGAAACCCTCGAAGGCAGGAAACTCACAGTGGAACCCACGCTTCTTACAGAGGGAGGTCCACGTCGGTTGGAAGGCGCAGAAGGAGGGATAAGATTAGTCGTTGAGCTCGCAGGAGAGCCTGGCATTTGAGAATACGGCGGTGCTCGACTCATAGTCGCGAAAAAAGGGAGGACGACAAATCTAGCAAGCAAGGAATGAGAAGGTGAAAAAGAGTGTGTAATACAGTCAAAAAGCTCAGTCTCTGCTGAGGGGCGGGCTGCAGTTGCAGTGGGAAGAAGAGGCTAAGGGTTGAAGAAGTGTCATTCAGGGCCCTCATAAATGTATTGGTTACACGCGGGCAAATGATGAACAAGAATGTCCACTGAACTCCACATGCAACCTGACAAAACCTATTTCTAGTACGGGAAGCCATATTACCACTTCAAAAGAGCCAGCCAGCAGTGGTAGGGGCTAGATGGAAGGTTTCCTCGTTGTCTGTCTCGAGGGAGCCCTCAATAACACGTTAGGTCACCTCCTATCTTATCTAGTACTCGGCATTCAAAAACTATACCGTTTGACTTAGTTTCGTCAGAGACAAAAGAAAAGATGAACTGAGTCTCTGCAGCCATGCATATGTACGTTCAATCTCGAAGGATATCTATTGCGAACAAGTTCTACAAACAGACTATCCGAAGGAAATATGCGGTGACGAGTATAGTGATATCCCAAGGACACATCTGGAGCCTGGTGCGATATTAGTATACGAGAACAGTTCAACGAATAATGAACCAGGAGGGGGACCGGGTGAGATAACCGGCTCAAGCACGTTGTAGCCACCCAACTTCCAACCCCGTCATGATTCGCATGTTGTCTGGATAAGTTCTGTTGCTCTCTTTCAGTAGGATAGCAAGCCTCTGGCAGGTGTCCATCGGGTAGAAAAGATACTCTGCCTGCGGGAATCCTGGGTATCTTTCCAAAATACTGAAAGGGAGAACGAATGAGTCAAACTCGAGGTAGGATGGACAAACTCAGAGAACCAACTGACTTTTGGAGATCCATGTTTCCTTCAGACGGTCCCATGAGCTTGTATAACACCTTAGCTGCATTCATCGAGCCACTTCTTGGGATTGCGTAATGCTTTGAGGTGGTGTAAGCGAGCTGGAGGTTAGGCTTGAACAACCAGATCTAAATCATAATGTTGGATGGGTGTTGTGTATGTAATATGCAAGAAGCAACATCACGAACGAGAATGCGAGGGCGTTCGTCCTCTTCATCAGAGATGATAAACCGGTATGATGCATGAGCGTGTACGAACTCAACCATGTCTTCTACAATGAACGCAGATAATGGGATCCTGAGAGGCCTACATCATGCAATCAGTACACATTTGAGACGTGCTGTAACATTAGAACATACTCTGAGGAAGCGCTGACCGGACGAACAGCATACTTCAAGATCTTGTAGGCCATGACTTTAGTGGTGTCAGTTGGATGCTCCTGACATCGGCCTAGGACGGACCCGCACAAGCAGCGAACCAGGTGATGGTCATCACCCTTATTTGAGAGAGAATGTCAGTATCGAATGTTACCGCAAAAAAAGAAAGTAGTATGTAGAAAATGTATTCTCAAAAGTAGCTCCCGAGACGTAAACCTCATAGCACGAGAGTTGTTTTAACGAGCAATGAAGTGACATAGTCGCTCTCACTCTTGGATGCTTTGTATCAACCGATTGTGTCAGAACCCAAGGCGGAAACCTGAACACGAAGGGACGGTTTCCTACCTTAGATTTCATGACCGCTGGTAGATTTTGCCAACGTCGGTCTTCTTGATCATCCCTTTAAACCGTTCAGTGGAGAAAAAGCGCTGAAAGAACTTACTTTGAATGTATCAGGATGTAAATTATCTTTGACCATGGCGGAGTCTTCGAAAAGGATATAGCTACCCCCAACAAGCGCCTGATCGGTACTAGGCCAAAATCCACGGCCGTTCTTCACCACGTTCTCGTTCAATGTTTGAGAGGAGTGACACATCCATGCATCAACGAGTTCCTCCCAATGCTCTGATGGCAGGTCCCGATAATGAATTGTCGATGATTGAATGAGCTGGAGCGAGCACATTGAGCAGATGAAACTTGTTGGATTAGAATTGGAAAGCTGGGTAGCGTCAAGAAGGGGACCAGACTCTGATGGTGAGGGTGAAGAGGTTAATGCGGCAAGTTTAATTTCAAAGTGGTTACTTTGTACTTTGATTTCCTGCTTTCCGGGTACAACGCGGGCAGGGAGGAGCAGAGGAAGGGAAGACTTGGATCCGCTTTTGATGATGAGCCGGTCACCATCGTCGGATTGATTGTTGGAGAATGAAGGTACGACCTCGGCTTCGAGGTCAACTCCGGGCTGTGCCCCGGCGACAGTGAAAAAAACTAGGACATGATGAAGATTTTCGTGAAACTCGGCGACGTAAGTAACCTCAAATGAAACTATTATTTGTCGTGAGAGTTGCCAGAAGAAACAAGATATTTAAGATACTCACGCTGGGGGGCCGACGCGTCTTCATTAGATTTAGATTGTGACTCTTGGAGATTCGATTTTGAAGACGAGCTTCTCAACCACGCCAAAGGCGGCGCAGACATACTCCTATCCCTGTTCTTGGATCTGGATTTTAGACGAGCAAACGCGCCTCCAGCAGGCGCTGGAGTTGGCAACGCGCTGGTAGAGCGAGACGAGATGATATGTGGAGGGGGAACTTCCTTGATAAACTCAGGAAGAGTGAGTAGAGCTTTCGGGTTCTGTATTTTCAAAGAGTCGACTGGAACTGCCTCCCGGATGAATTCAGGAAGCGAGAGCATCGCATCGGGATCTTTGATCTTTATCTGAAGTGAGGCATCCTGGTCGTGTAGACGACCCGCATTGGAGTGCTCAGCGAGCTGGTCAACGAAGGCTTCTCGCTATACAGACAAAGTGAGTACACAGGATAGAAGATCAACCTCATCAATCTCACTTTAGCCATGTCACGTTGACGGACTTTCTCCAACCTTGCCTGCATCCCGCCATCCAGAATGACAGATTGATCCTTCAAGGTTCGGCCAGATGCCTTGTTAATGAGCTCTAGCATGTTTTCCAGATCCTTTATATCTCGATCTTGCTCCTTCTGCTTTCCAGCGGAACGCGAGGAGGTTGCGGACTGAGAACCTTGCCTCCTGGCTTTCTCCATCTGAGCGAGCTTGGTCGATTTGAGTTCTACACGTTGATTATGCAATTGCGGGGCGACGAGATATAATCTGTCGATTGCCATTGTTACAGCCTCCAAGTCGAGTTTCCTCTTCTCGGACATTTGTCCACCAGGAATGACTGACGAAGACGATACCTCGGCTCGTAATTTCGGTTGGTCAAAATCTTCCATAGAAGACCGAGAATCATGGTCGTAGACGGGAAGAGTGTCGTATTCATAGTCTGGAGGATCGTATGAAAGGTATTCTGTTCGCTCTTTACACATGGACACAACTGTATCGAGCTCTTGGTCGATTTTCGACCAAAGAAGAGCAGCCTCCACTGTTAGAACAGGCTTGGATCCACGAGGAACGACATCCTGCTGAGACGTTGATCGTTCGAGCTGAAAGTCGCTCAGTTGACGCTTGAGCGCATCAAAAAGATTGAGAGATTCATCTGAATCAGCCGCATTCCAGAAAGAGGTTATCGGTTTGGGCGAAGAAGGGTTTACGAGGATGGAGAGGCGATGTAAATGAGAGAGAAGTGCAATGAGAGTCTTGACGAGTATGGCATCTGAAGAGTCTAAGGATGAAGATATCTCGTCCACACGGACGTGGAGCTCCTGAATGAGGTCGGCATCGGATTCTGAAGGGGAAGCTTGGATCATTTCTCCAGTGCCTCTAGTACGAAGGTTGGAAACGAGGGTGTGGAGAGCTGAGGAAGACGATTCCTCTACAGCCTGAGGAGATGAAGATCGTGGCGAGTTTGGCATGGAATGACGACGGTCTGGTACAATCGTTTTCCATCGAAGAGGAAGAGAGAGCAGGTTGTTTAGAGCCATTATACAGGCTCGTTCGACATGGACGATAGAGGGCATTAATTCGTGCTATATTTTGGTTAGCATATAAATCAAAAAGAAAGGATGTAAACTCACCAGCGAATCAGTTTGTTGTCCATTTTGAGACCTTTCGCGGACCTCTAATATATTCGAAGGACCTGCTTCTGATTCCTGTAGCTGTGGCTGCTGTTCTTGAAAAGATGTGGATGTGTCCACTGCAGAGCTGTTGATTACCAGAATATCTCTTGGGAAAGGTGTAGGAACCGAGGAAGCTAGGGCTGAAATAGCTCCCAAGTCAGACTTGACTTTTGTCAAGGTTGCCATCGTCGGAGGAGTTGATGTACTTACAATAATGCGCGTGCGCAACCGCTTTTAGCAATTCATCAAAATTCATCCCACGCTTACCCGCCTTGTCCACTTCCCCGTGGTCTATCCGCAGCTACCAACCTCGCACTCCATTGCTAACTGTAAAGTGTGGGTAGATAAAAGGCGGTCGTCGAGGAACGAGAACCACCATCGCGGGGTGAATACAATTACAGGAAAAAATGCGCATCCGTCACATGTAATTACTACTATTTACTATCTCCCGAGTTTCCCAACTACAAATCGGCAATCTGCGTAACCAATTTGCCTGTATTCTCCCCTCGAAAGAGTCTGATCCAAACTTCCGGGACTTTCTCAAAGCCTGTGCGTACGATGGTCTCCCCTCCAGCTACGGAAAGCTTTCCTTCCTTGATGGCAGAAGAGATCACTTCAATCCCCTCACCTCGACGATGGTAGTAGTCCATGACGATGAACCCTACGGTTACAGGCAAGGTATGTGAGCGAACGGGAGTAGAAATGAGAGTTCTCTCACCTTGAACAGTGATTCGGTTAATAATTATCTCAGACCAGTTGCTCAAAACCGTTTGGCTCGGGTCGTTATAACCGCTAATCGCACCACACGCAGCGACACAGCCATTTCTCTTGATCAAAGGCAGACATGTATTAAGAATAGTACCACCGACGTTGTCAAAATAACAGTCGACATAGGAGGGTTTAGCTGCTTCTGCTATGGCTTCGGAGAACAAAGGAGATTTGTAGTTCCTATGAAGACGTCGAAGAAAATAGAGGCGATTGGAACAAAAAAGCAACGCACAAAGCAACATCAGCACCAATCTTCTTCAACCATTCGCACTTTTCATCGGAGCCAGCGATAGCGATCACTTTACCGGCCCCGAATACGTGTTTTGCTAGTTGTACGGCGACGTTTCCAGTAGCACTGCAGGACCAGTCTCAGCGCCGCCGCAATACGAATCGGGATCGATTATAACCCACCCAGCAGCTCCCGAGATGATGATATCCTGTCCCTTTTGCAGCTTACAGACATCCTTGAGCCCAAAATACGCTGTCAACCCCGGCACTCCAACCGCACCCAAGAAAACACTCGGGCTCAATCCCGGAATGTCAGGAAGAGGGAATGCATCTTTAGCGTTGACGACAAGTTGTTCTGCCCATCCACCATAGCATTGCACTAGAGTGCCTGCTTTGATGGAAGGTGAAGTAGATTTGAGCACCTTTGCGACACTTCCGGCGCGCATGCGTTCGCCCGGGAGGATAGGCGGTACATATGCACGGTCGGCGTTTTGGTCTTTTTGAATCCACCCGCGTTGAGCTGTGATGAATAATGGCGATCAGACAATGGATCTATCAATGGAGTAATGTACAAGATTACCTGGGTCATTGCTAAGGAAAATAGTTTGAAGCTTCGCCACAATTTGGTTAGTCAAGCTCTATAGTTCAATGTCACAGGAAGCACTCACCAAAACTTGATCATCCTTCAACTCTGGTAACTCCAGCTCCTTGAGCTCGAATGTAGAGTCCGACTTGCCCAATTCTATGACAGGAAAGCCGGTCGGCGCGTTAACGAGGATGATTTCTCTGACCATGTAGTAGTGGCGGGGATGGAAGTTATGCTGATATCTTCTGGCTGATTATATCTCTGTAACATCGGCCCCACAATCAGCGGTGTTGGTGTAGTCAGCCTGTGTGTATTTTTCTCCCCATTGGCCGAGGAAGGCGAAACTCACACCATATAACACATGCGCACCCAGACTATAGGGGTCCTTCACGCGAAGCCAGCAACAACCAGTAATTTCTTCACGTCCTAAAGGAAGAAAGTGAACTTCAATTTTCACCCTACTTCAGAAACCTCACAAATAATCGCATTTCAAAGTTGATGTCATTGAAGACGAGATGGGCTAGTTACACAGAAAGGAATACTAAGGTGATAAATACGATAAAAATGGTACATCGAGGTGATAATACAGTGTCGAAAAGTCTCCAGCCCAAAGTATGAACAACTCGAGAAGCGATTACTTGGCACCTGCTGAGAACTGTAAAGTAAAATATTAGCTGAAAAGAATGACTCGAGTGAAACTGGGATCGAACCTTAGTGACACTCTTCGTACCCTCAGAGATGGCATGTTTGGCGAGTTCACCGGGGAGGATGAGTCGTACAGATGTTTGGATCTCACGCGAAGAAATAGTTGATTTCTTGGAGTAAGTGGCGAGTTCTACGGAACGTGTGATTAGCAAGAAACTAGAGCGCGTCAGAGAGCAAACTCACTAGATGCCTCAGTGGCGATACGCTCGAAAATGTCGTTGACAAAGCTGTTAAGAATAGCCATTGCCTTGTTCGAGATACCAGTATCAGGGTGCACTTGTCTCAGAACTGGAAACCGAATAAGCAATGAATTCACAACAGTCAACAACGAAAAGGTACCCTTATAGATGTAAGAAGAGTAAGTCTCCTTTCTCGCCTTCTTTCTCTTCTTCTTCTCGCCGTCGGCGGCACCTGCAGATGACTTGGCAGAAGTCTTCTTAGCCGCCTTGCTGCCTTCAGTCTTTGCTGGTGCTTTACCAGCAGTCGAGGCAGGGGCTTTTCCAGCAGTGGAAGCGGGTTTGGGTGCCATTGTAGAATATGAGTGGCAGAAGTGTTTAAAGTGTTGGTGGTGATGGTAGTGGTTGAACGAAGAAAGGCGATGTGGGAGGTGATAAACAAACTTGGGCCGCCTAAATTCTTCGTATAAATACCGGCAAGCACGTGAGTCTACGGCACGTTGATCGGGATCAACGACGCGTAAGTCACATGCATACCACGTGAGTCGTCACTATAAATCTAATGATCGCAGTGCTTTTTGCCTTTCAACATCCTTGTTGTCGTCCACCACTCTCCGCCTACAATTTTGAGCTTTTGAAGCTTTTGACTTTTTCCTCAACACACTTATTACTGCAATGTCTGGCAAAGGCGGAAAATCTGGAAAGACCGGTGGCAAGGCTTCTGGTGACGGTTCTAGCAAGTCCCAGTCGCGTTCTGCCAAGGCGGGTCTTCAGTTCCCGGTTGGTCGTGTCCACAGACTGCTTAAGAAGGGCAACTATGCTCAGCGTGTCGGTGCTGGTGCTCCTGGTGAGTTTGACCTGAAATCACTTCGCCTTCAAATTCTAATTTCGTCATCCTTTTTTTCAGTCTACCTTGCAGCTGTCCTCGAGTATCTCGCCGCTGAGATTCTCGAACTCGCTGGTAACGCAGCCCGTGACAACAAGAAACAACGTATTGTTCCTCGTCACCTTCAACTCGCTATCAGAAACGACGAAGAGTGAGTGACTTGCAATGACTGATTACTCATCTAATTTTTTTTTTCCGCATTCAGGTTAAATAAACTGCTCGGTGACGTTGTCATCTCGCAGGGTGGTGTCGTTCCCCATATCGAATCTCAACTCTTGCCAAGCAAGTCAAAGGGCAAGAAGGAGGACGGTATTTCACAGGAAGTTTAGATTGGTTGATGTTTATATTATTTTTTCCTCGTCTTGTATCAACACTGTATTCTACGTTTCTCATCCACCTCCTACATGGCATGACCATCTTTTCGTTCACAACTATAATTATGTATTCATTTGTATCCGTGTCGTGTCCATCTTCCGTTGGTTTTTGGAGGACACAGGACTGCCTAATTGATTGTTGTGTAAACTGAACTTCGTTCGGGAAATGTGTGATAGTCCCATTTTCCGAGCATTCTGCGTTAGAGGTACAGGTTAAGGTCTAAGCTACACATTGCCTGATGAATCACGCTAAATTCGCTTTCTAAACTAGCTTGAGCAAATCCCCCAGCACGCCCATAGCCGTTACTGCAGCACCTGCACCCGCACCCTGAATAATCAGAGGTCTTGGGCTGTACCTTTCCGTGTGGAACATGATAATGTTGTCCGAGCCTCCGAGGGATGTAGCGAACGGATGAGATGTCGGATATCTATTTGCATACACGTCTATCAATCCGCTTTGATTCTAAAGTCGTGAACAAACACGAAACGCACTTTTCCAAACCAGCTTTCACTTCTCCCTTGACAGTGTCGACAACGCCAACAAACCTCAACACTTTACCTTCTTTACTCGCATCCTTCCGCATCTGGTCAAACCCTGCATCAAACTCCGGAAGTCTCTTCAAGAATTCATCGCCTGTAGGGATACCTTCGAGGGCAGGAGGTATGAGAGATGCAGTTTGGACAGAGGCGAAGGACTGTAACGATGGTAATGATGAAGAGCCGATAGTACGAGAGAGAATCGTGAGTTTTCGGGCAACGTCAAAGCCGTTCAGATCATCTGCAGGATGGGGTTCCTTGTTGTCCGACTGGTATTAGAAAGAAATACAGTGCGAATTCAGTAAAAATACACACCGTGTAACCTTTTTCACGAGCCACACTGACAACAGAGGAGAAGCTGGGACCGTCTGGAGAACCAGTGGAAAATTCATTGAAGATGTAACTCATTGTACCCGAGAATACACCTTCAATCTTCTTGACCTAAATGTACTTTCTCTCATCGAGGAGAGCACAAAATCGTATCAGATTTGAGCTTACCTTGTCTCCAGTAGCCACCAACTCCTTCAACGTCGATATAACAGGCAACCCAGCCCCGACCGTCGATTCATTCAAGAATCGCGCTCCGCTTTCTTTGCTTGCGCTCAGAATCTCCTCGTACAACCTCAGATCGCCAGAATACGCCTTTTTGTTCGGCGTAATCACATTGATACCAGCTTTGAGCCATTTAGGATACAACGACGCGATTTCATCCGAAGACGTATTATCGACGATAGCGACTTTTGTTGAAGGAGAGATCGAACTAGAAAGCTTTGCGGTGAGGCTCTCATAGTCCGGCTTCTCATTGGATTCGGATAAGATCGTTTTCCATTTTTCAATCGAAGTTATGGCGTTTGCTGGTTCAAAGTAAATGGTACGGGATGATGATGAAAGAGAAACGAGTCGAAATGGGGAAGATTCGGTAGGAATAGATAAGAGTTGGTTAATAAACTCTGAACCGACAAGACCGACACCGACTACGGCAACGAGCATCTGCGGTGTTTTTTGGGTGGACATGGTAGCGAAGGTGAAGCTTTTGTGATTCTTTGCAAGTCCATTCTCTGGAAACTGACTCGACGCAATATCGATGCCATCAATCGCCGCAATAAGCTGCACTACCTTCCAAAATTCATGATCATTCAAATAAAAGACAACGTCGGGGTTATGTAGGGTTATGTGTGTATAAAAGTTTCGGGATAAATTCAGTCAGAAGACATCAAAAAGTATAGTAATAATCCAACAAGACTGTTCAATCAGCACTGCTCTGAACAATTTCAGAGACGGTGCAAGTATTACCAGATGCCACATTTCCAGTAACTGTGTATGGATACGTCCCCAAATGAGGGATAGAACCGCACCAAGCAGAAGCAGCTGTAGTAGCCGTAATTTCGATGTTTTTCTGTTGACACACATAAGATCAATCCTTGGAATTCGCTGAATCTACAAGAAAAAAAAACAGACGTACGTAGGTGATGGGTCCGAAATTGAAATCTACATCGTACAGCTGCACAGCGAAGTAGCAGATGAGTTGAGATGTGAAACCAGAAGGTGAATAGATCTTACCTCTACTGCAAAGATAGCGCTGAATGATTTTGAGTCAGACTGTTAACAGCACAAAACGCTCAGGATACTACAAACCGGTTCATGGTGTTTCCTGTGATGTCCAAAGTAGTGGAAGCGCTCAGACTTCCGCTGGATAAAGTGCAGGTCCACGTCGTTCCGGACTACAACTGAGGTCAGTCTCATCGCCAACCCAGGTCCAAGGCAGAGATCACTTACAGAGCTAAAGGTAAAATGAACGGTGTCACCGGGGTTGACATTGAACCCATTTCCCCATGCTAAGGAAGGTGTGCTGCGGGTAATGGACAGCGAGCCCGGGGTTAGTCCGACTCGCTCGATTCTCACTGTTCAGAGGAATGGCCCCACCCGTAAAAACCATCACCTACATATATCATTCATCGATACAGATGGATGAAGTAGATTAAAAAAATCATACTTACCGATCCACCAAACACCGCTAGATCCATCGAGTACAGCTTGCAGAACTCCATTGCCACTTTGCACACCAGGCCAAACGTAGGGTGTACCTTGTGAATTTCCTTTACAGCGATCGAAAGTTATAACAATCACTGAGCATACCTCCCGGCGTAGGTAAGTCGGGAACAATCATGTCTCCGGACATGGAGACGAACTCACTCGAAAAGGAGAACATACATGCTCAGTCAAATCGATCTAGGCATCATCAAGAAAAAGTCTCACGTAGCGTCCCATTCCACTGTGTACCAATCCTGTGCAGCAACCGCCTTGAAAAAGACGGAAAGCAGAACAAAGATAGAAGCAGCTAAATGCGATTTAGCGAGCATCGACATATGAAGTAGTTCAACACAGGCAGCGCAGGGGGAAAACCTGAATAGATTTTGAACGAATTCGGTTTGTTTTTTACTCTAATCGACCAACGGTCCGAGACTGACCCGCAATATACGCTTGATCACAGCAGAATCGCTGGGCACAATCACCTGCAGTAGGAATGTTAGGTTTCGGAAAGCGGGGACACTGGAAAGATATAAGATATTCCGAAGAAGCATTGTGCCATATGCTTTCTCGGGAAAATCATACGATAGCGCAAGGTCGAATAATAATGATCATCCTGACGAAAGATAGTCAGTCTGGAGAGGGAGGAAATGTAACTCGGAACTGGTGTGCTGGAACCGAAAGCATTCGGCCGTGGGCACTGGTCAGTGAGTTGGTGGCTATTTAAGTTGATACGTTGAGAGATAAAGACAGCTGGATAAATTCCAGTTGAGAGATGTTGATCTGAAAATCTTCGTAGTCCGCCTGAGGACCACAGAGATTAGCGATTGCCATGAGGCGAACGACGGAGAATTATTGATCGAACATCAGGAAGAGAAGTTGTATTAATAGTGGTCAAAAAAATACATCGAAAAGTGCACTCACCTCTCTCTATGGTTGATGACGTAGATCGCTATTGAGGATTGATAAGACGCTCTCATTGTTTGAATGTTAGCAGGATTGCATCAAGTAAAAGAATATAAATATCTATCATTATGTGTAGATTTCTAGACTGCAGACATATCCCGACCAACATGCAGCAGGTAGAAGTAATTACACCTACATCAGTCATGCTAACAACATCTTCCTCGGATCCTCGAGATACTCTTTGACGCGTACTGAACAATATTTCAGATTAGCAACGTATAGTATTAGTGATAGTCGGAAACGAGAGTGTAACATACCAAGGAAAGTCACCGCCTCCCGACCGTCCAACATCCGATGGTCGTAGGTGAGAGCCACGATCATAATGGGACGTATGACAATCTGACCATCGACCACGACAGGCTTTTCCTTGATCGCGTGCATTCCTAATACAGCGGTCTGAGGCAAGTTGATAATGGGGGTACCGTATAAAGAGCCGAATACACCACCGTTGGAGCTATACGAGTGTCAGTTAGGATCGATGGAAGAAGTTACATCGAAGTTACATGGTGAATGTCCCTCCAGCCATGTCTTCGAGGGTGAGTTTTCCGTCTCTCGCCTATTGGGCAAAGTCAGTACATCAGTACACGGAGCTCTGTTTTTTTGTCATTCATGTAAGACTCACCTTCTTTCCAAGAGCAGCAATCTCTTTCTCGATTTCAACAAAGTTCATTCCCTCCGCATTTCGGACCACAGGAGTAACTAAGCCTTTGGGCGTAGCGACAGCAACACTAAGGTCAACGAAATCGTGGTATACGATCTCGTCACCGTCAATGTAGGCGTTGGCAGCAGGAATTTCCTTCAATGCGAGAGAACAAGCTTTGGCGAACGCGCTCATGAACCCGAGTTTTACATCATGCTCCTTGAGTACAGCATCTTTATACCGTTTGCGCATATCCATGAGTGATGACATATCGATCTCATTGAATGTAGTGAGAGAAGCGGCAGCATTCTGTGACTCTTTGAGACGCTCGGCAATACGTAGACGCATCCTGTTCATCTTGACCTGCGGGGATGTCAGAGTGCGTTTATTGGTTTGTGTTTTCGGATTGCATGAGGAAACTCACCCTAGTTTCATTTCTACTCCCAGCAACTGGTGCAGCAGATTTTGGTTCTGCTGGTTTGGGAGCTTCCTTCTTGGGAGGCTTGCTTTCTGGTGGCGGAGGGGCAGGCTTCTCTGATGGTTCTGGCTTTTTTGGCTCGTCTTCTTTAGGTTTCTCTTCCGTAGATTTCTCCTCTTTCGGTTTATCCTCCTTCGAGTCTTCTTTCGGCGGCGGTGTCGGAGAGCCTAATAATAAACATTCGGAATGAATAGGAATGACGTTGGAATGTAACAACGCACTTTCGCTGACTTCACCTGGCTCGAAAACAAACAAGTCTTGCCCAACCGCAACAGTATCCTCTTCGTTAGCCAATAGCTCCTTTATAGTTCCTGCAGAAGGTGCGTTTACAGAAACGTCGATCTAATAACAAACCATTGGTCAAGGCAAAGATACGCGATCTTGAAGAGGAAATGATATAGACCTTATCTGTCTCAATAGTTGCGACTTCCTCGTCAGCAGCAACACTGTCGCCAACTTGTTTTGACCAAGACTTCAGGGTACCCTCTGTGATGGATTCCGCCATTTGAGGCACTTTGACGGTCTCCGCTATATGATGGTCCGGTGAATTTCGGAAGTCAATGGTTCTAAAAATCCTTTGCTACTCACCCTGCAGAAGATTCGTCGAGTGGAACTGGGCCCGCTTGATATTTGCACTGGCTGTTTTCCTATCGGCCTTCTCTCTGTAAATTTCCAATTCGGTATTTCGTGTTCACGTACCAGCCTCTTGACATGGTCAACGCAGTTCCTCCATGGATAGTCCTGGCGCCCAGAACGCCCTTTCCTCGAGCTACAGCAGTAATTTGCTTCGAGAGCATGAAAAGTAAAGCAACAAACGGTTGACGTCTGGTTCAAAGTTGAGGCCTTGAGGTATGAGGTATATTTGGACGCAGAAGGCTTTTCGGAATTATTCACCGCAAAACTCGGGCACGGGCCGATTCTGACGTCAGGCTCAAAGCTCTCCCAGTTTCTTCTTGCTCAACTCACTGCACAGTGCACCAGTCTGCAGCGTCAAGCTTCAAGACTGACCTCAATAAATTATATTATATCCTCTGCTATATTGCATCGAAGTTGTGAAAACCCCACTTCGTGCGTCAATGGCATGATAGCCGCAAACATTTTATAGTTTGGCTTTTCGGACATTCGGCATATTGTTCACTCGTACATGACCACATAGGGCCGTTGCAGAACGTAGCTGCAAGTATCTCTAGTACACTGGACAAGACGCAGGCAGAAAAAGCAAACCGGTCTCCAAATATTCATCGAGGACGCGAGCGGACTTTCGAAGCTTGAAGTGTGAAGTAGTAGCGTGCTCAAAAAAGCGAGTTTGTGATTTGATCCAATTCTCCTTTGCTAATTGCAGGAAGCAAGTGTTACAGTATTCAGATTGATACTGCTCGTAGTCACAGAATTAGCTGTTCCACTCAGTACACCCGCACCAGTGATGAGTAATGTGCCATCTGGAAGTACGCGCAGATTGCGATTGTATGATGCACTTTCTGGCGTGGACACTCGCGTCCATGCATTCGGAGCACCGAGACATTGGTTCAGATAAACAGCAGAGTCGCTGTTGGCACTTACAGCGAGAATGCCATTTGCACCCCCGACTGAGCTCCAAGTGATGTACGGAGAGCTAGTAGGTATCGTTCCATCTGTTGCTCGAAGTACTTGCCCAGGCACCGAGTCAAACGCGGTAGGATCGTCCGAGATGCGGTAGTAAACAGCGAACGATGCTTCAGGAGCTCCGAAAAATTCGTAGGTCATGATGTATGAACCATTTGGTAGAAGAGCAACAGTGGTCATTCCTGGCCGATCGTCGAAGACATCGTAGGCAACGTCGTTTACCGCAGCTTCCCAAGTCAACAGATCCGCAGAGGTTTGGTGGACTAGCTTCTGCCCAAAATCAGGATCACGTTGGTCAGAGTAATACACGATCATTTCGTCTTGGTAGAGCATGAGGAATGGTTCCCAGACAGGAGTATCGCCGTTCACAGGTTCTGCAACACCCCCGCTTGCGATATGAGATACAAATGTCCAAGTGAGTCTGAGGGTAGGGTCAACAAATGAACGATATATGTACAATTTTCAAGCTCCACAAACCCTTTATCCGTGCTTGCATACAAATCAATTTGGGTCGCAGATAAATCCGCAGGAATCGAATTACCCGCACATAGAATCGCACCAGCGGGGAACCCTCCGAACTCGCTGGGGAGCTCATACAAGAACGGTTGATACCGCAAACCCCATCCATTGACCTGATCTGTTACTCGTGATATTTCAGTCCACGTCGAGCCACTGTCCGTAGATTGGAATATCGGGAAATATGGAGGTTCGGGGGAATAGTTTTCCCAAGTTGCTAATAGGACATCTGTCTCATCCCCGTCTGTTTCCAGGAGAAGGGTACGTGCGTAGAGAGTTCTGGGGATGGTGTAGGTTGAGGGCGGTACGAAAATCGTGACTTCCTCCAGTACTTTCGGAGCTCGATGTGCAATGAATTCGGGGGTGGGATGTGCAATAACAAAAGATGCTAGAAATATTGCTAGCAGGAGCATTCCAAGAGCGTTGGTTGGATACATAATGTCTTCAGACAGCAAGCGACAGGAAATTTAACGAAACGACATTTATAGGAATGTTGGCTGGTCGGTGTATTGACTCAGCTGACTGGGATAAGTATGAGACTGGCCACGCGCCACAGTGGAGAGAGAAACGAGAAGACGGGCCGCTGCTGCTAACGAGAAAACGGACCGCGAGCAAAAACACCACATCGGAATGGTTGATAAGTTGAAAGAGAAACCAGGAAAGCATCTGCCGTCGAAAATTTGTGACAAAGAGGTAAAATGCATCTTTGCGAAGTAAGCATTTCACCATGGCTGAAAGTGAAACCCAGCGATGGTAGTCGGTAGACTCGAACCAGTCTGCTGCTGAGAAGCGATATGCGGAATCAGCTTCGCTGACACCTTTGAGCGCCAGTTTCCAAAGTGTCAACTACTGGCTCGAGTCTAGGTAGTCGGTGATCTTGCGTGCATTAACTGCCTCCAGGGACATCCACCTCAGGCTTGCCTGCATATAGGTTTCAGCCCATAGGTTATTGCATTTAGATAAATTTCTTGAAGAAATAGCAGGAAAAGAAAAAGGTAAACAAGAGTGCAATCACCTTGTGCCTTGATAAGGTCCTTTATTGCCCGTTGGTACCAGCGTCTACCCGCATTTTTTTCTTACGCTTTGACATCTTCCATAGATTTTTGCTTCCACATATCCCATCGGTTTTCCGCTTACCCGAAGCCTCAAGACTCCTCAAGACCAGCTCTCAACTTTCAAGACTGGCTGTTCCCTTTGGGACCACACCTTCAGGGGCACCGTGTATATAGACTATCTATCTACACTGCTGCACGGTTCTTTAAAAGAATTTCATCATTTTTTCTTTTGAAAATCTGTTAGTGTAGAGTAAAAAAATTCCAAAAACGAGCAGGCACAGATTTGGCCTGGATTTTTGAAAGTCAGCATTTTCAATGATCCATCCAAAGTCTTTTCGCATATTTGAATAGATAACGGCGTGGATAATGCTACCGGCACATTGCGAGCGATGATAATTCTTGCCTTCTTCCAAATTCCAATAGCATTATTAATATCTATAAACAAAATTTATTGCACCTGTCTACATCTACCTCTACTTAAATCAGACCAGGTATATATGTCCGAATTTGTGACTTGCTGACAGCTTCGAAGCGGAATTGTACATGAACATACCAGATGAAAAATCTGCATACGACTTGCAACAAGGCCTTGAAGTTGATGTTGAGGCCTTGAAGTCGACGTTGAGGCCTTAAATTCGATGTTGAGACCTTGAAGTTGACATTGAGGTCTTGAAGTCGACGTTGAGGCCTTGAATGTTGAGACCTTGAAGTCAATGTTGAGGTTGAGGTTGAGGCCTTGAAGTCGACATTGAGAGACATTGAGACCTTGAAGTCGGAATTGAGACCTGAAAGTCAATGTTGAGACCCTTGAAGCCGGTGTTGAGGCCTTGACGGAGCACTGGTACAATCGCGCTCACGGCGGTCAAAAAGGAACGGAACGAAAATTTTTACTGCGGGAAATTATAAGTCTGTGTCATCTGACCGCTTGAGGGTGGGACTTGATCAAAAAATTGTTTACTGCCTGCTTTCTCGGCCTTTGATGACTGCCAGCAAACGCGAATAGATTTTCAGAAATGATCCTTCATTAGATTTTTGTGAGAATTTTGAAGATTCTTCAAAGCATCAGATTCTGTCAGGATTTCCATAAGAAATTTTCAAAAATAGATGATTCTACAAATATCTGAGTAGAATATGAGAAATTATTGAAATGTCAGCTATTTGGAATTTTTGAAAGGTATCTACTCATAATCTAGAAAAGAACGGTGCAGCAGTGTATCTCGATTCTGCCGGCTTCGTTTACTTTATTACCTTCGGGCTTTTTGCATTTCGTATGCTGTTCACCAGTGTTCACCCTTGTTCACCTGTGAGTCTGTCGCTCTGTTGGTTTTGTTTACTTTTTTACCTTCGGATTTCTAGCCGTTCCTATGGTGTTTCACCCAGCGTTCACCTGTCACTTCAGCAGCCCTGGACCCTCACCTACATACACAGGCGTGCAGTTCTATTAAACCGAGGTTGACCCAGTGATATGTGATGCTGGGCCTCATTAAATTAGTGCTGAGTGCAGTTTCCGTAATCCTAACCCCGGCCTCATTTGCGATTTTTTTGTGCTGGGGATGTAATAATAATGATTGCCGGTGATTTGACTAGCCGCTATTCCTCTCCGCCCGCTTTCCACATTCTGGCTTTATTTATTAAACAATTCTTATTTCATAGGATTACACTGGGACTACAAAGGTACATACTGTAATATAAATACTTATATGATATCTGCAATAAGATTATAAAGACACACTGACCATCAATACTTGAGGTTTGGAGAATTAACATTGGCAGAGACAACGAATGTGACAATGGTAACGACCAATGGTGACGACAATGAAAGATGATGGCTTGAACATGAGGGAGTGAAATATGAACATCTTGCTCATCAAAACTGAAGACAGGAAAAACAACAAGAGAGGGTTGAAGTATTGAAATTTGAGTTATTGAGCATAAACATGTTTTGGACGACGTCAACGTTGATGCCAATGAGAACAGGGTATAAATTTGATACTTTTGATGTAATATTGAGCTTTGATAAGATATTTTGGTCTTTGACACAAGTTTGTGGACTGGTGTTGCGGCCTTGAGGGCCTTTGAACTTACGAGTTGGTGGTATGAGGGAAAGAAAGGAAGAAAATTTTCGACTGCGGTATTCGAACATAGATCACATGAGCAAAAAATGTCAACAAGCATCAAGCGCTCAGCGCTCCAGCATTGAGCCCAAGGATGAGCAGGCAGAAATTACGGCGGGGGACGACCCGGGGACGACGCTGGGTTTATTTTTCATCAATTGAACCCAGGCATCAAAGAATTGAGACTCAACTCAAACAAATAATTTAAACCCAGGCTCACTACCCGCATTGAGACTAGGGTTATACAAAGGTCTGGTTGTGTAGGCGTGCTACACTTTCAACCTACAATTCAAGTACCAAGCAATGTGTAGTCCACAACAGTGGGGCCTAGTTTAAGTATGGACCAAGCACCAGAAGCCGAAATCAGAACCAGTTTACAGGAGCTCACAGGTTGGAAACGGAAGTGCAGGGACAGGTAGGGATCATGAGGATTATACTCTCGCCGTCGGATTCTCCCTTGAAAGTGGCTTTTGGTGGGAAGGCAACTGCCGAAATCACGAAGCGAAGCTCATTTAAAGCGTTCAAAATTTCATTCTTTCTTCCCAGTTCCTCTCACTTTCCAAACACAGCGCTGGTCGTTGTATTCAGGTACGCCTTGCATGCCCCACTATAATTCTCTTCTCAATTCTGACCTAGCATTCACCTTTGTAGATCCAACATACATTTTTTTTACGTCGAAACATCAATGCAGTCTCGTCTTCCTGGCATGAGCTTGTATCTCAAAATCTGTTTCATTGTCATCCTTTTTGTTGCACACGTTGTTGCGCTACCTGTTTCCGGCTCAGTAATTCCTGTTTGTGCAGATTTGTATGAGCGTATTCTAACTACATCATTCTTTAGGAACTCGTCCACCGAGCCGACCAAGCTGGCCCAGCCAATCCACTCGACAATTTATTTTTGGGTGATCCCCGAAGCGCTTGGACAATCATGATCGTCTTCTTCTTGCCTTTGAAAGTGACCCCGAAAGTCGGCGCGATCTTAGCCTACAAAGAGGCAATAGCAGTTTCTATCCACAATCGAATCCATGACGACACCGAGATCACCACTTGCTGCCGGATATTCCCATTAAACCAAATTCAAAGCCTTTTACCCCCCGGAGTGAAGTATGAGGGTGACGTCAGTCTCAAACTTACCTGGCATGGTCCGAACCATGTTTTCGAGTCCAGAGGGAAGATTACTGCAAATGGCGGAATCTCCGAAGTCACTGCTATAGATGTAGAATTTTCCTTCCCGGCCAGTGATGCAGGCATTCGGATTCGCAAACCAGGGGTCCCAGACGAGGTAACACTTACCGTTGCAGTGCATCAACCTCCAAAGCAGGCAAGTATAAAGTTGCTTCAAGCTCATCTACTCTCTGATCATGTTTTTTTCTTCCTTTCTAGAAGGATGACCAGCTGAAGGATGACCTAAAGGTTGAACATTGATGAGGGAGGATGTCAAAAATGCTCTATTTTGTGCATGTTGTATTTGGGTTTGGTAAAGTTACTCTTTTGAACTCCTGGATATCTGCTCAGTGAATGGAACAATTATCAAGGCCGCCCTACTTTCTGACGGATGCTTCAATGAGTCTCATATAAGTCTACTACCCAATATGCTATTGTCCTTTGGAAATGCATTGTCTTTGAAAGTAACTCAGGAGGGGATTGTACCGTCAACCTGTGCCTAATAATGGCACTAGTCAGGTCAGGTGAGACAACTTCACATCGAGCTTTCGAGGTAGAAAAGTTTCGGACTGGGATTACAGAACTAAGGTGTAGGAATTGAAACAACAATAACATCCCTTTACTGATCAGCGTTGCATGCCTTGCAGGTGAGGTAGAGTTGAGGCTGTCAAGATGTACACAAAGAAGCGTGCGAACAAACAATCAAACAGTCGGACTCGGAACGTGAATCTACCGAGAGTCAAAAACATCGAAAGCGAACAACCGACATTGACTCTCGTTTCACAGCGCTTCAATTGGCCTGTCGGATCCTCATCAGTTTGATGCTGAGGTTTTGTTTGTCTTTCACTCTATGTATAGATACTTGACCTCCAAGAGCGACTTATCCCATGCTCTGGGTTCACATCATAGTGGCCACCGCAGGTGAACCTCCAGCAAAAGTTTGCATCATACTGGCCAAATTTTGGTAGATTTTAAGCCGGTTGCAGGCCATTGCCTCATATGACCCATCAATGCAGAGTAATTTCAACATTTTCTTTTGAGACTAATTTTCAACCTCAAAACAATCAGAAACGTGTACTAGGGGGGGCCTAGAAGTGAGTCAGACCATGAAATGAATCATCTGCCATCCGCAGGCTGTAATACTTGTTTAGAGTTAGAAATGTGACATCATTTATGTAGAGCGACTGTAGAAAATGCTCTGAACCTGCTTTGGAGATGATCAAAAGGATGGATAGTTAACAATGGATCAATTGTTTGGCGCAGTCAGCAAAATCACGTGAAATCCTTAATTATTTCAGGCTTCATTTTGAGGAATTCGGGTCTGTGTTGCGGTTCGCCTGCTCCTTTTGCTTTTCGATGGGCATGAGGACAAAGTTCATCACTTCTTTCAAGCCATGTGTGATGCCTCGGAGCACAGTACGTGTAAGAAGCTCATCTTTGACTGTCCAGTATGCTTAATCTGATGCAGAATGTCATTCTCCATATCTCTCCAGCTATGCATCGGATCTCCTTCAAACCCGGACCAAGCAGCGAGACTGATGGCTTCATACCAATCATGCCTGCAATGATTTTTCCCATTTTTTTTGCATCTTTGGGATGGCATACAAGACTTGGGAGTATTCAGGTGGTCCGTCGCAGTTCACATCCCAAATATATGTCATTATCTGGAGTATATGGTATTGGTGCGTAACTACCACTCGAGGTATCTATTTATTACTAATTTTGACCTTTGCCATCATCATCAGGCATGCTATGAACTGTGTCCTTTGACGTCCTGTGGGCTACTTATCACCTATCCATCTACTACGTACCAATACTCATATCTCAAAATCTTCAATTATTACTTACCTGCATCTGTCCACCTGCAACCTCATTATGTACTTCCTATCGATGAGAATTGCCAATATAATTGTATTGGGTCCAACAGCCCCGGAATTTTACTCTCCATCTTTCAGGATGTCTAACGCACTAGATGACCCTGATATGCCTGAACTCGTCTCGAGTGACTCGGATGATGAGGGTGTTGAAGGAGCCACTCCACTGCAGTCCAAAGAAGAAGCGATCCGAAGTGCTATGCAGGCCATTGAATCTTCTAATGGTGAACTCTCTGTCCGTAAGGCTGCCAAAGCCTATGGGGTTCATCCAGCTACCCTCCAGCGACGTGTTCATGGTGGAAAGTCTCGCTCTGAGGCTCATGCCCACCAACAGAATCTCTCACCTGCACAGGAAGATCTTCTTGTGGAGTGGATCAAAGTACAGGGTCAGCGTGGTGTGCCTCTCTCGTTACCCATGGTTTCTGCATATGCCTCAGATATTGCGGGAAAACCTATGGGCGACAATTGGATTCGCCGTTTTCGGACCCGCCACCCAGATCTTGCATTGAAATTCACCACTAGTCTTGAGGAGAGTCGAGCTCGTTCACTTACTCCAGCTGCAGTCTCTACCTTCTATGATATTCTCGTAGACACTGTTGCTCAGTATGAAATACCTCCCGAAAACATTTACAATATGGACGAAAAAGGAGTTCAATTGGGTATTGGTCAGCGTACAGCTGTCCTTGTGGATCGTAACCAGAAATCTGTCAGTTCCATCGAGTCTGGCAATCGCGATTTAGTGACAATCATCGAAACAGTTTGTGCCGACGGGTCAGCCCTCCACCCCTCAGTGATTTTTGAAGGACAGAGGCGGGACATTCATTGGGGTGATGTCAATCCAGCAAATGCAAGGTACGTCTCAGTCATCCTTTGTGTCATGGATTGCGCTCACTTGCATTTCCGTTAGTATTTTGACCTCGCCCAATGGCTGGACTGACCAAGAGCTTGGCTCTCTCTGGCTCGAGAAAGACTTTGAACCTGTCACTGCAGCTCGTAACCACACAAAAAAACATCGCTTACTCATTCTTGACGGACATAATTCACATTGCACATATCGATTCTGTAGATTTGCAGAACAGCACAAAATCGTTGTAATTTGTCTTCCTGCTCATACCACGCATGCCCTACAGCCTTGTGATGTAGGAGTGTTTGGACCTCTCGCATCCAGCTGGAAGGCACGTCAGCCTCAATAAACATTTCATATACATTACTCACATATCTGTATATACTCAGGCCCTAGTTACTTTGTTGTCCCGAAAATACATCATTATTGACAAGTATAATCTACTCCGACATTATGCAACAGCACGAGAGAAAGCATTTAAGACTACTACAATAGCAGCAGCATTCCGTAAAACTGGTATACACCCATTCAATCGCAACGCCATCGATTCAATCTTGTATGAACCTGCAAAAAACTTCACAACAAAGTCTGCTATGCCTGTTCCTGTACAGCTTCCCTCACTCCTTGAACCTGTAACGTCATCTTCTACTTCTTCAACTCCTACTCCCAGCACAAGCAATGAGCATGGGATCGTACTTCTGCCTCCTCTCCCTCACGTGCACCGCACTGTCTCAAAAGAATATCTCCGGACCGAAAATATAGTCATGCGCACACAGCTTGAGGCAGCAGGGAAACTGTTGAGTGCAAATTTTGCCCACATGAAGCTAATGGAGGCCGAGAATGAGAGGTTGCGCAACAAGGCATTCGCGAAGAAGAGGAAACGTGTTGCTGTGAACACGGGAATGAGTCGACATTTGACAGCAGAGGAAAACATGAAAGAGTTGTTGAAAGAAGAGATGAAACGTGTCCTGACATCGCTCAAGCCAAAATTTAAAGAACTGAAAAAGAAAATAGAGGCATTCAAGAAGAACGAGGCAAAAGCGAGAAAAGAAACAGCGGCACAGGAGAAAAAAGTTTTGCAGGCAGCCGCAAGGGAAAGAAAGGCAGCGCAACAAAGAGAACTAGGCAGAGGTCGCAGTCGTGGACGTGGACGTGGACGCGGACATATTCGGAAAGGGCGGGGACAAGGACAGACCCAGGCTAGGGCAAACCAGTCTGAAGACTCAAGTTCAGAGACATCCTCGTTGAATTACACAGATCACGCACCTGAAAATGATAACTCGACAGATTCAGACTCGGATTCTGAAGCTGCTCTCACTTCATCTGTTCCCACTGCACCACTCAGACAAGCTCATCCTAGGCCTAAACCTCGGCCTATTCCCCCTTCTGATTCCAACTCCCATAGCTTGCATCCTGTAGACTCTCATGAGTCATTTGATGTACCAATTACTGGTGACCCAGGGACCGACAATGCCAAGGATCCTCAGACAAGCTTTGGAGAAGAGGATAATGGGGTAAGCAAAGAAGATGAAGCAGTTGAAACAGCGATTCGGTTGATTTTGGGCCATAAATGGATTGGGCGGGGCTTGAAGTTCATGGTAGAATGGGTCGACGACGATGTTACCTGGGAGTCTCTTTCGAACATCAAAGATTGTGTTGCCCTGGATGATTATTTGGTCCATCATGGCTTAGCTGAGCCTTCAAAACTATCCAAGAAGATGTATCTTTTAAGTAGAAAATGATCGATTGGTTGTATATGAATGCGCATGGTAGGAAAGATAGTTCCAGGATAGTTCTATGGTGCACGTCACCTAATTGCCACTACCTGTGCACAAGCGTGGGAGCAGCCTTAAGGAGTAGACGAATCCTGTGTTCCTCTTGTGAAAAGATACTAAATAGATAGAGGATGAAACGCTCTAGAGGGATTTTGGAACAAGTTGAATTTCAGAAAAATCATGGGGCCGTTTTTGCCATTTCCTTTTATGGTAATATTATGTAATATGATAATTCCCTAATATGGCAATATTTATCTACTGATCCATTGCTCGAGCCAGTGATTCAGGAATGCGACGGTGAGAAGTATAGCGACGTGAGCTGAACTTCTTTACTTGGGTCACCGCATCTTTAGCCCCCAATCCATCACTGTAAGCATCAATAAATCTCCAAGCCCGATGCTCCCACTTTCGAATCAACTCGATCTTGATTGAAGCCAAGGCCTTTGGCATATTTTCACGCAAGGTCTGAAAGGTATAATCACAGTGTTCACGAAGATAGCGCTTGACTGCACCCCAGAAATACTCGATGAAATTTATTTCACAATGAAATTTTGGGAGAAAGAGACACAAATGCCCTGAATGAATTTTGTACAGCATATGCACGTAACAAACAGAGAGAGAAACTCACCTGCTTCCTCAATGACTTCCTGGACAAGGGACTTCTGCTCCTGAAAGTCAGGCTGAAGGCTGAGGATACGCCTAGCACAGCAATCAACTACTTCAGTGGGGCATTCTCCTTTGCATTTCATATATAGTCCTGCTTTCCACAAACCTCGCTCGATAAGAACCTGCTGCATACCTTTTGGCTGATCAGGATATTGAGGATGGTCAGGTGGAAATAGCATTGATTGATCAATTTTTTGTCCATTGCGAGTGAACCAACCATTTCGCATTCGGCATTGTTTTCCACCAGGACGAAATCCCATTTCGGAAACCCTTAGAGCATCCTTTGCATATGCTGCATGTCCTTGTGAGTTATCAACAAGTACCACAGCAATATACCCAGGACCATGAGCTGCTCGGAAAGCAGGAAAGAACTTCTCCTTCAGCTGCAATAGTAAGTTTCGTCAGTATTTGCTGTATATTGAAAGATTGATTAATACTCAACCTGCTTGATAAATAATTCACAATTCCAAAATCCTTCATGGTTCTTTCCATACTCGAGGGTGACACTGGCATCCTTAAGCCATCCAACCGTTGAGCAAATAAAATCACTTTGATGAATTCCGCGACCAGGACCTTTCTTCTTCAGTGGCTGATTATCTTCGAGAACCCATCCTTTCTTTTGCCCATCATGGGCCTGAGCAACCATCTCATCATGCGAGCACAGCACATATCTGGGCTTATCTGTGTATTCATCTTCAGGAGGAAGTTGCTTTGTAACATCCTTGGTATCATAACGAACAATCTGGCAATAAAACGCCTTTGCCTGTGGTATAAACCGGGTCTGGCGATCTTGAACCACATCTGGCCGTTCATGGCCATCGAAATAAACTGCCTTCTTGTGCTCAACATAGGTAAATCCTTCTCGAAGCATCAAACGCCGCATGCTGGACAATGAGAGACCGAGATGACTGGGCTTGCATTGCATACTCGGCAGGAGGGTCTCTTCAACGAAGCTTTTGAGTCCCCGGGGCATCTCTTGAGAGATGATTTGTCTGGAATATTCATGTGCCTCATCAGGTGCAAGCTCGTTCGCAAATAGTTTTTTCAATTTCGGAGGATCGAGTGACCATTTATTTGTACGCAGATATGCCCTTATTGCATCTCGAGCAGTGGGATCACTCAAAAGTGAATAGACCTTGGCATGTCGCCCTCGATTCGAATGAGGAAGTTCCCTGGTCTTTATCCAGTCCTGCGTCCAGCGACGGATGCAACGGGAACCCCATTCAACAGCAAAGTTATGAGCCTCAGCAGCAATGCGTGATGCATCAATCAATCCTTTCTTCCTCTCCACCACCATTGTCAATGTCGAACGAATTGAACGGGCTCGCGTTGCCTGCAGACCATCATGACCATTCACAAAATTAGTCTTCTTTGATAGAATGAGTTTGTCAATATCTTGAAGAGCCGACGTAAGTATCTCCTCTCGTTTCTCCCGATATCTGGCTGATGCTTCTGCACGTTCAACTCGGGCAGGAGTCAAACGCCTTTGACGCTTTTGTGGAGGTGTGGGCGCAAACTCTGATTGTATATCAGAATGTTGAAGAATATGCAAAGGTGTGGTTTGTTCGCGTGGGCAGCATTCATCGTCTGACAGATTTAAATCATCCCCAATATCGTCTTCTGTATCGGAAAGAAATCCCTCAAGCTCAATCGATGCAAATGAACTCAAATCGGTCGATTCACCAACACCAGATGAAGATGACAGCGCGAGAGTTCTGGGAATAGTCCCGGGAACAGATGAACGTGACGACGCGAGAGTTTTGGGAATGGTCTCGAGAGCAGAATTGGTGATTTGTGCTTTTTGTACTGGAGCGAAAAATTTAGTGAATGCCTTGGCAGTATCACTTCAAGGAAGTCAGCGGACTGTTGGAATTGGCAGGCTCATACGTACGTGTTCCTCATTGTGGCATCTTTTTTCTCCTTCTCAGTTGCTTTTTGTGCATGATAGCGCCTGGTTCGGTCTGAATGACCATTGTACACACCCATACGAGAAGAATGCTCAGCCTGCTTCCACTCCTGCTTTGATTTATCTCTCATCAACTGGGCAAAAGTGGACTCGATCCGTGCTTCCTTCTCTTCCAGACTTTTCACAAGCTCTTCACCTTGCAACTCCTCTATCTCCGAATCACTATCCTCTCCCATATCCATTGGACCATCTGCAGGATCCCATAGGTCAAGATCCTGCAGCATATCTGCAAGCTCCTCAAGGTCATCTTCAAGGCCAGACAATCTAGCCTCTTCAAAATCAGTTTCATTACTGACATCTCGGGGTTCCAGGTCTGGCTCGGGCAGTATGTTGAGCCCCAAATGTTGTCGTGCACGGCCTGCATGAGCACGAGCTGCTGCGGCTTTCTTGGCGTTACGGTTAGCGGATGTCATTTGTAGTGTAAAGATTCGAATGTTGATTCTACATCGATTTATTCAGTCGAAGCCTGTCTACGCGTAATTCTAGTGTATCCCGCACTGATCCCGCACGTCGTGTCTGATAATGAGCTGGCGATTTTGCCGCTTATGTAAGATTCCCACGCTAGTACACAGGTAGTGGCAGTTAGGTGACGTGCACCATACGACGATTCTACGCAGCTGCCAGGATGAGGTCCATCCCAAAATGGATGTTTTCCCACGCATGACTCGGATCCCGGTCAATGCCTGTTTCGGACCCCTCTTCCGAAAAATATTCATTCCTCAGTCATAACCTACCCTAAAATCACCAAATCGCTATCACCGTGTTCGTTGGATAGGTGGGCATCATATCACGTCCCCATAGCTTGTATGTATGAAGTAATCATGTATGATAACCAAAATACGCTTGTGCGTCTCATTACCTGGCCCCACCTAGTAGAAACGCAAAGTTTTGGTATTCTCCTACCATTTTGAGCCATTTTGACGGCCAGACCCCAGTTCGCATCATAGAGCATCATAGGCATGCCAGTGGAATTTTTCGCGAATTTGGTTCACATTATAGAGAATTTTTTGGATAGGTCTGGACTCTGTAGTCCGTGGTTCTCTAAAACCTCATGCATTTCTCAAGTATCATAGCGACAAAAACCCCTCCGTTGATTAGATCATTTTCTAAACAATCAAAGTTGAGCAAAATTGGCTCTCAGGTGACTCCTTTTGATAGGAAGGGCCGCAATCGCCGAAATCGCGAAGCGAAGCTCATTAAAAGCTTTCAAAATTTCATCCTCTAAATTTCTCTGAGTTCCTCTCACTTTCCAAACACAGCGCTGGTCGTTGTAGTTGAATACGCCTTGCTTATCGGAAACATCAGGTATGTACCTACCCCACGACTCTGATCTCTTCTCAATCCTGTTCCAATCTCCACTTTTGTAGATCCGACATACATTTTTTATCTTTGTGCTCGTCGAAACATCGATGCAGTCTCGTCTTTCTGGCATGAGCTTGTATCTCAAACTTTGCTTCATCGTCATCCTTTCTGTCGCATACGTTGTTGCGCTACCTGTTTCCGGCTCAGTAATTCATGTTTGTGCAAATGTGTATAAGCGTATTCTCACTGCATCATTCTGTAGGGACTTGTCCCCCGAGATGTTCTGGCTGGCCCGGTCAATCGCCACAACAATTCGGGTGATCCCGATATCCCCTGGAAAATCTATATCACCTTCTTGGTCCCTTCAAAAGAGACCGAGCCAGTCCGCACAATCTTAAGCCACCAAGCGGAAATAGAAAGTCGAATCAAAAGTCGAATCAATGAAAACAGCGACATCACCACAAGCTACGAGACGTCCGTAGTACCCCAACTTGAACATCTTCTACGCGGAAAAAGTTATGAGGGTGACGTCGGTCTCAAACTTGCGTGGTTTGGTCCGAAAGATGATTTCGTGTCCAAAGGGGAGATTACTGTGAATGGCAAACTCGGTATAAATGTGAAATTTTCCTTGCCCCGGATCCCAGTAGAGGCAAGATTTACCGTGCCAGTGTAGCACCCTCAAAAGTAGGCAAGTATAAAGTTGCTTCAAGCTCGTCTACTCTCTGATCAAGTTTTTTTTTTCCTTTCTGAAAGATGGCCTAGAGGTTGATGAGGGAGGGAGGATGTTTGAAATGCTCTACGTTGTGCATGTTGTATTTGGGTTTTGCAAAGTGACTCTTTTGAACTCCTGCATAGTATTTAGTCGATGAGTGCGATTATCAAGGCCGCCCCACTTGATTAAGGAATTGGTTTATTCAGATTCGGCCCTTCTATATGTTACGGGTGTGTATTCATTTTTTTCTACTTCCTGCTGATGCTTCAATGAGTCTCTCATATAGGTCTACTACCCAATGTTCCCTTGTCCGTTGGAAACATATTATCTTTGAAAGTAACTCAGGAGGGGATTTTATCATCAACCTGTCCCTATTAATGGCGTCAGGTCGGGTGAGACAACTTCACATCGAGCTTTCGAGATAGAAAGGTTTTGGACTGGTATTACAGAACTAAGGTTTAGGAATTGAAACAACATCCTGCAATTCTTTCACTTCTTTACTGATCAGCGTTGGATGCCTTGCAGGTGGGGCCGAATCTGCTTTTGAATCAGAGTAGTTGAATACGTAGAGTTGAAGCTAGTTGAGGCTGTCAAGAAGCGTACGAATAAACAATCGAACAATCGGAACGTGAATCTACCGAAAGGCGGAAACATCCAAAGCGAACAACCGACATCGACTCTCGTTTCACAGGGCTTCGATTGGCCGCAGCTATGGTGATTAAAGATGGGATGTGTTGGGGTGGGGAGAGGATACGATAAGTCGGATGTAGTGAGAGGTCGAACCACGGCGATCCGGCACCGAATCATCCGGAAGCGCTAAGTAGACCACGCAACAGCCTCGAGTTTGTTGTATCCAGCTGTATCTGTGATATTCGGTCTGAACAAAGAAAAGACATTAAATTCATCATCCAAAACGCATTCAACATGTTGTAATGCAGCTGTTGTATGCAGTGCGCAATCAACGTTGTGGTACAGCTCGAATGATCGAAAGACAACGATTACAGCGCAGATAGGGTATTGACAGAAAAGAATTTGGTACCAGGATTCAGAGAGTATCGCACAATAACACCATCGGGCTGGAGCGAATCTAGGCTGAATTAGATTTGAAGGTTCTCCATCACGATCAAAAGAATCGCGGTTGGTCGTCTGACCCCGGTGGAAGAGTTTTGCAATGGTTCAGATCACCACGAGTTCGATATCTTCCGTAGCGATAGATACAGGATCCTGGATTTCTGATTCACGAGGCCGATATGTAGTTCATTCGATTTACGCCTGTGAAAAGGGTGAGCACTATACTTACCTGAGAAATAGGAGGCTTCGGATGACGAAGTATGAGAAAAGGCGTGCAGCCTAGAACACCTAGGCCAGTGCACGCCGTCCTCCACGACAACGGAAGAAGATAAAAGGCATTTACAGACATCTAGAGCTGCGCTGCTCAAGCTTGAAGTTTACCGATTAGCGTCATCGAAGTGTAGTTCTGGGAGTTCTGGTCAGCGGATAAGGGCACTAAAATTAGTAAGGTTGCGAACGGGTCGCCGATTGGATGATCGCCGTGTTTAGCGCAAAGTATACGAGACCTTCTGTTACGAGGTTTTTTCAAGTCCCCATAGTCGACGAGTGAAAGCGAGAGGCGAAGCGTCAAGCTAAACTGTTCAAGCTTGGAAGCTTGAAATCCCAGAACTCCTTGGGAGGTCAGACGATCCGAGGATGCGTAAGTCTGAGCGCGTGATAGATAGACAGGAGGAGAAGAAGTGGGCCAGCACTATGGCGGGAAGAAAATGCATATACTTACTGCAGTAGTAGTTCGTGGAATGATAGCAGAAGGTTATTAAGAGATCTCGAGACAGCAGTGGCAATTGGCAACAGTGTATTGTTGGAGTCCACATGTGAACGCTCAAAGAGACTATAGAATCTCATCCGTTGGAATGATATCTGATGGATGTTCAGAAGAACGCGTTCAGAGCGGCGAAGATATGATATGATGGTTTCTGTAAATCACTGTCAGGTTTCCTCGTCAATACTGAGAGTTGTTGCAAAAGATGATAACCCACCGGAGGCTAACTTGAAGAGATAGGTACATTAATCGGACGTTAGTATCTAGAGCATAGAGCTCGGTGGAGATGAGGATGAAAAACAAATGCTCAGGGTCAACTTAATTTTTTTCAATTGACTCTCCGTCAATCCCAAGATTACACAAAGCGTTTGGGCTGATTGTTCCTCTTTTGGACATATGAGGCTCTCAGAGGCAGGCTGCCTGCAGCTTTGATACTTACAAGCACAAAAGACAGAAACAATGAGCGAAAAATAACTGTACTCACCAAGTCTCCCTGGCCAGACGACACCGGAGGCGATAAGAAAGTTTTTGGCCGAAATTAGAAATTACCAGCTTTGGCTAGCTTTGGCCTGAAACAAAATTAAATTGAAAAAAAAGTGGAACCAGTCCAAGCGTGGGATCGCGAGTACGTAATGGATGCCACAGGGTACTTGATATACAAGCGCAAAATGAAATGCCCTTTTCTCCCTCTGTAACTCAGTCTACTGCCAATATTCCGCAAGAAACAACGACCTCCCCGCCTCACCCTTTTTCCTCCTTCCCCTTTTATTTCCTTCCACCATGATCCTTGTCCACAAACAACAATTTCCGTTATCTTCTCCATATGCTCATCACAGGCGGCATCCGTCCGCACCTCCTGCCGTCGTCGTTCAACCGACTAAGATTCCAGGCCTCTTATCACTCTCGAAGCCTGTACAACGACAACTGCCTTCACTGCCGAGGCACCGCCCATCGCCAAAGTCGAAGCAGGTTCAGCAGAGCCCTTCGCCGAGGGCAACGCCGGCGCCAGAAGCGACTTCAGTTCTGAAGCCTTCGCCGGAGATTCTGGCCAACAAGTCCACTTCGGCTAATGCGAGAGGTCGTCTGCATTCAAAGCCCAAAGAGAAGCTAACAACAAGGTCAACGATTTTTCAAAATATATCTTAAAATTTTACCAAATTTGTTTCAATAGGAGCAATTCTCATTCCGCGGTACGGGGTCGACGAAACAACACTCGTCAACAATCACCACCTCTTCCTACCTCGCAGGCTGAGGTTCCTCCTTCCCCGACGTATAAATCCAATAGTTCGAACCCTTTCGATCCGTTCTTGGATGATTCCAAAGTTCGCTCCAAGTTCACTCATCCGGCATCCATACCTACCCTAGCAACCCATCCTTCAGGCAAGCTTGCTCGTCGAAGACAACCGAATCTTCCCTTCAACTCTACCAAATCGAATACTCCTTCCAAGGCTATTCCTGTACCCCGCAGCTTCAATTCGGTCGGTGCCAATTTGTCTCGATCGGAGCCTAGCTCTTCCAACGTTCGCCCTCGTAGAGGCAACCCTTTTCCCGCTGGAGACCCGTTCCCAATTTGTGATGACTTGACTGACACGGAAGATGACACAGATGACTCGACTCCTCCGGTTACGCCTACACGTGCTCGTGCAGCTCCTCGCTTCAATTTGGGCCTTGGTGATGGACCTCGTACTGCTCCTATCACTGCTTCGTCCTCTGGGTTTCCTTTCAGTGTTTCTTCTACGCCCAGTCCCGTGGGTAGAAAGACGGTCAGGACGCACCATCGAGTTCCTAGTGAAGGCATATTTGCTATGTCTTCTGACGAAGAGTCCATTACTCATCGTGCTGCCAACGGGCCCGATATTGACTTGAAGGCGCTACTCCGTCTGGCTGCAAAGCGTTTGCCATTGTCGGACGAGTCCGAGCAGGAACGAGAAGCCGCCGCTGCTGCTGCTGCTGCGTACTTCGCGAGCTCCAACTTCCAGAACTCTCCTAGCCCCGAGGAACTACCTCCTCCTTCGTTTGCTTTTGTCTAACTTTGTTTTGACAGGTACATGGTGTTGAGGTCAGTAGTGCTATGTCTAGATCATAATCGTCTACTAACGAGGCTTTAGTTACAGGGATTACTTGTTCAAAACCTCCCCTTGCCTAGCCGATTAGACTTTTGCTTGCATTTCGACCTTCCACGCCTCCGTCGAAAGAAGTGTTTTTCTAGCATTGCTTTGAAAATTCTTTTATCATTATTATTTCTTCTTCTGGGTCTCGTGAGATGCGGTCGACATTTAACGCATCGTTGTACATCCACCTATTCTTCGGCATTTGGCCTAGGCTATCCCTCACCCCCCGGTTCACTCTCGCCATCTAGTACTTTCACATCACTAGAAACCCCGGTATTTGGTCACTCGTTCTCAGGACACCCGTACACTACTTGTCTTTCACTATCATCTGGTAAAGACGCACTTGCTTTCCCGCTTCCTTTACCTCTAGGTCCCTCACCACACGATCCTCCATCCATATCCTCTATTGTCACTGTTTTCGCATCGCAATCCCTTCGCTCACCGCAACTCATCGAGCATCCTGCAATTTTCTATGTTTTTGGTCTGGACGGCGTGCCTGCGTAGCGTGGAAGCTAGCGGTTTGCCCGTGCCAGAGTGTAAAAAAGAGTTGGGTTGCTGATTGAAGGGGGAAAGCACCGACTCAAACGAATCTGGAATACTGTATACGATACGCAGTGGTAGGAACCATTGCTCATATTTATTGAACATCGCTGGTGGTGTCATCTTGTATCCTCTACTCCTGCCAATAGCACGAGGAGCAGGCTATAGCCGGCCAGCCTCTGTCGCGTCAACGCCTACCGATGTCTACACACCCTTCTTCTGGTCTGGATCGCTCTTGGGCCCCGAAGTTCAGCATATCTTACCATTTGTCAAACGAATCCCCTCGGCCCCATCTATTATCGTCCTTATATTTCCTCCCGTTTATCGTATCTCTATTTCTTATTTCCGAGCACCCTCTACCTCCTTTCATCCGGAGTGCTCGTGCCTCTTTATTATTTTCCGTCTTTCCGTTCGCATTCAAGCTCATAACTTTTCTTTGACGCGATCACTGTATCAAGTAACCATCTGCATCTTCCTTCCCCCATCCCTATATTACACCCCCCTCTACCATTGATCCCTTTGTTCTATCAGAAACATTGGGGAAGGTTTCGTGCGTGTACAACTTATTTCTATCTGTGTTTCTTGAGGTTTTTTCATTCTCTTCTTTGCCCGTGTGGTACCTGTTCTATATTTTCCTCCTTGCGTCTATTTTTCTTGTGCGGCTCCATGGTCACTATATTATGATTATGAATGCCTTTTGGTGTACTTGTTGGTTATGTGCGTATTTTTTTTCTTTTTTGCTGTTGCTTTACTGATAACTGCTCTTCTCTAGTTTTGCATGCATACCTCCTCTTCCTTCTTCTTTTCTCTGTACCTTCTGGTACATGGCATCCATGCATACACTTCTCCCATGAAACAGACTGATCTCCTCGCAGCGCCATTGCTTCGGCGCTTTCACGACGGCACATCACCCTATGTTCTTCTCGCCTGTTATCGTCCCCCCTTGCATGGACCTATCTTCTCACTGTTCATCATCGCACATTCTGTCTTCATCGGTTCCAACTAGAGTGTATAATTACATTTTCTTTAGTTCCTTCACCCCGTTTCGAATACGACGTCTGCATCCTCATCCTACGCGTTCCTCCGATCTCCCCATTCTCTACCTTCTTCCGCAAGTTACCCTTACCACCGCCAGCTTTTTTTTTTCTGCACATCGTTATATCATAGTCGTAACTTACACACTCCTTTGCATTATCATTACACCCCACACCTCTCCTCTGCCCTACCTCTGCCTCCCTTTCTAACTCCCAATTCTCCAAGACTGTACAGAATCGAACAAGATTACTACGCTCCTTTTTATTTTGTTTCTCTTTACCTATACTTTATATAACACCCTTTTTCATTTATTTGAAGTGAGCCAACTGCTTCTGAAAGTAGGTGTATTCGTAGGTTGAAGTACCCAATCAAAATAATAAGTGCTTTGTGTAAACAATCGTTTGGATTTTGCGGGTATGAGAGCGGTAAAATCGACAAGGTGGTAATGTTTGTGCGCAAGCGACGAAGTGTATATTGATCACCAAACTTAATTACTAGGTATATGATACTTATGAGTCAACCAAACATCATGGTATCTTCTCTGTCAATCGCATACATGCCAGGAGTAGGGTATTCGTCTTCGTCCGGGAACGTCCCACCGGCTCCGAAACCGGGACCAGGACCACCCATACCTAAGATAGAAAAAAAATAACCCCTCAGTCTCGAGACAGAACCGTTGAAGATGGGTAAGTACCAGAATTACCGCTCGTTTTGATCGCCTTAGAAATGAATTCCTTGCTACGCCCGGTCTCCATATCGAGTTGAGCAAGGTGTGCCGACTGTCTTTGTATAGCTTCTAGAAGAATAGGAACGGACACTTTTTGTAGACCAATTCCAGTAGGTAAAGCTCCTAGAAGCGGGCGTATATCTTCTACACTAATATCTACAGTGCCAGGCGCATCGTGGAAGGTGACAATTCCAGAGTCGGAGATTGTGGCAAGAATAGTTTTCGACTCAATCTGTAGGAAGGCTTAACAATCGGAGAACAAAATACGATGAAGGGTAAACTTACCATATTCAGCACCAAGGCTCTGACTTGTTGCTCATCGTCGATCCCAATATACTTTCCGATCTCAGCCAAGCCTAGCGTGACATAGGTTTCAGTTAGCCTTTTGATAATCCACTTCGGAGCTTCCGCCACGAGCAGGTCGACCAAGCCAAGGTTACACTCCGACAAGTATAGTTCCCTGTCTTTGTTTACGAGCAGTCTTAAACGGTGATTTCCCGAAGATGAACCTTCACCTCGGTCTTTAGGATGTGGAGAACCAGGAAAAGCGTTGATCAGATTCTGGTAGGGAGATGCCTTGAATATACGCATGAGAACAGGTGATGTATATTTTGGCAGCGCTTGTGGTCCGCCCAGGGCAATACATTGCACCAGACGAAGTTTCTTAAGCGCTTCGAGTTGAAGACCAGCAGGAGGTGAGTTATGGGTGCTCGGAGCAGTGAGCGCAGTCTCAAAGTAGTCGAGTGCAGCAGCGTAATTTCCCATTTTTGTGAGAATGATTCCACCGAGATAATGGTAGAAAAGATTATCGTTATACGATAGATTGTCCTCGGAATAGACGCCGGTGAACATAAACAAGTCGTCGATGGGGTTTTCAACGAGTAAAATGCAGATTTCGGGAGTGATGTGTCTGGTCTGAAGTGCGGTCAGGAGCAAGATAGGATGGATCGGAGTGAGGGTGCTGGGAGTAATTGGGAGCCGAGTGGCAAGAGAATAGAGCAGAGGTATTGCTAGTTTAAGCTAGATAGAGAAAAGTCAATTTGTCATGGGCGCGACTTCAGATTGAGTCTCTCACATTTCCTTGATCTAAAGCATATCGCGTCAAGGATTTGGCGAGCATTATCATTCGTTCAGGAGCTAGGCGCGCTTGCTCTGGATCAAAGTTGTCGCAGAACTGGACCACTGTGGCCCATAGGGGCCTCTGCACGCCGCTCTGTGCGTTAAAGTACATATGTAGTCTCGCAGATCTACGAAAACATCAGTGCGACAGTAAACCAGGCAGGGAAAGACGCCACATACAAGATATACATCACTCCAAGCGTGTTATTTCTTATGTCAAGGACAGAAAGCGGGTCTTGGCCGGAGGATAAAGAACTTGCGAGTATGAATTCACGGACATCTCTCCCAGATGCTCCAGGTGTGCGTAAAGTGTGCGCCAAAGCCTCGAGATTGTTACTGGTCGTGATCTGTTGGATTAACCCATCAATGCTTTGACTATCTGGCGCCATCCTAAGGCTTGCGTAGTACAAATGAAGTTTCTGAATAGAATCACGACCAGAGGAAGAGAAGAAAGGAAATTGAGTGTTAAACGCTGACGTTATCGGCAAACCTCATCATGCTCATTCAACTGCCTCCAGAACTGATTCTTTCTGTTCTTTCTTTGCTCGATTTATCTTGCATCCAAGCTTTCTCCCTCGTCTGCAAGACTTGTAAAAGACTTGTCGATGAAAACGAGTCATCCATCTACCACGCCCTCTCAGCTTATCGTGGATATATCGATTCAAAAACCGTCTTCAATCAATTGCCTTCCCTGTACTCTTCAAAGTCCCTGGTCGGCGTGACGAATTGGAAATCTTTCTGTGCGCAGCTATGAAATTCTGCCATTCTTACCAGCACTCAATTGGAAACTAAATAGGCCAAAGACGCGTCCATATCAGCAAAAGTTGGACTGGCAAGGCCTCTTCCCATTATGTATCATACGCGGGATCCGGATCTAAAGTGCACCGCATCAAGGTCGATGAGCAAGCTGGATTTATTATCACCAGCTTCCGAGATGGCGGTCTACTAGTAAATGATCTCGCAGACGACCAGGTATTATGGTCGCTACCGAAGGTACTTTGTCGGCTATGAATACGATCACAATTGCTTACATCCACATAGACCTATGTCAAGCAGTTTGCTCATCTAGAATACGGAGAAGGATTTCTCATATTCGATCGTCTAGGAGGGAGCAAAGAAGTTTGGCATCTTGCGAGTGGATTTCCTCCTACTCCTCCACAATCGAACGCTCTTCCAGACCAAATTTCCGCCTCCGAGGAATCTTATCAGAAGCATGCTGCTACATACCCCAAAGGACATTTCAAGCCATGGGCAATTTTGAGGATGCCTCGACTCACCCGTGCTTTCCGGTTCGTTTACCCAACTCTTCTAGTCGGGGCTTGGGATCATGCTTTCCTATGGGACATCCCCTCTTGCGAGCTTGTGCAAACGATCACGTCGATCCAGGAGGCCGAGGATCCCAGTTCTGCTTTTGCAGTCGTGGTGGCAAACGCCCCTTCTTTCGATGCTCCTGCTCCCAGACTTGGTCCTCTGGGAAATCTCAATTACGTTGACGTGGACGAAAAGCATATATTCATCTGTGGTGTTACTGCGTTGCGTGTATTTTCTCGTGCAACAGCAAAGTGCGTCCTTGACGTATCTTCCGCAAGACGAGAATTTGGTTCACGCAAATTCTCTGTAAAATATGAGTCTGAAACACCGACGGCAGGTGCAGCACTTGTGAACCATTTTACTGATGGTGAAGAGTTTGCACTGTCCTCGTCGTCTTTTCAACCACGGATCATTGACGAGTTCGTTGCCGGTGAGTCCTGTTGTTTCTCATAGATGAGTATAGCCTTCAGATAAGGTGCATTCTGCAGTACATGTCTCTTCTTGTGGCCGACACCTCGTCGCGATGTTGGCTAGCGCGCGGGTGGTGGTAATGGAAAACTTTCAAGAAGGTCCCTTCTCATTATACAATCGCATGGTACAAATTCAACTCGGAGCTTCTCGAAGCCCATCAAAATATCTAGCAATACATGATGACCGCGTCGTTGTCGCTAATGTAAGTGAAGATCTTCTATATATCTCAGCAGATTATTCGTCTTACGGACCTCGATAGAACAACGGTCTATTTCTCTTTTCTCTTTCTGCCGCTCTCGAGGCTAAGATAAAACCAGACGCCAGTCCTAGTGGAACTCTGGTCGTATCTCGTGCTCCATTTTTTGGGTATCACGTATACATGTCGAATGTCACTTGTCTCCAACTTTCAGACACCGGTCTCTATCTCAACTGGGATCCTTCCCATCTCCAACTTTGCCTTGAAGATGAAGCCGAACAGGCTAGGCTAGACGCGCTATTTCGTGTCTCGGTGAACGATCGAACGTCAAGACATGCTAGGATGCCTACAGGCGATATATTGATTATGTTGGATGAAGGTATATTTACTGTTGCCGTTCAAAGACTGGTAGTAACAACCTCTGACTCCACACACTTAGATGATTTCTTCACAGAAAAATCAACGGTTTGCGGTATCGATTTTTCACCTTTGTGATCGTTTCGTTTCAAGAATGTACATGCGCGAGGTAGAAACTATTACTACAGTGAATCTGAAATCCATTATTTAATTGGATGTATGTACAGTATAGAAATTGTAGGGAACATAGTAAAATAGCTAGTATGGTTGAATGTAGTCCCCAGCAATGCCGGAAGCGAAATAAATTCAAGATATTGTAAGCCTTTCCTTTAACTTAAGTGAATCATCTACTCGGGAAAGACTCAGCTTCTACCTGGGACCTTTGTAGAAATTCCATCATCGCACTAGCAGTCAATCCGCCCTCGATCTCCAATCTAGGAAACCCGACGATACAGACATTAGGACTGATACGCGGCTCGAAAGTGATTTCCCGTACAAGCTCGGCACTAGGATAGCAATGCTCACGGGCATTCCGTACAGTGACACTTCGAATCATCGGACACCGGCGGATGAAGTAGACAATGTCACGTACGAGGTCTGTCCATGCAATCTGAGAGCCCGATGAACTTTGCCTAGCGACATCATAGATCAGTTCGAACGCTTCTAGCGCAGAAAATTGGAAGACCCGGCAAAAAGTGGATAAGAAAACATCTGAAGAATTGGCTATCTTGAGTTTTGATATCACTGGAAAGATTGCCTGCTGTCTAGAGATAGAAACCAGCCTAGGCATCTGTGTCAACACCACCTGCTTGATGTGCGGTAAGACATTAATCAGAGTCATCGTCCTACATAATTGTTGGAAAGAAGACGCTTCAGAGATAACTAATGACCTCAATTTGGGAAAAGTTAAAGCAGGTGAAGGTTCTGACGAGGATTTCGGGAAGAAGCAAAAGCCCTCGTTTCCGAGCGTAAGGTGCCTGAGTCGAGGTAGATGCTGGAAAGGGAAGTAGAAGCAATGTCGAGAGACGTATTCCAAAGAGAGCGAAACAAGATGGGGAAGAGCGATTGTGTCTGAGCAAGGTTGATTATGTCCCGAGTCAATCTCTGCCAAGCAAGGATCGACGTACGCAAATGCATGCAGAAGCCCGTGGTCTACACGTAGGCGAAGATGCTTTATCCTGCGGGAATTGCTCTGCAAGTAATTTATCGCCCCGACTGAGACATATGATTGCCAATTGGCATTTAAGCCTCTGAAGCGAGTGGGCATCTTTATGGTGACCGAGAGCATGCAGTCCACGGATCGCTCAAGATATAAGGATGTCAGTTTGGCCATGCGAAGGAGGGTTGAGACGGACGAGGAAGGAGTAGGATTCGGAAACAGGTCGCGAACTGTCAAGGTAATGTGGGACCATAGGTCTGGATCTACCAGCATGAGCGCGCGCCATTGTTTGCACACGAGGCTGAAAGATAGAGCCTCCCAGTTTTCACCGACCTGGCAGGCATGTTTAAAGATGGTAAGAAGGATTTCGGAGGGGAGATGGCGAAACGAAGCTCGCGATGTGCGAGTAGGAACCTCGTCGGCGCACTGAGTCTCTCTACTAATCTCACTCGTCGTGTCAAGGAGAGCGGCTTCAATTTGAGTCAAGGCAACAGCAATTTCCTCTACACCTGTGTCAAGAGGGCTTCCCATATGTGAAGCGGATGATAATGGCTCAACAGTGTGTACAGTGACTACCGGAACAGACATTCTAGTAGGTCGAGCATGATGAGTGATTTTAATGGGAGGGAGCCCACTGTGGACATACTGGTGAGCTTGAACACTTGGGTTCAGTTAAAGACAATTTCTAGTGCATGAATATTTTGGAAAGCTGTTGAGCTGTTCCTGTATCCAATTAGGTATTGTTAACTTTATACTTCCAGAATGGCGCAAGGGAGATGAAGGGGATTGCGATGTATGACTGATGAAGATCTCAATCGAGACTGTATGTATCTGCCTGAGCTGAGAGCGAAAGCAACAAACTTGAAAGCAGGAATAAACCAGGCGCTAGTTTGTAAATGGTCCACGGGCCGTCAAGCCGAGGACTGGACTGCGACACGTATAAACTGAATTACCGCAACTTAAATCCGACTGCGATGAAGGCTGTTTGTTTTCTTCTGCTCCTAGGAGCGGCAGTCCAGGCTGTCAAGCTATCTGTCGACTCAGTAAAATACAGCATAATATCTGCGAAAGGCGAACCCAGCACCAAATCGTACGTGTTTCTTTTGTACTGTTTCATGAACGACGGCTCAACAACAAATATGTAGACTATCACCTACTGAGAAGTCTTCTTCAGAAGTCGTAACAATCTCCCAGGACCAAACGTTGAAGCTGAGCTTCCAAGTCGTCGATAAAGTCACAGGAAAGGGTGTGCAACCGGAGCAGGCCTTCCTACGGTTCTACGACGAACAATCTGGTGAAGAAGGAATTCAACCTGTACGTGTCACAAGTAGCGGAAAGGCCAAATTTGACCTGGTTTGTCCATCTATCAATCTAATACATGCTTATCATAATATGCGACATAGAGTCTGGCAAAACCTCCGGCATCACTTCCGCCCACTTCATCTGCGCCGTTGAAAGTAACTCTCTTACTTGGAGCTTCCTCTTACGCACCTGCAAAACTAGAGCTGTTTAACCTTCACATACCTGCTTCGCATCCGGCCCCGACACACCCTGACGAAGCAAAATTCCACATCTTACCTGAACTTGCGCATACCTTCCGTCCAGATCCCAAACTCCCTGCGCGCGCAGTATCCGCCTTGTTTGCCGGTCTAGTTCTTGTAGTTCCTTGGACTATCCTGCTCGGTTTGGTGCGCATGATCCACGTTCATTTGTCGTTTTATTTCTCATATGGTCCTGAATTTGTAGTGGTTCTCTATTTCTCCGCGAGTCCCCCGTTTGTTTTCGCCCAATATCCTTCCCTTCACCGCAAGTCTTGGCGCATTCGAATTCCTTCTCTACCGTTACTGGGTTGATCTCAAGCTTGGCGATGTTTTGACTTATGGAGCTATGCTTGGTATCGTCACTGTCTTCACGGGACGACACGCGTTGGCCAGTATCGCAGATAGGAGACTTGGTAATCACAAATAATTACGTCGCGCCTACGCCTGTAGTACGTGATACAAAATGTAATTTATTTGGAATCGTCAACAGACAAGATTTTCGTCCGCAGGATAAATACACGATGAACCTGGAGCAGGAACGCAGAGTTTGGGGGATCGAGCGCAGCGACCGTGACATGAATTCGACTTTGTCCAAACCGAGTTGTGTAAATAGTTATGCGGAAACGACCTTTGCTTCTGTACAGTCGGTACTAGTTTCTCTCCATTCAGCACATTGCGACGAATCGCTCGAGCGCGGTTTTCATGTGAGTCACGAATTCGTTTAGATTCTGGCGGGTTTGTTCTATAGAGAGGGTCAGTGGACCGTAGCAGAATGACGGGCATACGTTCGAGAAAAAGATAGATTGAACATCCTACCAAGAAGCAAGACAGGCCAGAACGACAACGAATAAAGTGTCCTCGAAGATGACTGGGACATGCCTTGTCTATTTTCCACCTCGATCACCTCGCTAATCTTGTTCTCCAACTTCTGCACCGCCAACTGACTCTCGAATTTTGGACGTGCTGCAGCCCAAGCATGAGTCTCCAGCATCGCGTCAAGGAGAAGGGCTCCTAGTTCTATATACCATGATGATTAGTAGGGACTAGTAAAACGCATATATGCGCGAGAACGCGAGTTGTAGACTCATAAGTACCTTGTTCGAAACTCGCGTCTCTAGCAGTCTCCTCCGTAAATGGGCCCACAACAAGACGATTATGGTCGAACGGCGTAAATTTCTCGCTGATTACCTCTGTTAGAGGACGATCTTTGGTTGTAGCTGGAACAGAGTGGACGGTCAACGTTGATTCAGAATTCGTGCCGTTTCCGCTGGATTTTAGGGTAGGGTCTTTCTTCGTTGAAGAAGACGCGTTTTGATTGACTTTCGGTTGACTACCACCGGCCAGAGGTTTCGTAGAATTGCCAGTGATAGTAGGGCTTGGTTGCAGATTGGTGGTAGCTTGACGCGCGCTGACTGTTGGTGCCGTCGCGTTTTCAGATGTAGACGATTCTTTGGTCGATATCGATTGTTTGTTAGGTGCCATGGTGAAATGAGAATGAGAATGATAACGTCAGATCTCGACGTTTTACGATTCTCAGCTTTGACCATTTCCTTTTTAGACGGTACCGATTGAGTAGTCTGTTGCTCTGAGCTCTATGTATTATTGCAACATTACTGTTTCCTGAATTACCCCAATAAATCTCAGGCTGAGAAGGTATAAATTATTCCCTGGGATTCGAGAAGGTTTTCGATGAGGTTGAGCGCTTACGGAACTGCTTTTCTGTCACCATATATCACCATCTCATTTAACTATCCAGACCGACTCGAGACTCAAGTTTTAGTAAGAGCGCAAAATCCCGAATAAAACGGCAAATGCATCCTCTGTCAGTGAGTCTTTGACCGAAACTGTCGGCAAACAATGTCGATGACTGTGCAGGACTATGGTCTTTATCCTAACCATAATCATGAACAGCTCTTGCGGGACATATTGGTAATGTACAAGGAGTATAAGACCGAGCTGGCTACTTTCTTCAGGTCCCAAAACTTAGAAGATGTCTGCCAGTGTCAGCCTTGATTCGCAGCCTAGCCTATTTCAACCTATAAAAGTAGGAAGAATGAACCTCAGCCATCGGATCGTGCTTGCTCCGCTCACGCGTTTCCGAATTACAATTTCACATGCACCCATACCAGGGGTTGTGAGAGAATACTATTCTCAGCGTGCTAGCACCCCGGGAACCTTGCTCATCACAGAAGCAGTTGTTATATCCCCACAGGCTGGAGGGTTCCCTCATGTTCCTGGTTTGTGGTCAGACGAGCATATTCAAGGCTGGAAAGAGGTTCGTCAGCTATCACCGTAACTTTCATTATGCATAGACTCCTTGCAGGTTGCCGACGCAGTCCACGCCAAAGGCTGTTATATCTTCTTCCAGATTGTTGCAATCGGTCGGGGCGCAAACCTCGAAGCTTTGCACGATCATGATCCATCTTTCGAAGTTGTGAGTGCAGGAGATATACCCGAGCCAGTCGTAGAATCTACCGGTGGGCCACAATTCACCGGGACTATTCCAAGGCCTCTCACCAAACCTGAAATTGACCAATACGTCAAGATGTTTGCTGAAACCGCCTCAAACGCGGTTTACAAAGCTGGCTTTGACGGGGTGGAAATTCATGGCGCTAATGGTCACTTGATCGAGCAGTTTCTACGGGAAGGAAGCAATAACCGAACTGACGAGTATGGAGGGTCTATAGAAAATCGGGCAAGATTCCTTCTCGAAGTCGTTGAGGGTGTAAGTAAGGCCATAGGGGAAGACAGGACGTCTCTAAGAATCACGCCTTGGCTCCATGATCGAGGTGCGTACTATTTTCTACTATGTTTGATTGTCTCTGTGTAAGTGTTAACATGCTCTATGACAGGTCTCGCAATGAAACATCCAATCCCGCTATTCTCTTATGTCGTCGCGGAACTAAAGAAGTTTCCAAACCTAGCTTATCTGCACGCTGTAGAACCTCGAGTCTCCGTTATAGACGACCGAACTCCGGATTCAGACGAGTCCAATGACTTCATCAAAGCGCTCTGGTGCCCTCGACCTCTGATCCTGGCGGGAGGCTTTCTTCGCGACAATGCTGTTCAGGCAGCAGAGACAGATGGTGTTTTGGTAGCCTTTGGGAGACGCTACATTGCAAATGTGAGTTTTCATATCGTATACATACGGGTTATAGTTGAATAATCGTCTGTTTCGAATAGCCTGATCTTCCATATAGGTTGATGAAGAATATACCCTTAAACCCCTACGATCGAAGCACGTTCTACCTCATGGGAGACGCAACTGGGCGCGGGTACACTGACTATCCGTTTGCAAAGGCAAATGAATAGTATGTAGACTATGCCGGCTTTCCAGCGCCTTGCTCCACGGTCGGATTACTCACGCTCGGAGGGTCTACATCCAATCAGCCTTGAAAGCCGAAAGTTTGTTAGAAATATCTCTCTTTCGTCGCTTTAGAATTATTCTCCAGCTCATGCACGAGTCTGAGCCAACCATACCTTGGGTTTACATGCTTCCTTGAAGTTCCTCCGACTTCCGGCTTAGCCTTATGTAGGCTTCCGTGACCACGAAAAAACTAGAATAGAATAATGAGCTTCATTTGAAGGCATCGCCGTAAGACTCTTTCACTATTCAGATCCTATGGATTTGGTATAAGTTCAAGGTATGGTCCTTCATTTCGGTGGCAAACTTCAAGTTTCATCCAGGCCGCCCAAGGCTATACCTAGGCTAAGCCTACTATGTGTATTCCGAAGGCGTTTTCATGCCGCTCTCTCACTCCAAGTATTCTTCGGGGGTGTATATAAGGCTCACATCCTTAAGCTTGTGGGTATCCTCAACTTCCTTTGGAGAAAGCACCACACGAATTTCCTTGAAATATGTTGCACACCATGTCTTGCACTGTTCTTGCACTTCTTGTTCTTACGTGCACCTCTGTTGCTCAAAAGGCACTGTTTGCGTATCCTCAGGATGGAGACACATTGGTGGCCGGATCCAACATCAGTATCAGAGTTGACCGTCCTGTAAGGATTTGAACCATTGACGCACTCAACTGGCATTCACCTATTTCTTTTTAGACGCCATCCGGTCCTGTTGTAGAGGCTGGCATTGGTTTGGGAATGAGCCCTTGCAATGAATCTTGCCCTTCACCCGAAACCTCCTTCGAGTATCTGTTCTATGCAGGCGCATTCAATCCTCAGCGACCTGCACAAGTAAGCCTCGGAGAAGATTTCAGCGCATTCCAAAACTTCACAGTCACAGTGCCTTCTATCGATGGACCTGCTATCTTAGGCTTCTTGCATTCAAGCTTCGGCGAAGGGGTGAGTGACTTTACGTTGATAGTATCTTTGGTGCTCATCTCGTCAATCGTTAGGCTGCTGCCTTTTACCCTTATTTCGAATCTGTGAACATCACGGTGAACGTTGTACCATCGTCACAATAAGAGTTTGAAGGAGTTTCTGATTTATGAGAGTATGATATACAATATTCAGAAGGACCTTAGCGAATAGCACTTACACTATTTCATCCGTAAATCTAATTGCAAGAAATTTTAATCTTTTCTGTCCAATTACCTATCTGTATCTAGGAGAGGGTGTTGTTCAAGTGCGTACTACTAGGAACGCTTCAGGAATATCCAGACCTTGATAGCGCATGACACGGCGTCTGATTCCCACAGGAGCATTGTGCTGGTCAAGAAGAACTTCTCTGCCGACCTTGGCACGGAGGAATGATATTAAGTCGAGAAATGGTATCTTGAGATGGAAATATTCACCTGCCACACCCTGGTATTACAACCAAATTGCACTACGTTTGGACCGCACCGGTCAACAATCTTCTGTGCATCGTATTCCGGAAGGATATGGATATTTCCCATCTGAGTTGTTTCCAGAGGGTAATTTATGTGAATTACTCGTAGATTTGGTGCCAAACTAAGACAAGAACTGAGATTTTCCTATGAGACGACGGATGAATATGGGACCAAAGCTGGTACGAGAGGGAGGCGAACCAGGGAGCTCGGTTCAATTACAACAAAAAGTTGTTCTAAGTTTGTACAACGCAGGCATACGTCCTCGATGGTATTTAAGCTGATGAGCATGCGATGAATAGAGAAGCGGGTCAGGTGGCCCTGATGTGCGTTCAAAAGGTGAGACCATAGTTGTTCCGTTGCAGGAGATTGTTCTATGAACGCGCCGCTGGAATACATTTGGAATGTTTCGAGAGGAACAGTAGCGGGAAGAAGAGCAGCAATCTCGTTCATCCAGGTGTTCAAAGACGTTTGTTGGTTGACTGTTAAGGTAATGGCACGCAGGCGGCGAAGGGCATTTGTTTTATTACAGTAGAGGGTAAATTGAGACAGATCCTATCCGAAATGAGAACTTGAATCAGCAGGACAGATCGCAGACGTACAAATTTGGGGGAAAGTCCTTCAAGGTCTAGACTGACAATTCCATCCTCATTCGCAGATAAGACGGATTCTATACCATCTTGTGTGACTCTCGAGCATCCAGTCAGATGAAAATGTTCCAACCGTGATAGGTAGGGGGCTAATAATTCGAGTTTTGCGTTCGTGAGGATCGGAGACGTCTGCACAAGGGAGAATTATTTTCATGTAATGTCCGAGAGAGCATGAAAACGAACCTTGCAAACGATCGTCAATCTCCTTAAGGGTGTTCTCAAACCCTGCAGCCATGGACGTAATACTGATATAACGGAAGAACTAGGCATAATCAGAGATAAATTCTGAAGACCACCGAAGCGAATAAGGAGTTCAGGATCGTAGCTTCCTTCAGCATGTCCGTTTATCTCGAGTGTTTGAAGATTATGACAAGATTGGAGCGCCTCCAGTATACCGGAATCTAGTGAACCGTCTCTTGTCCAAGTACATGACTGCAAGTTTGCACAGTTCCTCAGCCCATGGACAACCGTTTCAATAATGTCGAGCCCATCGCTGTTAGTCAAGGCTTTGGGAAAGTCGCGGAGTTCTGGAGACCATAGTCGACTCCGAATAAGCAATTTAGTTGATAATTCGGAGGGGAGAAGATGCACCAAGTCGTCGAACGTGCTTGGCTAGATGGGGATATCGAGACAAACTGAGGAACAAGAGTATAACCTAGGAGAGTAAGAACGAGCGAAAGAAATTCGGATTAGCGTCATATACTCACCCTCTCCTTTCCTTGTTTATGCCATGAATGAATATAGATTTGTTCGTATAGTTTTGGAGTTGCAAAAAGCTGGAATGTTTTGTTAACCAAACAGATATTCCGAAGATGCCGAGGCAGCGAAAATTGGTTGAATATAACTGGAAGAAGATCCAAAGGTAGATCAAGAAACTTGAAGCTAACCATAGTCTTATAATAAGCGCTCATTTACACACCTGAACATCAATGGCGATCTATGGCGATCAACCTGGGTACTGGGCGTCGTGACACTAACCAACAATACTATCGTTGGAGCCGTCTCCGAAAGGGCAGAATTTATGGGTCTGCCGCTCAAATGAAAGAGTCGGCCAAGGACTATAGAGATTGTGCGCACTCCTTCATTTATTGCATATATATGTACTACTGCATCTCGGACCCTAGCCTAAGTCCAAGAGTCGAACTTGAAGCTCAAAGAGAAATCATCTGAATATCGTAATCATAACCATTTCGTGCGGGAAAGAATCCGGAAAGATGAAGGTCAATGCGAGAACGAGATGGAACGATATCTTCATCAAATCGTAAAGTCTTTCCATCTTGCTATTCTTTCTCCCATTTTCCCCCGGTAACCGTTCTCGAAATACGAGAAGCTGCTAGCAATCAGACGTTCTCTTGCAGAGACTAGTCCAGAAGCGCCTCGTCCTGAACTTCCTCTGAATTTTGTTCCAGATCTTCTCCTCCAGCACTTCCAGAACCTTGCTCTGAATCGCTCCTTGCCTTCGTCTATCTCCACAACGTCGTCCTTTTTTAAGGTCACAACTTGGCCGATCTTGTTTGCTAATCTTGTTGCTATTGCGGATGACAAGCAACAGAGGTCGAATGACCGAGAACGCACGAAAGACCAGATTGATGCTGGAATGTTTCCACACATCTTCCCCGCATCGTCGCTTGATTAGATGACTACGTTGCTTGTTTTTCTGCGATCTCTATTCCACCAACATCCATTGAATGCATCGACGGTCTTTGTCGTCGAGCTTCTCGCACGCAGACTGGGCAAGAGATATGGACCCCGCCAGCGCGTCTTTGCATTTGTCTAGAACAGTGATTGGGCTCATTTTGTCGTTAGTCGACAGCGAAATAGAGGCCTCCCATTTAGGCAGCGAAAATCGGTTTGTTATGACTGGAACAAGATCCAAAAGTATATCCAGAAACTTCAAGCTACCCATACAGATAAGCACTCGTTTGTGAAAAGGTTCTATAGTACCATGACCAGTGATCATACAGTTACGACTAACGAAGTTTGAACGACCTAAACCCATCTTTATCTGAGATACTGTTGCACAAGGTTCAACTCGAAGGCTATTCAAAATAATTTCAGCCTGTATATTGTCGCTTCTTCCTCAAGCACTCACATAAGAAACCACGAAATCGTCATCGTCAGAATCAACACTACTATCCGTGCCATCGTCAAGACCTGCGGATAGTAATGTCCCCTCCCAAGGAGATTTGAGGCCACTATTCGACACTGGCCTTGGTTTTCGGGGATCATTTTGCATAACGAAATCATGCAACACGGGATCGACTCTGCCAGTGTATACATTCAGTGTGATGAATTCAAAGGGACGAAATCATTAGTTAAACTTACTGATTAGCATGTGCGACACTAACAAAATGAGGTGCTCCTGGAACCACAAGTAACGAAACATCCACACCAGCATCCTCGAGTTCCCGGAAAAATTTTTCGTTGTATTCTTGTGGATATGCGACATCATCGGTACCATAAACGAGCTTGACAGGGCATCGTATGCGGGATAAAGCCGATCTGGGTTGCGACTTTCGGTTGTAGAGGAAGTCGAGAGTTGCGATACGATAATTTTTCAACCCTTGGTATCCCCAGTGCTTCTGGCTCAGTTCGAAGGATATTTTGAATAGTCTAGAAATTTCTCCATGAGAACAAATTGGCCGAGAGGGACGACTAATACATACGCATCTGCCATTTTTGTCATGTTATTGCTGAACATGAATTGCGCGAAACCGTATCCTCCTTCCATCATACGCTCGTTGTCAAATTTATCTGGCCCAGGGAACGCAGCGATCCAGCAGTCGTACACCTGTTGGTGGCCTTCGCGTACCTCTGGTGGCTATACACGAAAATTTATCAGTACGATGTCAAATAATCGAGTTCTTGATAAATGCCAACCTCTTCTAGACAAGTTTGCGAGATGAAGAATAATGATAGTACTCGATCAGGATAAGAGATCGCTATCTGCAGAGCAACCGGACTTCCATAGTCCATCGCTACAAAGTGACATGGGGGAAGGCGGAGTGCATCCTGCAAACAATTAGTTTGCTGTAGCCAAGTTGAACTAGCGTACATACCATGAACGCCAATGCATCTTCTGCGGCTTCCTCGACTCCGTATCCGTCGGGCAGATCATCCCCCTCTGTCTCTCCGTGGGACCTCATATCAAATACAACAAGGTTGAATTTCCTGAGTAGAGGGTCTCCAAATTGAGCTGTCATTGAGTGTTATAATTGATGACAACGTTGACGAAAAGAGGTCGCTTTTACTCACAGTGGAAAACATGCGGAAAAGCAAGTGAATGGAAAAACAGCAAGACTGGGATATCTGGGTCTATTTTGTCTGCGACGTCTGAATCTGGAGTGCTGATGATGTAGTGAAATTTAATGTTTCCAGAGCTGGTTTTGACATGAATGAAAGGCATGCTTGCAGGATGGTCGAATAATTATCTTGAAAACAAAGGTTTTGAGAAGAATGTGTCGTGGATGAATACAGAGTTGGGTCGCCCACATCTTATGACAAAATGAAGGGATACCCACGAAGTAAGGGAAGCTTGGGGAAAGGGAAGTTAGGATCCCCCGGCATCTATAGGACCCAGAATATTCCGTTACATACCATATAATGCCATACATCACCTTCCGTCAGAAATACAGAATCGTTACGAGGTCATCGTGGAAAAATTAAATAGGACCTACAAGTCCCCACTTCCCCGAGGAGTTGATAAGGGACTATTTAGATGCTCGCTCAGCAGAGTCTCGGAGTCCCGGTCAAGTTGATTACAATACCTTTACAAGGCCGGGGCATCTCTCAAAGGCGATTGACGCTATGCCGCGCTCATCCTGCACCACCTCTTCATACCTCTTTGACTGCAAATCCCTCCCGGTTGTGTATATTTACACCGCCGGTAGTTATGCTCACAGGGTTAACATCTACGGTACCGAGGACCTATGCACCATGGCAGGACATCTCTGTATGCTCTCTACATGGGTTTAGATCTGGGAAGAACAAAGCCCGTGAAGATACAGGGCTGATGTACATATCCTAGACAATCTGGTACAAATCTTGTACATACGTATGGGACAGTGGCTGGATCAAGCTGGATCAGACCTGATCAGACATGTACATACACTGAAAGCCCTCTCACAAGACACGCAGAAAACAAGGTCTTAGGGAAGGGGATGCAGTACTTTCATTGAGGTTCATCCTGCGCTCCAGCAATAATGACATCCGCTGCTTTTTCTGACATCTATCAGTAAGGCAAAAACTATGAGCAAGGGACACCTCGAAAATTTTATTCGACCAACCATATATGTGAGTGTGCAGATGAACCAGCCGGGTACATTCGGCCACGAGCTAGCGTCGACCACCCGAAGATTATTTACGCCTCTCACTTTGAAGTCTCCATCGAGCACCGCAAAAGGATCTAGACCGTCCTCAAATTATGACAATTAGCAGAGAATAGCAAAATTGAGAGACGAACCGCTATCCGCTCCGATGGCATTGGTACAGCAGGCATGATGACCTATAAGAAGGTGGATTACGTTCAGTGACGGAAACCCGTCAGAGAGATGCATATGTACCAAAGATATTTTCGTAAATGTGAGCGTCTATCTCATCATCCGTTTGAGCTTGAGGCCCGGGAAAAATTTCTTCGTCAACAAAAGACAGAATGGTCAAAGACTGCATCACGGCTCTCGAACGTTTGATTGCTTCGCGGAGGTCTGCGATATCCTTTGGGCCATTTTCTGCTTGAAAGTGAAGTTTCTGTATGTTCAACAAGTCTTGTGGATGAGAACCGGTCAGCTGTACGGTCCCTCTTGTGGACGGGTGAGCCTAGGAGCCGAGATAAATACTATATACAGACGAGTAGACATCTACCAAATTACCTTCAAGTGTACCGCAGTCACCGCGTTTTTATTGTCAATAAACTCTTCTGGAAAACCTTCCGGATACGTCCACGTTAAACTTTCGCCATCTTGCCAATCATTATATTGTGAATCAACATTACCTCTGACAAAACCTGGAAAGTATGCAGGCTCCCAGTAAGTCATAATGTCGGGTTCCGAGCTGTCTGTCGATTGGGATATGATAGCTTCGACGGCACCTCCAAATGAATATGCATTGAGACGGCTATCGTCTTCCCAGAATTCCAGACATGGGTCTTCTCCTGGGTCAGGTTGCAACACACATCCATCAAGAAGCGAGAAATTTTGTTTCATGCGCCATATAACGGAAATTTCATCGTGGTCTAGGAATAAGGCAATGATGATGATATACAAACACAAACTTATAGCAAAATATGAAACTACCTTGCAAGTTGGTGCCAACACCCGGAAGGTCTACGACAGGTATAATGCCAAAATCTTGAAGTTGCGAGGCATTTCCGATTCCGGATAACTACAGAGCGGGGACTCTCAGCAACGTACAAAGGATGATAAAGAACCATCATACCATTAGCTGATTTTCGACATCAGTCAACACTCAGGCCTCAAAACTTATTACATATTTGTACTTACCAATTGAGGGCTCTGGAATACGCCGGCAGAAATAATTACTTCATGTTTGACAGTAATATTCTGTGTCGGCACGATCGCCTTGCCCTGGAAATTACTGGCTACGGGTAACGCCGCTCCTGGTGCGATTTCTACACCGTAAGCTGTGGGGGAGCCGTTGCCGCTGTTACACAACAATATCTTCGTGGCCAGTGTGTCCAAAGTAAACTGAAGAGAAGAGGTTGACTGGTTCACATTAATCAGTCTATCTCGAACACTGGACCGCGTATGGTCGGCGTCAATTGTAAAGCTGGGCATGGTGCCTCCGATAGCCTGGTCGGATGCCAGATCGTTAAGATCAAGGATGGGGGGTAAGCCCGCGGCGGTCAATGTCGCAAAGAATGCCACGGTTTGCGCATCTGTGCAGAAGTGATCGTAGTCACGACGGTTGAAATGAATAATTTGCTGCACGGGACATACCGAGAAACATGGGATTCAGCACTGTTAAATCTGGATTCAAGCTCGTGGACAACCACCCATTGTACCCATGGTTCAGCGGATCAAGCCCCAAAGTGTAGAGATTATGCTCAATACGTTTGAAGTAATTTTGCATATTGTCCCGAGACCACGTCGAATCATTGAAAGTGGCAGCAAGATTATCAAAATCTGTTTCAGTTTCCGCGATGATATTGATCATTGCATTGTGGATCTACATAAGTTTGAGTTGATAAACGGGTTATGATGAGTGCAGGATAGGCGAGACATTCAGGCTGAAAATACCGTAGAGCCTCCCACAGCACGAGCACGAGGATACCTAACGAATATTTGAGTTAGGATAGATGTAAGTTTGAGGGTAATGTTACCAGGCATCGTTCTTCTGGAACTGGAAGCCCGGAGGATATTCATCAAGGGTATAGTTAAGTTCAGTTTGAAAGTCTGAACACGGTAGTTGTCTTCACGAAGAAGCGCTTAATATACGCATGCTAACTACTTGCCTTCAATTGCGCGAATGAAGTATAAAGGTATTGTAGTGTTTAGATTGAGGACGTCATGACCAGCATCAATGACTAGGACTACTCTTCTCACTACAGGAGTGGTTCTAAGAAGGCCAAAATAGCTTACCTGAATATCCTGCTTCAGCTAGTCGACTTGCGAGGGGTCCACCCCCAGCTCCTGTGCCAATAACTACATAGTCAAAGGTAGAATCTGAGGTATCAATATCTCCACAGGGAGGAATGGCAGGGAAGGCACCATCCGCTAATAGAAGGAATGAAATACCTATGAGTAGTAGGTGGTGTAGCATCATTGCGAGGTGCTTTGGTCGCTTTCTCCATAACTGCGTCCGGTGCTTCTTGTGATGACCTTTGTGGAGTCAGATGGTTTGATTATTATTGGACTGTGTTACCAGTGATTGCATGCAAAATGTAAACAGAGAGAATAAGAAATCAGGCAGGCAATTGAATTTTGCTCCCGCCGAACGATGGCAAGATCGAGCCGTTGAACGTTACTGAGATTAGATAAGATTGAGCGATTCAATGACGAGTCGTTGGCTGGTATTCAATCCATTATCCTTTTGCTCTTCCATGTCGTTTCTTGTTTGCGGCGTTAAACTCTAGAATTTCCCGGCACCAATAATATACTTTCAGAATGCTCTGGCACTGTCTTCGTTCACGACTTGTGGCTACGGCAGTACTTGTTTTCCTCCCTTACACAACCCACGCATGGTCATCTTTGGCGGACGGAATAATTGCTGGATTGAATAATGCTGCGGATTGTGCTTCCTGCCACTCGCTTCTTGTGACTTTCAGGGCTACTGCTGCGCTGGGGGACGACGCGTTCGTCAATTCATTGAAGAGTCTCTGTAAACGACTCAAGGTATGTCATAATTCGTTTAATGCGCTGCAAAGTTCCTTATGATTCCTCTTAGCTTCAAGATACAGATGTTTGCGATGGTATCTTTGAGAGCGTCGGGCCCGTAGTTGCTCATGACCTAAGATCCATGTCTCCCTTCGGCCAGACCTCGACGAAATTCTGCAACGCTATGCTTGGTCTCTGTAGCGAACCTCCCGTAAATACTTATACTGTCCCTTTCCCAAAGTCAGCTCCAGAGAATCCCAAAGAATTCAAATCTCTTGGAAGACCGCCTTTTCAGGTTGTTCACTTCAGTGATGTCCATATAGACCGTGAATACTCGGTGAGGTACCTCCACGATGTTTGACAATTCCAGTTTCTGACTCGAATACGCAAGGTTGGCTCTGAAGCAAACTGCTCCAAGGTGGGACCATCGCCCTCATTAGTATGATCTGGAACATTGAATGATCAATACTATAGCCGCTCTGCTGTAGAGAATTCTCCGACCAATCTGAACCTACGACGATACCTGCTGGTCCACTTGGCGACCATGCATGCGATACGCCACGCAACCTTGTGGAGTCAATAGTGAAGGCAATTGATACCACAAATAATACTTTCTCGATCTTCACAGGCGATATCGTTGATGGTAAATGTAACTACCGGGACTGGACGATCATCACCTATTGACTGCTTTTTTCCAGGCGCTGTATGGTTGGTAAACCAAGAGTGAGGACAAGGATTGAGCTAGAATTGAACTGGGACTTACATTCTCAAATAGAGATGTTACCGCAGACATCAACCTATTTGGTGAAGAGTTTAAAATGGCTCTCCAGGCGCCTGTATATCCTGCCTTGGGAAATCAGTATGTTCCCTGTTGTAGTGTCGTTGTTCAGGCTCACTAGTCTGTCTCAGTGAAAGCGCCCCCGTGAATTGCTTCCCCAGGTTAACCACCGAAAGCCATGCGAATGACTCTCAATGGGTGTTTGAGACGAGTAGTGCACAGTGGCGCGTGCGTTTTCTGAGTTCCAGTACCTCTTTCTTCGTTCCTAAGGCCCTTATTCATAGCCTTGGATCGGGAATGCTGCAGCAGATCAGATTGTTCACCATTCTGGAAGCTATTCGCTGGTTGTCCCCGACACCAGTTTACGGTATAATTCTAAGCCTTCCAACAGCTTCCAACACGAACGTCTTACTGAGTACGCTTAGAATTATATCTATCAATTCTGGATTTTGGTACAAGATGAAGTGAGCGGCGTACCTTTCTGAGCGATGCAAAACATCGTCCTCATTGACTTTCCCCTAGTTTATGGCTGTATGATTCTGATGATCAGCAGTATGTGCATCGATTCATCTCGCTTTTATTCATTGATCCTCTGCCGTAGACCGGATCCAAACGGCATTTTGTCATTCTTGGTCTCACAGCTTCAACTCGCCGAGGACCTAGGTCAAAGATCTTGGATTATTGCACATATGCCTCCCGGAGGCGGGGACGTCTTACTTGACCAGGTACTTCTGTATCTGAGTTCGATCCTTGATAGATTTCTAATCATAGCACAGTCGAATTACTACGACCAAGTTATTCAGCGATACAGAAACACTATAGCTGGGCAATTTTTTGGACATACGCACGCGGTGAGTATTCGTCTTGACAAACACGTTACCTGGTGTAATAACATATCCTTAGGATGAATTTCAGCTGGCTTATTCTAACTATAGTGACCAGAGAAAGGACACGGCGACAAGCGTGGCGTGGGTTGCACCGGCATTGACACCCAGAAGTGAGATTGTTTCATTGAAGTCACCTTGTTCAGACCTGACAATTCTACTAGGTGGGAACCCTGCTTTCAAGGTCTACGATGTCGATCCGGATACATACGAAATCATGGACGCAAAAACGTATTCAAGTATGTTTCTCAAGGGCCCTTTACACGAAATGATTCTGAACATAACGTGTTAGCTGATGTATCGCACCCGGAGTACCAAATCGATCGTATGTCTTCTTGAATATGATTCATGTACGTTAATCTCACCTCGAGCTTCTTTCAGCGGTATGGAAGATGGTCTATAGCACGAGGGATCTTTATGGTCCATTAATAGCTGGCGGTCTCGACTCTTCTGATTCTCTCTCGCCTTCATTCTGGCACCAGGTCACGGAACTACTAGAGACCGATAACCAAGCGTTTCGGATGTTCCAACACTTGAAGAGACGTGCCGGTAGGGGTGACTGTAGTTCTGATGATGATAGCAATGAGGATTTTGTCGAATGTAGACGCCGTTCGATATGCCAGCTCCGGGCACAACGGAGCGAGAATAATTGCGTTGATGTACGCCGGGGATGGATCTGGAAAGGCAAGCCACCCGTCGATGTGAAATTGACTACTTTGGAACGTGAGTGCGAAGGTGTAGGCGCTGGTTCAATCTTGAGGCAGATGGTCCATGCCACCAAACAGGTGTGAAAGAGCCTCTCAATGTTTATATTCTAAACATTTTCCTTGAATACAGATCGACCAGTCGACGAAGAGTTCACTCCGCGCGCATCTCAATAGTGTATTGGTGCCTGCACAGGAACGCCATCGTATGGAGCCTTCTTCCATCTTTACCTCTGGCTCGGATGGAATACAGCGAGTTATGGAAATCCCATAACCTTCAAGTTTACGCTACGACAGTTATTTGGTGTATAATTCCTGTGATTCTGTTCTTACTTTGGCGAAGAATAGTTGATACGTGTAATTTTTTGTATGTTCTGCTAAAATTTTGTCAGATTCTGCTTGTGGCTCCCGTACATTACAATTGGTGAGAATCAATACTTGGCTATAGCGGAAGAGCGGAGGCTGCACGGCATATAGTCCGCGATGAATATGGATGTTTTGTAACCAAGTTTTTCACCTTTTGTATCTTTGCTCGTGCGGTCTTTCCGTAAGGTTGCGCTCTATATACATTCACCTGCTATTTGTGCTACTGTGGTGGTCTCTTCTCATTCAAACGAGCTCTTCTTTGAACAAACGTGGAATATTGTCGACGTCAGAGGCTAGAGCCTTTGTTTCTCTTCCACCAAGCCCGAACTTCCGCCAAAAGAGAATCGAATTCCTTTCCACCCCGCCCAATCTCATGCACTACGACATAACACCAGATGAGGCTGTTGTTAAATCTATCCATTCGCTTCACTCAAGTAAATTCTTTGCTGCAAATTGAAAAGAAAGTAGCACACAGGCCAAGATTTAATTAACGAGGTCGTGCTCTGTAGGGTGTTGTCAATAAAGTTTATATGTTTTGTGCTCTCTTTCTTCCTGGAGTCACTACCGGTTGACCGAGGATCACGAGAATCCGCCCAAGAGTTTACCTGCAAAACTAATCAATTCCTTTCCCCTTGGCATCAATGCCCGCTCCCTCCTCCCCCTCATCATCATCATCAAGACTTGCTTACTCTGAATCGTATTGGACAGAGGCTCAAAATTGGAACTACTAGTGCAGCAAGTGCTATCGCCAACCCCCCTGAATCCAATGCCGTTCAATTCAAACCAAGCGTCATGAACACTTGCACTTTTGTCATCGAAGATGAAGATTCGGAGGTGCTCTCATTGGAGCTGATTACGAGGAGGACAAAAAACGTGTTGATCGACGAACTCCCAAGCAAGGCGAAGATGCCGATGCCCCTTCATCCTGCATTAAGTCCAGATCAAGTCCTAGGTGATAACTTTGTGTTCAATAGAGTATTAATTCTAGTGCATTTGAACTCCAGAGAATATTGTATATGTACACGACCGTACTACTCGTATTAGAATCGGGTTACAGCGCTCTTTACTCTTGAGATCTCATTGTAATACACGACAATATTACTTATCCTATATATGGTATATCATGGTTTAATTCGTTAGTATAGGTCATCACAGTTTTGGCGGAAGAAAAATAACTTGACAAATCTTCGAGGAAACTAAGAAAACTTGGGAACGGGACCTGGCCCTAAGCCCAATAATAGTTTCCAAGAACCATCTGAAAAAACAATCGGCCTAAGCCCCAGAAATCGTCGATACGTTCCGAGTAAATCGCTTCTGCGATATATTGAAGACTCCCCTGGATCCGCACCCATGAGTTGTGCCGACCATCCATCTTCGAGGGCGCGCCCTCTCAGCGCCACGCTTCGTAGTTCGCAACCATTTGAGGCCCTCAACCGCCTTGCATTTCGCAGTCGCATTCCGTTTCCATGATTGACACCGTCTGTAGGTGTTTGAACTTCTACAGCTTTCTTGTAATCTCCGTTAGTGAGCGGAATGGAGAGATACGTATGAACGGCGTCCAGTACATCACGGACAGTTATATTCGATTTTTCAATGATTATCGGTCCCCATCGTTGCATCCACCAGGCAAGGATAGGTGTATCGCTCTCAATCCAGATCTTGTCAATCTTTCTATCGGCTTGGCCGTTTCTAGGCCCAGCGTTCAGACCAAAATTTTGAGTTGGGGCAGGTACCACAGCTTCATCATTGAGCGAAGGTCGTTTTATTAAGGCTTGTCCTGTCAGAACCCTAGCTTGTTCTGCTCTAAGCACAATGTCCCATTGTAGAACAGGTAAAGACGGGCTCATGGGATTGTACAGAATATGCGGGTGCACACGCAACGGAACGGAACCTCCGAGTGGAGACATAGGAAATGTTCCAGGTTCCCACATGACCGCAGAACCCGGTACAGGCATAGCTGGTCGTAACAAAAAAGAAGGTACGGCAGGCGTTGGCCAAAGAGGCAACTGTGGATTTGGAAGTGCGTTTGGTGGCACAGACGGAACGTAATGAACTGGAGATGGGACCGTTGGAACGACGAAGGAAGGTGCGGGCGGAGGCAGCGGAGGAGGAGGAGCATTTTCATGGTATGGGAATGGACGAAACGGCCATGGGATCACAGGACTAGGACGTACAGGATAGGAAACGTTTGAAGTTCTGTTTCTTGAAGGATCATTGCTTGATAGACTTGCTCCACTCGGAGGTGATCGAACTCCTGCAGGTCCGCCTGGTGGATTTGTTCCATTCGGAAGTGATGAATCTCCTGAAGGTCCGCTTGGAGCACTTGATGGTCTGGGAGAGTTTGATTCATCTAAGAACATCAACCTTGAATTGAAATCGATTGGACGTCTGGAAAGAACTCAATTTACCGTGATCCACGGACCCTGGAGGTTCTGAAGCGGAATTTTGAGGAGATGGTGGAGATGCCCCAATCACGCGAACTTTTAAGAACCATGAGTACTTTGTATACTGAAATATAGTTTAACACGAATGCTTTGAAATTCACCTGGTGTTGGATCGCTGTTGCTACGTTGGTGATTACGACGAAAATGGTCATACAGGTCATCTGAAGACACAAATGTAAATATCGCCAGTTCATTGCAAAATGAAATCATTGCTCACTCGAAGTCCCTCTAGAGTTCCGGGGTTGCATATTAGAATTTTCTGGCGAATCTTCCACCGGGATTTCAGAGCTGAGGGATGGATCCAAAACAGACTCATCCTGAGCTCTCTCGTGTCCAGGATTATCTGCTGTCGGAGGAGGAGAAGCGAAGTTATTGGTTGATGGAAGCACTGGATGGAAGACCCAATTCAGGGGTGATGTAACACCAGGATGCAATAAATGCCCTACCTAGATTTCCGGTACTCTGTGGTCGCGGCGTTATGTCCTGAGACGGGCGAGTATGTCGTGGGGGAAGTGCTGAAATTGAAAATTCGGTACATTTCGAGTAACGCAGTGCGACGAAAATACTGCCTACCTGGACGAGGACCGGGGTCAGTCCGGCTCACACCTAGAGTACAAAGGTTAACTTCTGTAGAACAGGCGGACATTAGTAGTATAGTATGTATGCTTACCACCAGCGTGCTGACTTCCCGAAGCCACAATGCTACGACTCGGAGTTCTAGTCCGAGATGGCGGCGAATGATGAGTACCAAATTCAGAAGGAGTGGTCGAGTTCACAATTGGCACGGAGCTAATTGACTCCTCGCTATCCATTCCGCCATGTCCTGTACTTGTTATAGGGGCCAATGAAGCTTGGCGCTGATACTCTCGATTCAGCTGCGACGTTGCTGTGACATTCGGCATCTGGAAACGTGTTCGCCTTCCGTCTTTAGCAGGTATCGTTCCTTAGTTTCCTTGATACACAGTCACATATTTGAAGAGAACTTACGGAACGCAGCTTCCCTGAGCATATCGTAAGATGACTCAGAGGACAAATGAGTGGATTCATGGCCAGTGGAGTGCGGACGGCGGGGGTAATGTTCCGCCGACCGTAATGGAGTAACATCATTGGCACTGCGCGTAGTTCCAGGCGTCGTTTGGTCAGTCCCAGATCCGTCTGTTGAGCGGGTATCATGATGGCGAGCAGATGGATGATTCGGACGATAAGGAGGATTCGTATGATAACGATAGTATTCATCAATACTTTCGAAAACTCGAGGAATCTGGGTCGGAGGCCTGGGTAAGGGATTTGGGTGTGTCGACGATAGCAACCCGACTCCAGGTGTGTTTGGACGATAGCTTCCACGACCAGTTCCCGAAGTTGTATTCCTATGCCACATCTCGAGTTGATACGCAGTAGGGCGTGATTATGAGTAAAAAAAGGCTTAAGAAGGAAGTTGATAAAGAAATGGTCCGAGCCTCAGAGACTGGAAGAAAATTTGGCTTGAAGCTTTCGAGGCCGGACATTATATACGTTACAAGTGCGTTTCCAGCCATTTCATGTGGCGGGAGGCTTAGACTGGGCTTAGAGACCTTGTTTTTCGAAGAACAATAGCAGCTTTGTCGTTGGGCAAGAAGAAAGTAACTTTGTATGTCGCTGTGTTTCCCTGTGGGCGCCAGTTTAGCGCCAGGTACAATTTTGTCATCCCATGATGGTGGAAACGAAAGAACAAGAGTGTACTAGCTAGGCTCCGCTGTCGTGGACCACACCTTGCTTGGTGGCAGTCAATGTACTAGAATTCTAGATGAAAAATGTGTTGCGTTGCAAGTGGGTACAGGGCCTCCATACTAGCTATGTAGGTGAAGGATGATGTTGTGGAACCCCCTTAAAACAAAACAAGTTCAATCAAAGTCGTCAAAAAAATGTCCAATTCCGAGGTATAGCCATTGCAAGTGGCAAGGTCATTGGTTGTCCTGTACATACATCTTGAAGTACTTATTTTGAACGTACTTTTCACGTGTGGTCATGGTCAGTTGTGAACCACACTAGCACAAAAGTATTCTCTTTGGACATCTCCAAAATCACCCAAACCAAACTCATGCAATATAATGAAAGCTTAAGCAAGCCCTAATGCTTCTGATAACAGATCGCCCAGGGTCATATAAGCTCCATTCGCTTCGATTCGTGACACCTTTCCTGTCCTATCCATCTCCTCTTCGAAATCGAAGTCTTCCGGCAGCAGCCGTTCGGCACAGGAGAAGAACGGATGTCGCTGTGCATCTTCTGCCTTCATTCTCCTTTCAGGAGGATATCGAAGGAGAGATTTAATCAAATCTACTGCAGAACCAGGGTTTTCAACGTTTTCCGTAGGCAGATTCGGTAAAACATGATCCAAATCCACCCCATCCACTTTGGTAAATTCGACTTTCTGTGCATCGGGGAGGTCTTGGAATCCTGACCATGCCCAGCTTTGAGCCTTTTCCTGTTCATTTACGGGCTCCCGTGGAGTACCAAAGACTTTGAAAATGCTCCAGGCCAACCCAATTTCGCCACGAGAGGCGTCGAAGAGAGGGCTACGAGCGTAGCGGGAGGGGGGATGCTTTGCAGAATAGTTTGAATCGGATGTGAAGGGCGATGTTATGAACGAAGGGTAGGAAGGAAAATCATCAGATGTTGGTGACAAGGGAACAAGCGGTGTAAAAAACTCGGCGAACACTGCGCCTAAGCTCCATAAGTCGATCGCGTACGCATCGTAAGAGCGCGTTCCAAAGAGGAGTTCTGGGGCGCGGTAGGGACTGTAATTTGAGGTTCGTGTCAGATCGATCAAAAGGATAAAGATAAAACCAACCCAGTAGAGACCTCGAAATACATGCTGTCTTTTGCCTCGGGCCACAGATCACCATTCCTCAGTGACTCCTCGTAATAATCTTTTGCCCCATCCCGGGATATTCCGAAATCAATAAGGATCACACGTCCAGTCGCCGTCAGTAAAACATTGGCAGGCTTTAGATCGCGATGGGCGATACTTTGTGCGTGAAGATACGTCACGCCGTATATAATCTGTATCATGAGGGAACGAGCAAGGTGAAGGAATTTTGAGTGTTGGGCTTGGGAATGTGAAGTCGAGGAATCTTCTAGCTGTGGTGTAGGTACAAAACGCGCTGAGTCTAAAAGACCAGAAAGGGAGTACGGAACGTAGGGCATCCAAATGTTCATGGTATTCTGAGATCGGTCCAGCAGAGAGTCGAATATCGGGATAACCTTGGATGCAAAATGTTCATGGCAATCTACAAGAAGGAAAATGCTTCGTACATTAGGATGAGAAAGTCTTTCGAGAATTCTGCATTCCTTAATGATATCGTGTGGCTCTTTCGCCCACTTCTTGATTATGGTAGAAGTCTTGACGACAACGAGCTGAGGCTCTCCGTTGTCTACAGATGCCAAGGTCTTTGACACAGTCGAAGCAATGCCTTCAGCGATGATTTCAAAGTCGCCGTCATCTTCACTGTCACTTGGATTGATGATATCCTCCTCCTGACTGTCAGCAATCTGTATACGTATGATTTCCGAGAAAAATGTTCAGGGATACGTATACTCACATCCGTAGAGGACAATTCCAGCATGAATTTGCAAACGGTAAAAGAACATGTTATGTGGCATATGTAACCAAGGAGTTGATCAGCGTCTTTCTTCTCTTTCTTAATTCCTTACATTCTACCTTTCAACCTGTATTAGCCTACGGTATTTCCGACTCTTGATTCATCATGTCTGAAGACAAAGGCGCCAACAACAGTACGTATGTTATCACCCTTCATTTTTTCAAGCTACAAGTTATAGAACTTCTAAAATAAGATCAGCGATTACTTGCCGCAGCTAGAGAAGACAACGAGGAGTTGTTGTTAGAAGTCTTCGAGGCCGGGGATTTCGATATCAATTTTCAAGATGGGTAGGTATATCCCTTCCCTTGACTGTGAATCACCTTACTACAATCGACCTTCACAAATGCAGAGTGGGCAATACAGGTATTTGACTGCTTCACTCTACTTTAGTGACTGTAGTGAAATCGGTACCAACAAGCTTTACATATCGCGTGAGTTTTGTCTTTGTGAAATTTATTTTCGTTCTGAAATCATTTTAGCGTACAGAACGGCTCCGTGGACGTCTTAGAACACATACTTTCCCATGAAGCCTGCGACGTAGACCCCATCAACCGTATCAATCGCGCGACTCCTCTTCACCTAGCGTGTCAATTGGAGGACGACGGTGCACGCTCGTATATGGTTGAATCCCTTTTAGAAGCTGGCGCGGATACCAAGATACGCGACAAAAGGGGCGAGCTAGCGGAATCTTTCGTTCCACCAACCGACGAGGAGACGAGGAAGCTGTTCAGAAAGGCGCGGGCGCAGATCATGACAGTATCAAAGGACGATATAGCTAGTGGTGAGCTTCCAGGCTTTTTCTCAAAATAACCCCTCCCTTATCGCTGTCGTGTGGTAGACGACGATGGGGAAGAAGGATCGGGCTCGGGTTCAGATGAAGATTAATCTGCAAGGTTACTTGTGTGATTGATGTCGGGCCCGGGACGATGTTGTTTTTCTAGAATCTATCATATACATGCATAACAGGGAACGGACAGTCGCTATTGGACTAAGACGGCATATCCGATCTATCGATTTCCCGCATAATGTATGACCAGCGATTGTACCCAGCAAGGCCTGAAATTGCCGGTTCCTTCAACATGGCCAATGACTTGATGCTGTTCAAGGAACCGTGCCTCTGACATCTTTTCTTCGACACGACATGAAAAATGATCACGCGTTGTTCAACCCCGATTCCGCGAAGATGTACGTTCTTCAATAGTCTCTAGAGCCCTCTGGCTGGTTTTCGGGCTCATCAGTCGAGTTGAGTTTGGGACTCACCCCGGAATGATTTCATCCTACTGCACATCATGTCAATGTGTATGTCGTTCTCCTCTGTCAAAACAGTTTAGATACATTTTATCCCTGTTTTCGGCACAGAGCGTATACATTGTAAGCATTATGTATATGTCCTTCGTCTTTTGATTGAGAATTTGCCTGTTCATGCTTCAGGTCGGCTTTGACATATACGAAATTTCAATAGTAAGACAAAGAAGACAAGGGATTCGCGTGAATGGTGGGCTGAACGGTATATGTGAATACGAATAATGATTTGCTCGGACTCTAGAGTCTATCTGGTGTCGCGATTCTTTCTTCACGTCCAAGGTCTAGTCCCAAGTGTCGTAAGTTTTGGAGTTATTCTTCCTTTAACTTCCTCTTCGCTTTCTAGCTAGCGCCTCTGACGCCGTTTCCTATTGACTTTCCAGAGCTGGCGTTACACAGCTTCTCCTATAAACTTCGATTGATAGCCAATCACGAGAGGTTCACCAATCACACCGGATAATTTAGAAGAGGCAAGAGTTCCATCGCCGAGGCAAGGTAGGGCAAGGTACATGTACTTCGATCCACTTTAAATCCATGCCCAATGTCCAACGTTCAATATCATCATTATTTCAAGTTGAATTTCTTGACGTGAATGATGTATTTGATACTCTGGCTCATTCGCAGTCTGTCGAAAGAGCCGAATAAAGATTTCAGAAAAGATGTGGCAAGGTACACAGGGGAGATATACTTCGATACCATTTCAATCAACATAGGATGAGCTAAAGGCTGGGGTGGCCCTGTTCTGGCCTGTCAAGCTCGAGCTGGAAATTGTATGAACTTACAGGAAGTGAAGGTAAAGAAGCCCCCTTCGTCGGAACGGTGGAATGTATCGGGGGAACCAGCGGATATTAGGTCTATGCGCGGAGCTGAAAAATACTATAAAAGCGAGGCATTTTTTGTGCAGTTCTCCTCAGCTCTTAGTCTTCCACTGAGTTAACCACCGACAGATATGCGCTTCTTCACTTTGCTCACTGCTGCTGTCTTTAGCGTCGTCGTTCGCGCAGACTCTAACACTGCTGCTACTGCTGCCTCTGCTGCCAGCGTTCCTTCATCCTCTGCGGTCGCCGTCTCTGCCTCCTCATTCACCAATGTTACACTTCAGACCGCCTTGAGTGCCAGTTTGAGCCAGGCTAACTACTACGTGCGTCTGAATTTCCGCATATGTGTAATGTGAGCGCTGATGAGACTTCCAGGGTGCTCCTATCCCTCCTTGGGAAGTAGGCTGTCACCCTGGCTGGTACTATGGAACGGACCCTGGAGCTATCATTGGCTGGGTCCTCCCTTGGCTCTTGGACGACGTAAGCTCTTTTTGCTATGATATGCTGAACGTCAACATTGACTTGTATAATTTGCCTTTAGCTCCTCTGCGCAATCCTTGACCTTCTCCCGTTATGTCTTCATTGCCCGATTCCCAAGCCTCCCCCCCAAAATGGCTGGGTACCAACTTTCAGTAACCTCAACGGAGCTACGCAGGCGGATGATTATTTGACCTACGGACTTGTTGACACCATTGAAGGTCGGTGTCATCAACAGAATTCAATCATTGTCTCACCTTGATGTTAGATTGTGAGACCATGTGTCTCAACGTCGAAGGATGTAATTTCATTAACAGTAAGTTTTATACACTCTCCCGAATCGCATTGTTTAAGTGCTCATCAATATGCTGCAGCCTACCATGATGTCAACGGCAAGGTTTGTATTTGCTTTCTTCAACTCAACTGTCATACTTGAATACTGATGCGAATTCTGATAGGACGGGTCTCCTCAACTGACTTGTGCGTTGTTCTCGCTGTGCCACGACGCTTCCGACGCCGACAACAAAGGCGGTCAGACTCAACCGGACGGAAGCGTCGACTACATTACCGACAGCAATGGTTTCTGCAAGCACTCTTAAATGCATGAGACTTGGGTATACAAAACATGACGTCTGCAGACAACTTGGGCCTTCAATTGTTCTATTTTTTCAATAGGGTATCAGTAGTTATTCCGGGTTACTTGAATCTGAACTCTCGAATGCTTATTGGCATGCTTGTTACGTTCTGCGCAGTTGTCACTGAGCTTGCGGTCCTTTTCAGCGTTGAACATCCCGCTGAGGTTTGAACTTGCGAAAAAAACACTACATACTCAAGGCTATTTAGGTTATGAATCGTTGTCTGTTACAGGTCGGAGTCAAGAGCCATCAGTGTTGGTGCCAGGGTGCATGAGGTCGTATGACGGGCATCTGATTGAATGGAAATTGGGCACAGGTAAGATCGTAAAAATCTGACTTTGGTTTGCCCTCTCATGCGATTGTGGGCCACTGCACATCCGTGCATGACATTCAATTGGCTTCGAGATCAAACGATAGCATGTATTGATAATCAATCATATTTTGGGGTGCGCGACTTTCTTCAAGCACAGTAGGTAGGTAGGTTAACCGACATGGTCCCAATAGGATACAGCCGGGGCCTGTGCTGCACACATTGGTAGAGAACAAGAGGAGAATAGACTTTATGTAGAATGTATTTGCAGGTAGGCCCCCAGAATCTCCTGCAGAACCCCACCCAAAATAGCATATTTTGGACCCGATTTTGGTGATTTCCTGGTCCTAAAATAGCATCATTTTCAGTCAAAATCCTTAGTCCTTGTCCATTTATAGTGTCATTTGAGTTGGCAGGAGTCGGCACACCAGCGCTGAACCAATTTCTTTTGAGCACTGGAAAAAGAACATCAACATGGCAGTTTGTTAGCTCGGAACGGGTGTGACAAACTTTGAGTACCGGCAATGCCTGCCAATTTCATGTCTGTTTGGCTTTGTTTGTTATCCGGTCAAAGCTGGCTTAACAATGGGATGCAAGGTAATCAAGGTTTTCATCCTGTATATATACATTAATGTACTGGATTTTAGTTATTTGCATGTATAGCTAAGTGGGAAGATGGGAATGATTCTCCTTGGTTTTCTTGGGTTTTCTGATGCTTGTAAAGTTATAAACACACGATTTTCTGACTTGTTTGCTAGCTGGCTCCATGAGCCGGCTGGTACGAGTTCAGTTCCAAGGCAATCCTCCTAAGAATCTGCAAGCGCATAAATTGCAGTTGTTGCACAGAGGCAGAGTGCTCGTAAAAGAACAAAGCATGAATAATGCAAGTGTTTTTCTACATAAACACCCAATACTTGATATAAGCAAATTGGAAAGAGTAAATTAAATGTAGAAGAACCAAAGGTGCACTTTGTACCCAAGCAGACAGAGCATGGTAGTATTGAAGTGGGTCCATTGGCACCCAATTGAAAAAGGACATTGGTATAGGGGAAGCAGTTTCTTGGTTCAGGCATATGTGGAAGAAGCCCAGAGGGCAGGGAGGTAACTGTCAACTGAAACAGAGTCACACTGTCAAGTCAAGTGGCAGTTAGTTGACTTCAAGGGAAAATAATAAAAATAAAAAAACCATAAAAACCATATAAAAGAGAAAGGAGAAGACAAATTATCAGGTAAACATACGAAGGAGAAATAGGAAGTAAGTTCGATGAGAAGAGCACTTGTCATCAAGAGGCAAGTTAAATCCAAATCAACTCTCTTACCCTGCCATCAATTAAAAGGAAAGGCCGGTGGTGGCCCGTGGACTGCAAGAGCAAGTTTCTACAAATCGTAGGATAGGAAGGTGAAACGTGGCTCAGGCTAGTAAATTATAAAAGGGAAAAAGTTCTCACCCTTAAGCGGTCACAGTGGCTGTGCAAATTTTTTTTGAGCGTATAGAACGAATTCCATAAATGGAACTCATAACTCTTTTAGTTCCCCATCAGAAGCTTGGTTGACTGCAAGCCATCAACCGAGCTATCAAGGCTGCGAGGGTGAGGAATTAATTAACAAAGATGCATCTGGCCTTTACATAATGTATCAAGCATATCCCCACCTCATTTGATTCCACTGATGGAGTATTTGGGATGTTGCACTGAAAATGTCATATAGAGGCTGAACTTTTACTTGAAGTGTTGAAAACAGATTTTTGATAATTGTGCCCAAAAGAGTATGCAAGATTGATCATTGTCCAATGATTTTTTCAAACACTAAAATAAAAATTCTGCTTTCAACACTTCAAATAAAATGCTTTTCTGAGTTGATCCCGCAGAAAAAATTAAAGAATTTGCTGTAATTTCAAGCCTGTGTCATGAAGTGGCAGGGGCGGAGTGACTAGATGGAGCAACAAGGTGGAGCAGCTAGGCAAGCAATGGGGTGGACAACCAAGTGGAGCATGGACAGACTGGTCCCAAGATAATGACAGAGATATATTGAGTATCATATTTATAGGTAATAATAAGTAAATGCATATGGGCAAGGAAAGCCTCCCTGCTGTTTCCAGTGCTGGTGTGAATGTCATCAATGTCTATGGCATGAGGGTCAGCAGGAGTGGTGTGAGCAGTGTGTGTGGGGGCATGTTCAGTGTTTTGGCCAGTCATAGTGGGATCATGCAGGAAGACATCCACCAATATGGCTTATTTGATTGCCTCTCTCAGAGTTGGAGCAATTCCTTGGGCATTTACAATGATGAGATTTTGTTGGATCTCTGGAAGCAGGGCAGTGAAGAAGTGTTCCCATAAATCAATGTCAGACATTTCAGTCTGATCTCCGATATCCTTGAACTTCTGAGTGAATTTTGCAGCTGTCTGTCATTTACTTTGCCTAAGATTTTTGATCTTACTATGAGCTTCCATACCTAGGTCCACTGATTCAAACCATTGGCTGAATTCTTTAAGGAATGTATCCCAATTTCCTCTGAAAGGGGGTTTTTCTGCACTGAAATGTAGCAGATGGGGAGTTGCCCAGTCTCCAGCGCTTTCTGTGAAAAAGCCCAGGGTAGACTTGATCAGCTTTACCTGACTCTTGGCGAGATCAGGTTGTTCTGATGCCCAATTTTGGAACTGAGCCATAAAACAACATGCTTCAGAGCTGTCTTTTTTCTTAAAAAGCACTTGGGTTTGTTTATGCTTGACTTGGAGGACAAGCGTTCCTTCATAGCTGTACAAGATTGGCTACTTGTCTGATGAGCTTATTTGCAGTGTCGTAAAGTACACAGCCCCTATTATTTCCTTGTCTTGATGCCTTCACTTGTACAGTACATCATCCTATCACAATCACATTCCATTGCTGTCAATTATCCATCAATTACTGATTCACCTGATTCATCTTCTCTGTCAAAACCATGTCCCGGCACCCTGCTTTGGTGCTTGGTACTCCAAGATCCACTGTTTATTGTAATCTCCTCTTATTGTTCTCTTTCACTACACATTTCCTTTCTACCTAGCTTCCTTTTATTGTCTTATTCTCTACCATGTAGGCACTATATATACAGCCCCTAGTAGCTAGTCTGGTACTCCACCCCAATATGCCAATTAGTAGGTATAAATACTCCTGTACTGTACTTGAGCTCCTCTGTTTAGTTATCAACTTATCTCACCCTTATTTGTCTCTCTCTATCCTCTAAGTCTTAAGGCTCTTTACCTTGAGTACTTTCTACTCTGACCTTAGGACTTGTAAGTTCTTTGGTCACTCCTTGTTGTTTGTTGGCATTACTGCCATTACTGGTCTGGCTGCTACTTGTGCATTTCTCATACCTATTCTCTTCCTCTGGGGACTAACAGCATAATGGTGGTATTATTAATAACTACACCATTGTCCCATTTGACCCTCCACACTTAGATAATAGCCCTTGGCATGGCTTTCCAGTGTACATGATCTTAACAATATAATTGAACTCAATCTGTTAATGTCATTGACATGCCTAAATTTTGGCTAAACATCCATGCAGTGAGTTGTGACACTTTCATGCATAGATTTGTATCAAGAGGACTGTAATTGAGACTGTCAAGTCCATGCCTTGGTGCCCTACTCTGCCACTTGGTATTCCGAGATCCACTGTTTATTGTAATCTCATTCTTATTGTTTTTTCTCGTTACACATTTCCTTTCTACTTAGGCTCTCCCTTATTGTTTTATTTTCTACCCTGCAGGTACTACATGTATAGCTCCTAGTAGTTAGACTGGCGCTCCACCCGGATGCACTGTTCTGTATATATAAATACTGCCTGTACGATACCGTAGTTCCTCAGTTTAATTATCAACTTAGTCTTCAGGCTCATTGCCTTGAAGTACTCTCTACTCTATCCTCAGGACTTACAAGTTCTTTGGTTCGCTCCTTGTCGTTGGCAATAACACTGCTCCAACTTGGCTGCTCCTGGCTCTCTCCCTTCTCTACTCTTGATCTCCAGGGACTAGCGGCATAATGGCAGTGTTGTTAATAACTTCACTACTGTCCCACTTGACCTTCCGCCCTTAGAAACCTTGTGGCCTCTGGCACAGCTTCATGGTGTACATGATCTTAACAGAGACCCCGATTGACAGTCAAAGTCAATACTGGATCAGTCTAATAGTTGAAGGGACCTTATACCCATACTACCACAAGTTGGTTAGTTTACCCATCCCTAATACTACCTTTGGATAAAAGTCTACCTATTTGTCAAGCAGGATTATACCAGACTTGGACTACATCTGAAGAATGACCATTCACGTTGACATGCCTATGTTGAGCAGGCAAGGGGTGCATAGTGGGACACTCTCCAGCACCATACCTGGGTAGTAGAGCTTAGAGTCTCAGAGAGGCAATAAAAGTGAGAGAGAAGCGAGTGGGATTCCAGTACAGGATATGGCCTGTTTATATACATAACTGTATGACAGTATTACATAAGGAAGTACAGAGGAATCCGCATATAGTAAATGACTAGATACAACTACATATGATATAACACATGATCATAATAGTGGCATGTGAACAGCATAGCCGCGTTCAACAGCCTAAATTTTAGCTAGATGTCTATGCAGTGAATTGTGACACTTTCACGCGTAGATTTATCAAGAGGACT